AGGAAAACAAAATCAAAAACAAAAAAAAACTTTAGGACAGCTTGCTGCCTGGCCTCTGCTAATGAGGAAACCCCTATGAAGGACCCCGAGGCATGCCAGGGTCTGTGACCCCTGAGGGCAGCCATCAGAGGGCCCTCCTCCCAGAGCACTGTGGGCAAGGCCTCTTCCCCTCCTCCGCAGTAGGCCCTTCCCCGATCACCTTCTAACCTCTCGCATCCTGCTCTACCTGTGGGCAATCTTACCCCAAGATAAGGCCCAATTCAAATGGCACCTCCTCCAGGAAGTCTGCCTGGACCTCCTCGGTCAGTCCCTTGCCTCCCTGGTCCCTCGTACTACTCTTTTGGCCCCCCATCCCCACCTATATCCTGGCCTCTGTCTGGAGAGCAGGGGCTGCACGTGTCACTCACCGTTGCCCCCTCACAAGGTGCCCGGCCCAGCCCTGACCCACGGCAGGCACGCACTTAATGTATGTTCAATGCAATCTCCTCCTGGGGAAAGGATAATGATAACAGTAATAATAATCGTTACCCTTCCTCGACCATCAACCACAGGTCAGGCAGTGAACTTCATGGCTCGTCACAGAGGATGCAAATAAGGCCCAGCGAGGAAGCAGTTCGTCCAGGGTCACTCTGCTAGGGAGAGGCAAAGCCAGGGTTTGAACTTGGGATTGTCTGCCTGGAAATGCATGCTGGGTAATAGAGGTAGGAGCATGGCGGGTAGCCCTGCTGGCCCATCGCCTGTCTCCCCTAGCTGCAGGACGCACCCCCAGCACAACCCTCCCGGAGATGCCAACACCGCCCCTCCCCCGGCAATGCCCAGGCGTCTGTCTGAGCCCCTGCCAGGCGTCCGGGCCATGGACAGTGTCTGTGGAGCGGTCCCAGGAGGAAGGCACCTGCCTTTACAGTGGTTACGGTCCAGTGAGGGGACAAGGACCCCCCTCCTATGCGGGCCAGAACTAGTCACGCCCCAGACACGCCGGGAGCGCAGGCCTCACTGTGCTGTTGAAGATTTCGCAGGGCAACAGGCACCACCCTAGAGGAAGGGCCGGGTGCCGGGGAGGGGCTCGCTCTGAAGGAGGACCTCCAGGGGGAGGTGACATTTCAAAGCAGCCTTCAAGGATGTGTTGCCCCAGGTGACCCACCGATGAAGGTGAGCGAAGGTCCTGCATGTGGGAGGGACGAGGGAGTGCTCGGAGACCCATGCGGTCAGCGGGCGCCAAGTGGGAGGCGAGGTAAGAGCATTACGGGGTGGGCAGGGCAAGGGGCGGGTGAATCGTGGTGGGTCCAGTGGGTGGACAGGTGGGTACAGGTGGGGCAGTGGATCAGGCATGCTGGATGGATCGAGTGGGCGGGCGGATATAGAGGTAGGTAAAACGGGTGGCGGTGGAAGGCGCATGGGTGCGTAGTGGATGGGGAGGTGGGGTTGAATGGATAAATGGACAGGGGTGTGAGCAGTGGGCCAACTGAGGGACAGGGACAAGATTAGGTTATTGAATGGGCAGGTAGTAGGTCAACAGATGAATGGGCACAGAGATGGGTAAATGGATGGGTGGAGGGGGTGGGTAGGTGAATAAATAGGCATGCGGGCAATGGGTAGACAGATGGCTTGGCAGTTGCATCTCGGGGTGGATGGACCAGTGGATGCTCATGAGATGGAGGACTGGGCAGACCAATCAAAGGGCAGACGCGTAAACTGACCAAAAGCACAGCCAGGCTTCGGACTGGAAAGGGCATGTGGGCTGGGCTGGGCTGGGGGCTGGTAGATGTGGCCAAGCCAACTCATTCAGCTCCAGGCTCCCACTCCAAGTCCCACTGGAGCCTGCTGGGCAGCCACTGGCATTCCTGGGTCCCCAAGGGGGCAGTTCCCTGCTCTAGCTCTGCCCTGCCCCCTTCACCCAGCTCCACAGAGGATGCCCTGCCCAGCAACCGCCTCCTTCCCCTAAGCCCCGAGCCTCAGCCCTCCCAGCCTGTGAGGGTCAGTTGAGGGGGCAGCTGAGCTCTGTGATTATGGCCCAAGGGGCCTGGTTCCTCCAGGCCAGGGGAGGAGGTGGGGGCTCCTGGGCTTCCGGCAGCCAGTCCCACCTAGCAGCTCCTAGTCCCCAGCTGGCAGGCATTTGTTCTGCATTCTGCACGGTGATTACAGCGCAGCCAGGGTTAACCCCTGCATTGCTGGGCACAGCCCCTTGAAAGGGGAAGGCTGGGGACCGCAGGAAATTGGGGAAACCGTGGAAAATGGGGACTGCCCGTCCCTGCATCCTTCACAGGGATGCCCAGACCCTTCCTTCCCCCCATTTTCCAGGAACAGGAATGCAGCCTTCACGGAGAGGCACGCCTGTCTGCAAGTGAGGGAGGGCAGCTCCTCTCAGCCTCAGTTTACCCATCTGCAAAATGGTACAAAGAATCCCTGACTCACAGGTTGCCTCATGGTGAGCTACCAGGGACAAAGTGCCTGGCACACAGTAGGGAGGTCCCTTGCCCACCCCCAGACCAGAGCCAAAGGGGATGGTGTGAGTGTGTGGCAAGTGGTAACCATTTTCATTAAGATGGCTTTTTTAAATAAGATTTTATTTATTTTTAGAGAGGGGAAGGGAGGGAGAAAAAGAGGGAGAGAAACATCAGTGTGTGGTTGCCTCTTGAGTGCCCCCAACTGGGGACCTGGCCCACAACCCAGGTGTGTGCCCTGACTGGGAATTGAACCAGAGACCCTTTGATTCGCAGAGCGATACTCAATCCACTGAGCCACACCAGCCAGGGCAAGATTGCTTTCTTAGCTGTGTGGGGCTCACAAAAAGTAGTAAGTACCCACAAGTAGCCAATATCTGCACTGGATCTATACCCATTTTATAGAGAAGAAACTTGAGGCTCAGAGAGGTCAAGTACCTAGCCCAGAGTCACACAGTGGCTGGGAAGCCAGCGGCCAGGATTCAAGTTCCAGGTCTCTGACATCACACCAAACTGCTTCCTCTGCCAGCTGCTCCAAGGACCCCTTGACTAGAGTGACATGTAATTTATTGTCTAACCGGGTCACCTTTGAGAGTGAAAGGAAGTGCTATTAATAATTTCGCTGGGATAGTAGCCCTTATCTCAGACTATCCTGGGCAAATCAGGAAGTATGGACATCCTGCAGCAGTAGGTGGCTTTGGACAAGTCACTTCACTTCTCTGCAAAGGGAACATGAGGGCAGGCACAGCACAGCCTCCACGGGACTCTCGTAAGGATTAAATGTGACGGTGCAGATAAGAGGCTGTAGAGCCAGGTACGCAATAGACGCTCAATAAATGCTGGTGTTACTGCTGCTATTAGTAGTTCCTGCCTCCACCACTGTGTCCTTCCAGTGCATTCTGGGCTCACACAGGAGCTTCCAAATACACACTTGGTCACGCTGCCTGTTGGCTTCCCGTCCCTGCCACGGTGACTGGGTAAGCCCTCGAGACCTGGCCCAGTTCTCCCCCCGGCGCTTGACTGCCCGCCACCCACTGGTCCTGGCCTCTCAAGTGCAGCCCCCAGCCCCTCACCCAAGCTCTTCAGCGCTGCTGAGACCATCCCCAGCTCTCCTGGGACAAAGCCTAACCCCAGGGAAAGAGCTCAGACCTACTGCAGTCTCAATGCTCCTGCTGTGCCACTTGAGCACGTGCTGGGATTCTTTGTGCCTCAGTTTCCCCATTTTCCATATGTGCAAATTATCCCCTCCCTTGATGGCCAGCATGTGGATTCAGGAGGACAATGAAAAAAGGCCAGAGCTCTGTAAACAAAACCTTGTCTCCTCCACCCATGCATAAACACAGCCCCTCATCCCCAGCCCGGTCAGTGCTCAGACCACTTCCTCCAGCCACGCCTGCCTCCTTCTGGCAGGTCCCTAGCTCCAGCCCTTGGCAGGTGCTGTCTTCTGCTAGGTGTGTGGGCACTTCCATTGCCCTTCCTTCTGCCCATGTATCCTTTACAACTTAGCTCAGGGACCAGTCTTCTAGGAATCCCTGGTGAGCCCCTCCCCTCCCCTGCAAGCCTGTTGGGGGCCACTGTGCAGAGGAGCCCAGAACCTCCTGCGGCCAGAGGGAGCTCACGGTGAGAGGGGAGAGTATCCGAGGAGAACAAAACATCACCAAGCAGGAATGAGAGATCTACCCTCCTCCTCTAGGATGGCACAGGGCCTGTGCACAGCAGACCCCCTGACCCTCGGGGGCGGGGTGAGGCGCTCAATAAAGCTTTCTGAACCCACTGTCCAAGGTGTGATCTCATTTACCTGTTCAGCAAGACAACCAGGTGCTGACAGAGCAGACAGCACGTAGGAACATATCATCTAAGGATGGTTTTTATCATCCCATTTTACAGGCAGGGAAACTGAGGCTCAGAAACTATGGCCAGGGCAGAATAGGAAGGCAAGCTGTCGGGTTCCAAGGACCACGTTCTTGACCACCAGTGGTCAAGTGGCCTGCCGTGGCCTGGTCCCCAGTCTGGCTCAAGTCTGTCTCCTGGCGCCTGTGGGCTTGCGTAGAGGATTGAAAGGAATGGGTGGCTGGGAGAAAGGGAGTGGTCAGCCCAGCTGGTAGAACTCAATGTCTAAGCTGCCATCTCCAGCATGCAAGGCCCCCGAGGCAGGCTTCCTGGTTCCCCAAACTCCCGCAGGAGCGGCTGGCGAGCCCGGGAGCCAGCCGTCAGGTCAGAGCGTCCCTAGGCCACGCGGAGAGCTGGTGGGGAAGGACCTGGACGCAGACAACTCGAGTCGCCTAGCCAGGAAACCCGCACATTCCGTGGCTCCTCCTGCCCCTGACGGCTGGCTTGGCGGCCCCGCCACTCCCCCTCTAGCTCGGGCCGCTGCTCCGGGCGGCGTGCTGGGTGCCCGAGAGGGGCCCCGCCCGCAGGCGGGGAGACGGGGGCGGGAGGAGGGCGCGCGCCCACACCCCGCCCCCGCCCCGGAGCCAGCCCGCGGAGCCCGCGGCCAGGGCGGCGCAGACCGGCCCAGCGACTCGCCCCGGCTGCGCGCCGCGACGCGCTGCCTCCGCCGCCGCTGCCGCCGCGTCCGCCCTCGCCCCCAGCCTCGGGGCTCGCCGAGACAAGGTAACAACGAGCTGGCCCGCGGGTCCCCGAGCCCCAGGTGGGCGTGGACGCGGCTGGGGGACACGGCGCTCGCGAGGACTCTGCACCCTGCTGGGCTCTCCGTGCTGGGACGGGGGCGGGCGCCCGCCTGCCGAAGGCGCCCGGGTGCCAACAGGGAGGCCTGGAGCATTGGGCGCGGAGCAGCGCAGAGACGCGCCCGAGTTTTGGGCGGTTTTGCCCTGTTCCCAGCGAACGGATGGGACAGAGAACTGGGGGAGCAGTAAACCGGGGGCAGGAGGAGGGGGCGAGCGGAGGGCCGTCTGTGCTCCTTCCTGCCCTGGGTAGGGAAGGAACGGGGAGGGGGCAATGTCTCGGAATGTCGGGCTCCTTGGCCGGCGCGGAGAGCGGGAAGTGTGTAGGGTGGGGGGAGCGCTGGGAGATGGACCGAGCACCCTGCCCCCTCCCCAACCGCTGCATTCCAGGCCGAGCAGCGGATGAGGTCATCCCGTCCGGTTCCCCTCCAGCCAAGGCAGCCGGCTGCCCCCTTCCCCCTGGAGCGACCCTCCGCATGCTACCCCGCTGCCTCCCCCCCCGCACCCCCCGCCAGGGAATGTTTTATGGCCAAAGTCTTTCCCGGACTTCCAAACCCGACCGCCCTCGAGAGAGCCCGTTCCTGCCCCAGCCGCACCAGACCCGCGAAGTTTGAAGCCCGAGTTCTAGACCGGGACACTGGCTCAGGGAGGCAGAGGGACTGGCCTGGAGGCCACCGCGGCGCCCAGCGCGGCGCGGGGATGGGCGCCGGGTCTGTGGGAGGCTCGGCCCGGCCCGCAGCCGCTCCGCCTGGCCGAGCGGAGGGCGGACGTGGCTCTAACACGGGCTGGTGGAGCTAGAAGCGCCTGTCGCGCGCCACTTTTTCCTACCTCCCCTGTGGCCCGTGATGCTCCCTCTCCCTAACCCGCTTCTAGTCCGGGGTGCCCGCAGCGACTTCAGACAGCTCGCTACTCTTTTCTGGCCTCAGTTTCCACGTCTCACCATCTTCAAACGGCTGGCCGTTGAGAGAGGCGAGAAGCACACCTCCTCTTCCAGGGGGCCCTAACCAAGATAGGGTCCCGCTGTCCCTCGGGAGGGGTGGTGGTACCCAGCGCACGCTTGCGGGGAAGGGGCTGTGCGTTCGCGGCTGGCCTCCTGCATGGGAGGTGGCGCCGCTGGCGGACCCCACAGCCTGCGGGTGACCCCCAGGTGAGCGCCCGGGTGCAGCCGCCCCCACCGACGCCTTTGCTCACCCTGCAGCCAGACCCGCTCCTGGCCCCCTCCCCAGCGCCCGCCGCCCCCAACCACATGTGTCTCCACAGCGGCCCCTATTGGTCTCCTAATACATAGTCCCTGCCTGGCGCCTCAAACCTCGTCTTTGCGGTTATTACCACCATTGAGTAAACTCCTACCACGAGCCCTGGCCTGACTATCTTCCGTAGGGTAAATATAAGGACTCCTGCGACACCGAGACTGCATGGTGACCGCTCTTGCCCAGCACACTGGGCACACTGAATTGCAGAGCTGAGTCTCCTGCGTCCCAGACCTGCCTTTCCCGTGCTCCGGGGCTGGCGGTGGCTCCCCCGACGTCTCTCCCTGGTACCCCTGGAGGCCTCACCCCTCCCCGGCGGACTGCTGTTGGTAGAATCCTGGGAGGTTCCCAGCCACGCCGTCTTTTCTGCTCTGTGGCCTGGGACACGTTAATTCCCTTCTGTGCCCTGTTTCTTTTTTGTCTGTAGAATGGGTGCTGTGAGCATTAGCAGGTAGTATTCCAGGGCTAGTGAGAGGAGATAGGCCTTGAGCGGGGCCCCAGAGCCCTGCTCACTCCAGGGCCAAGTGCGGCACAGCTGATTGCCAGCATTACCCTGTAGTCAGCATCAAGTGCCAAATAGCTGCCACCAAGAGTCCCCCGAAGGAGAGATGCTGGAATAAAGATGTTGGATTTGAACCTAGAGCCACCCTGCTCCAGCTTCTGGGGGGGGTTAATTTCAGCACCTTCCATTCTCACAACCCTCCTGGGGGCAGGGGGAGCGGCCTTCGATGCTGTTCTTATTTTCCACGTGGGACAAACAGGTCCCCAGTATGGCGGTGAGGCAGGGTCTCTGTACTGCAGCGGGAAGGGGTAGGCCTTTTGGAGGTGCCCAGAGGCATTTGGGAGGTGGGATCATCACGAGATTGGGGCAGAAGTTTTTCTCCCAAGTCACCGTGGCCACTGGGGTTTGGGGGGAGCTGGAGCCCCTTTGCTGAGCGAGGGCAGCCTGCTTCAGGAAGCCAGGGGGTCGGGGGGGGGGGGGGGGGCTCTGAGAGAAGTGGGTGTGGCCACATGGCAGACACAGTGAGCCCCCAACGAGACATTTCTTTTTCCAGACATTCACCCCTCATCTGTGGAACAGGGGAACTGGCCTGTGTCCTGTACCTGCCATGTGACCTTGGCCAAGTCCCTTTCCTCTGAACCTGGGCTCTCCCCGTGAAGGGGACTAATCCTGCAGCTTTGCAGGGCTGCTGGGGAATCAGATGACATCACGTAATGGTTGGCCAAGTGCTGTGCGCCTCATAACGACAGCAAACATTCCACGAGGGCTTCTCGGTGCCAGGGGTGCCAGGGAAAGGGATGATTCAGAGCCCCCCCCGGGGGAGGAGTTATGGTTGGGGGAGGATCAGATGGTGGGAAGGAAAGAGAATGTAGTCAGAAAACAAAGCAAGCTTTGTTTTATTGCCTCCTTTGTTTTTATCTTGTTATTTAACCTATTTTGAATTTCAAATAACATTCAAAGGGCAGTATTGGGATTTTTATGCTTGGAGGTGGCAGCGAAGTTTTTTTTTGTTTTTGTTGTTCATTGAGGCTCAGATCTAGGTGTTCTTGTTAAGGATTATTATCAGCTTTTATCAGCTGAGGTCTCAGGCCTGTGGAGGTGAGTGACTTGCCCAAGGTCACATGGTAAGGCCACTGAATCCCATATGTCCCCTCACTCGGAAGGTGGCAAGGGGCAATCTTTTAGCATGAAGCTTACCCTGTGGCACAAAGCTCTCCTGATTAAACCGGTATTGATTTGGCAGTTGCCGTGTGAGAGGCCGAGCTGGGTGCTGGGAAGGAGGAAGGCAGGAAAATCCAGGCAGGCGCCCCACCCTCAGAGTGCGTTGCCAATCTGGGGAGGCAAGACTGGGCTCCGGGAGCCAGTCAAAGGCTGTGTGAGTCAGGCACTGAGTTCAAGTCTCAACTAGCTCTCTTCATGTGACCTTGAGCAAGCTTGGCCCTTCTCTGGGCCACCAGAAAACCGGAGGTTGGACCATGGGCCCACAGGTGTCCTTCAGCCTGCACTTTCTGCGATAATAGAAAGGAGAAGGTCAGGCCAAGAGAAGTTTAGAGAATGCGCGGGGTGGGATGGAGGGGGCGCTGTGGGGAGATCCGGAGGGGAGGGAGTGGCCAAGGAATAGCTTTTGGTTCCAGCCGAGGCTCCTACCTCTCTGTGACAAACAGATAAAGTTCTTTCCTGCGGGCCTTCTCAGAGCCCCAGGCATGCAGGAGACATCTGGAAAAAGCCACTTTTGACTACAGGATCCTTTTCTCAGGAAGCACCTTGAAGGCGGGAGGGTCCTGAGGAATCTCTGCGTAAGTTGTTTACATAGCCATTCACAAAGGCCTTGATGGGCTCCTCCTCCCTCCTGGCCACTCCCAGTGGGAGATAGTTTAACCTACAGAGAAGGGAGATGGCTTGTCCAGCCTGTCAGCGGGAGGCAGTGGACCGTGGGGTTTAAGGGATGTGGGTTTAGGAGGCCCTGCTTCTCCACTTCCTCCTCTGCAGCCTCAGGCAAGTCATTTCATTCTTGGCCCCGGGTTCTCCCCTCTGATATAGCACCTCCCTCAGGGCCATTGTGTGGGTTTAATGAGTGATGAACACAGGTCATTGGTGCTTAGTAGGAGCAGGTGTTTCATACAGGGGCCATGTGTAATGACCGTACACTTTGTAAGTATACAGATCTATGAATTCTTTGTGCTCCCTCCCAGTCAAATACGTGCTCAAAGGAAACCCCAACCCTGATTTCTCTCTCAATTGTTGAGTTTTGCCTGTTCTCACCTGTGCGTCTGCTCAGCATTTTGCCGGTGATTCGCTCCCCTGCCCACTTCCCCCTCATCCCCACAGCGTTGGCTGGCTGTGCGCATATTCTCTTTAGCTGTTCTTATTTGGCCCTAGGATCCCCCAGGCCTGCTATCACCTTTCTGTCTTCCTTTCAGGTCTCCACCTGGCCAGAAGAGGGGCTGTCCACGCTTGAGGCACGTCTCGTCCTACCCTGTTCTTGGACAGAACATCAACAGCTGGTTCCACGAGTCCAGGAGCCAGGCGTCAGGGACAGACCAGCCATGGATCCCCAACAGCCTCAGCATTTGGGGGCAGCACCTTAGGAGAACAGAGGAGCGGCCTCTGTCCACCCCCTTGCACTGGGAAGAAGGGAAGGGAGAAGTGGGCCCGCCGCCTGCCCCAGCTGGGCATGGGCCAGCAGCTGTGAACAGCCAGAGCTGATGCCGGGCCCCCAGGGGGCTGGAGGAGCCCCCGTCATGAGCCTGGGCAAGCTCTCACCTGTGGGCTGGGTGTCCAGCTCTCAAGGAAAGAGGCGGCTGACTGCAGACATGATCAGCCCCCCGCTCGGGGACTTCCGACACACCATGCATGTAGGCCGTGGCGGGGATGTTTTCGGTGACACCTCCTTCCTCAGCAACCACGGTGGCAGCTCCAGGGGTACCCACCGTTCACCCCGCAGCTTCCTGGCCAAGAAGCTACAGCAGGTGCGCAGAGTGGGGGCACCGCCCCGGCGGTTAGCTTCCCCACCGTCGCCCTCGCCTGCTCCACCCGCCGTCTCCCCCATCATCAAGAACGCCATCTCCCTTCCCCAACTCAACCAGGCTGCCTACGACAGCCTCGTGGTGAGCAAGATCAGCTTCACCAGCAGCCCTTCCGGCTCCACGGACGGCCACTCCAGTTATGGTGAGGGCCTGGGTTATTTGTCCATTTTTCAGATGCTGAGACCCAGAAGGTTTGATGATTCAACAAGCCTTCAAATGAGGTCTTTTCCCCGCAGTAGTTTGGTAATCACCATGGAGGTCAGGACTGTGGTTGGGGAAGGGTCAAGGGGTGGGAAGCAGCCCACTCTCCAAAATACACTAACTCATTTGGAAAACCGCTCCCATGGACAGAAGTCAGAGGCCCTTCCTGTCCTGGTGGGGAGAGGCAGGTGCTGCCTCTGCTCCGGCAGACAGCTCACCTGAGAACCAGGGTTCCTGCTGCCACCTGGTGGCTACTTCTTGCTCTGCACCCTTGCCCCACAACCAGCGGCTGCCTCTAGTGCTCCCCCTGCAGGCCACTGCTCTGAACCCCAGCGAGTGCTGGTTCACAGCAACCCGGCTGTCAAGCCCCGCAGTCCTGGAGCCAGGGGCTGGACTTTTGGAGGGCATCTTTTAAGTCTAATTTCTATGCAGTCAGATCCTGGCTGCTGGTTCCATCAATGTGACCAGCCCACATGCTGTGGGTTCATCGTCAGCCATCAGCCACTGTCATGGCAGAGGACCAGGGGCCATAGCAAGTTTACAGTGGGAACTAAGACAGGGGATTTGAGCTCCAGGCTTGGTTCAACCGCATCAGACTGTGGCCCTGGGCAAGCCCTTAGCCTCTGAGCCTCACTCTTCATCTGCAAAGTGCGAATAGGATTATGTCAACTAAGTTTCTAGGCTTGATAGGAGGATCACATGGCAAACTCTGGGGTTCCCTGTCTTGGAAAGATGGAGAACTGAGCGCAGGTGGGGGCAGTGACTTGCTAGAGGCCACATAGCAGGCTGGGGTTGGTCCTGGCTCTCCCCTCCCTGGTTCATGGTTAGGGACCCCAGCTCTGACCCCACTCCCCATTTCTCTTCTAGGCTTGGACTCCGGGTTCTGCACCATCTCCCGCGTGCCTCGTCCGGAGAAGCCTCGTGACCGAGACCGCGACAGCTCCTTCCCCTCCGAGCCCGAGCTTCACCGCTCTGACTCCCTCCTGTCCTTCCGTCTGGACCTGGACCTTGGGCCCTCGCTCCTCAGCGAGCTGCTGGGGGTCATGAGCCTCTCGGAAGCCTCTGCAGCTGAGACCCCTGCCTCAGCCCCTGCTGCAAACCCCTCCTCCCCTGCTGCGAACCCCTCCGCCCCTGCTGCGAACCCCTCCGCCCCTGCTGCTAACCCCTCCACCCCTGCAGCAAACCCCCCTGCCCCTGCCTCAAGCCCTCCACCCCGTGGACGCTTCCCCAACGGGGTAACCACTGGGTTGGGCCCAGTGGCTGAGGCAAGGGCCAGCGTGGTGGGAGAACGTCCCCGTGCACAAGCTGACATGGCCCCTGGCAGGCCCTGGGGAGCAGGCTGGGGTGGCAGCAGGGGCAGCCGCCACTACACTGAGATGGATGCTCGGCAGGAGCTGGTGAAGGTGCTGCCCCAGGGCCGGGCCTCTTGGGAGAGCCTAGACGAAGAGTGGGAGACGCCCCGGGCAGGCAGCAGGGCCCCCGTGCCCAGCACGGTGCAGACCAGCACCTTCACGTTTGTCGATGCCGAGGAGGACGACGAGGTCAAGGTGTGAGCAGCTGAGCGTGGGCTCAGGGCCCTGCCCAGCCTCAGGCCGTCGCCCATGAAGGGCCCAGGGGCAGAGCCAGCCCCTCACCTGACAGATGGGAGAACCTAAGTTGTCCCCAAACCCTCCACGCCCTTGCCGGACAGGCATGGGAGGGAGGCCAGGCTTGTTCTGGGACCTGGGTGTTCCCTAGGGCCCTCCTGGGCTGACCTGTTTCCCCACAGCTACCACTCTGGACACAGTGGCCATTCCCTCAGCTCCGCCCCCACTGGCTGGAAGGCCCAGCGTCACAGTGCTGCCTTTGTGCTGGGGAAGCTGTCCTTGCGGGGTAGGGGGCAGGAAGCGTGCCACACAGGGCCTTTGTCTCCTCCCTAAGGGACCGCCTGCCCCAGCTCACCCTGAGCTGCCCCCAGCACGAAAGCTAGGGTTGTTTCCCCACCATTCCCCCCACCCCAACCCCAACTTGTCCCAGAATCCTCAAAAATCAGGTGTCACCTCCCCACTTCCTGTGCACCCCAGACCTGCCTCTGGGTCCTGATTAAAACAGGCTTTTTTGATAAAAGGTGTCCTGCAAGGTGTTTGGGCACCTGAGAGTACAGCGTCAGCGCCGCCTGCTTAAATACCCTCGGCCTTGGGTTTGAAAGCCAAGGACCCCGCAGGGCCCCAGCACAGAGGGGCCAAGACAGGGGTAATGAATAACCAGGCTGGAATGAACGTTCTGGAGATAAGAGGCCCAGGTGGGAGCCCTTATCTGCAGTTCCGGGAACACCCCCTGGCCCAGGTGCCTGGAGCCAGTACCTGACTCTAATCCCATGGGGCAGCTTGGCACTTGCTCTGGTGATAACAGGGGACAGGTAGGCAGGAGTGGGTACTTAAAGGTGTTTGGAAGTGTGTTCCAACCCTGACTTGGCAGTACTGTGACCTTAGGCCTCAGCTTCCTCCTCTGTATCATGAGGAAGCTGGGAGCATTGAAATGCGTGAGAAACACTAACCGCAACCTCTGCCACGGAAAGACTGCATAAAGGTGGATTCTTAAGTTTATTCTTAGCATAGGGGGGTGAGGAATGGGGTCCGAGGGGCAGGCAGTACAGATGGGGAAGCAGGACCCCAGGCTGCTGATCCGACTGCCTGGGAGGAAGCTCGGGGTCGGGAGTGCCCGGGGCCCGTCATTCCGTGAGGCACTGCCCCCTCAGTCAAGCTTGAAGGAGGAGGGGTTGAACCCACACAGCACACTCAAGCAGCTCAGGTGGCTGTGGCCCAGCCTGTTGGGGAAAGTCAGCTGGTGCCCGTCTGGCAGCTACACGTTGAATTTGTCACTCTCAAAGGTCACGGTGAGCTGCAGCGGGAGGGAAGGGGTCAGGGAGGCAGGAGGTGCCCTGGGAATGGGCCAAGGCAGGGCCCGGTGGCTCACACAGTGCCAGCACGTGTCTAGACCAGGATGCCCTACCATCTGGGCTCTCCCTTTGACACTGTCTTCAGGCCCCCGACCCCTTTGACCTCACCTTGACTTCTGACCCCGGGCTGAAGCACATGTGATCTTCCCCTTGCTCCTGCCCCCAGTTGTTGCCATCCCATGAATTGCAGACTATGGTGGATTCACCAAAACGCGGGTTGAAATGCAGATCCAGCGTGTCTGTCCCCTGGCCCAGATTAATCACAAAGCTGAAGGGCGAAGAGGGAACAGTGAGGGTTAGGGGCCAGCACTGGTTAAAACAGCTTGGTTTGTAGGATCTTAGTTAACCACAAGCTGGAAATATCACCAAAAAAGATTGTATTCATTGCGGTCTGTGCCTTAAAACAAGGGAGGTACCCAGGAGGCCAGACTTGGCACTAGAGTATCACATTGCATTAAGAGCACAGGACTAGGGCTGTCTACAGGGGGGCGACTCATAGTGGCAGTTCCAGGAGTTGGGAGCGTCTATCTTGGGGGAGAGGGTTGCTGTCCTTAGCTATGTGAAGACCTAAGTTTGGCCATAAACTGTTGTCAACCTACGGTGGGGAGCTCCCAGTCACCAGAAGCGTGCGATCAGGGCTTGTGTGATTTCTTGGTAGGATCACTACAGAAGCCTGGGCAAGACCTTCAGAGTTCCCTGAGAGTGGGACATTCTGGATCATGGGGTGCCTTCACTGGGAGGTCTCAAACCAGAGGTCCCCCACTTTTCTGCAACCTTGAGGGACCGAAGTAGGAGAAAGCGGTGTTTTCTCTTGGCTCCTATCCCATATGTCTGCCTGTCCCCTCCCCAACCAAAAGGTGATGGAGATCAGTTCCAAGGAACACCGACGTTGTTCGAGGCACATGAGAGCCTAGGGCTGAGCTGTTGCCCAGGGGATGGATAAAGAAGGTGTCTGCTTCTAAGGGAGAGGATGCAAATGAGGCCAATTTGGCGCCCCTGGTGGCCGCCTCTGGTATAACGTGTGTGAACGGCTGGCCTGCGCCTCCACTGGGTAAAAAGGATGGTGTCCCTGGGGGTTTGGGCTTTAGGTGGAGGCACCTGACCCACAGGGAGCTTCGCAGAGCTCCAGGGGCTTCTCCACATGTCCTTTCAGTGTCTGTGGAAGCCAAGGAATAGAGCTTAAGGTGTCAGCTGTGAAAGTCTCAGGGCCCTCACACCCAGCCTCAGACATGAAGGCGGGTCCTAAGGGGAGCGAAGCCAGCAGGGGTGTGGAAGTGAGCAAGGGCGTAAGAAAGCCCCCTTTGGCCTGAGGTCGCCCTCATCCCAGACCATCTCACGGGGCTGCCCTGCCTGTCCCCACCTTCGCGGCCTGGTCCAGGTCCCCGGGCAGTCCTTCCCCTCTCCCCCACACCCCACCTCCCCCCTTGCTCACCCATCAGCATCATCAGCGATCTTGCCCTTGATCTTCAGGGTTGTCCCCAACTTCATGTCCATGTTCATAACCTCAAATTTCCCCTACACCAACAGAAACAGCCCTCAAAGTACTGATCGCACAGGTACTAGATGCTTTTCATGAGTTTTAGCCCACCTTGACCTGGCCCCTGGCCTCCCTCTCCCCCTGCCCACGGGCGGGTGCAGAGCTTGGAAGGGTAAGAGCCAGAGCCCCCTGATCAAACCTCCCCAAAACCGCCCCCCCCCCGCCCTGGCCACGGCCTGCTTTGCTTTGCTCTCGCCCACCCCAGCCTCTTTAGAACAGCTGGATCTGCAGATGTAGAGCCCAGTGGAGGGAATCTCGGTCTGCCCATCTGTGAAATGGGTAGAGTGGTCCTGGTGACCTCACAGTTCCCAAACGTGTTCAAGTGAAAATGGCACAGTGCCTTTTGCAGAATCCCCAACACAGGGATAAGTTTAGTTCCCGCGCAAACTTGGAGTCAATCTACTGACAGGAAATAACTCTATCACACGCAGGCAGGTCTTGGTCCATCCAAAACTAGGAATCCAAAAAACTCCAGATGTCGTGTGTCTGAAATATCCGTCCAAGTCCGTCCCCAGACCTCACTTTCCTCACCTATAAGATGGGATTGATTAGATGTATTTGCTGGATGCCAGTGGCTGAGCGCTCCTGGGCAACCGTGCCGTCGGAGGCCCTGAGGTTCAGAGCATCCGCCTCCAAGGTGCCTGGGAGAGTTCGAGGTGGCATTTGGGAAGCCCCACACACAGCTAGGGCCTGGCACAGGCTAAGGCAAACGGAGGGGCAACCATCATTACGGTTACTTATTGTTAGCCAGCGTCAGGAGGGCAGCTGGACAAAGAGGGATGACAAGCATCCCTGTCCCACTCAACAAAGTCTGAGGCCCAGAGAGGCAGGGAGGCAAAGCTGGGGTGGGGCGGGGCCGGGGCAGCTGTCAGGGTCCAGGTCCAGGGTCCGCTTTGCTCCTACCTCTCTGAGTAACCTGGAGCCAGCTGGGCCCCCACCCTCCTCAGTGGCCCCATCTATGACATAAGAGACTTGGCCTAGGTGGCCTCCAGAGAAGGAGGGCAGAAAGGGGACAGGCGGTACGACCAGGAGAAGGAGAAAGTCAGGGGAGGGTCTGGGCCCCACAGGTCCTTTCTGAGAGGCAGAGGGGATGCAGAGCGTCACCCCTTCCACACTGGGTCCCCTGCAGACACACTCACACTCTGCATCCCACCTGTACTGGCTGGAATAGTGTCTCCCAAAAAATCAGGTCCACCTGGAGCCTCTGAATGTAACCTGTTTGGAAACCGGGTCTTTGCAGACTTAATCAGGTTAGGGTCAGGTCCTACTGGTTTAAGGCAGAACCTAAATCAAATATGATCGGTGTCCTTATAAGAAGCGAGAAATTTGGAACCGGAAACACAGACACACAGAGGAGAAAGCCACGTCAGGACAGAGGCAGAGACTGAGAGCTGCAGCTGCAGCCGAGGGAGCCCCAGAGTGCCCGCCACAGCCAGAAGCTGCAGGAGGCCAGAAAGACGTCTTCAGAGAGGGAGCAGGCCCTGGCAGCACCCCGGTTTCAGACCTGCAGCCTCCAAAACAGTAAGAGAATAAACTGGTTATGGCGGCCGCAGGACATAAACGCACCCTTTAATGCTCAGAAGAGGTGTCTGCGATCTAATTCCCTAAATGCAGGGCGCTGCCGTTCAGGGTGGGCAGTGACTCACCCAAGCCCACGCAACAAGCTGCGGCAGAGCCAGCCTTGGAATCAAAGAACCAGGGACCTCAAAGAATATGCACTCAACCCCCTGTGATTTACAGAATATGACCTTGGACAATGTAATCTCCAAGCCTCCGCTTCTTCATCTTTCTAAAGCCCGACAGATGTCAGTAGTTATTATTATCGGTGCTGTTATTACTAATGAGCAAACTGAGACTACAGAGGAAAGAGACAGGCTCATCATGTGGTGGAGGACGCAGAGAACTTGGATGCTCAACGCCTGTGGAGACCATCTGCTGAGCTTCCTCACTATACAGACGGGTAAACTGAGGCCTGGAGTGGGCCAGTGACACTCTTCCCCTAGCGACCCCATCCCCATTCAGCAAAAGATGTGGATGAACCCAGGGGGTGGGTGACGGGGAAGCCAGCATCTCACCGACACGGCGGCGGCTCCCAGAGGCAGTTCCCGATGAACGCCGGGGGCCTGGGCTCGGGTGCTCGCCGCCTGGTCCAGCTTATATCCCAGAATATCACATATTAACTCCCCCAAGGCCATAAAAGGAGACTTCGGTCCCTTCTTTCCAAGTACCCAGAACAAACAGGCAGAAGGCTCCTCACCCGCCCTCCTCACCCAGCTCGGAGCATCCTCCAGGCTCCCTGAAGCCCAGCCTCCTGCCTCCTCCAGGAGCCCAAGGGGGCAGGGGCAGGGCCGAACTGGGCGTCAGGAGCCCAGCACAAAGGCCATGTGAGCTTGGCAGACCACCGGCGTCCCTGAGCCCTGCTCCCTCACACTCAAACAGAGAGACTCGCTTTGTAAAACCCCTAAGCTTCTCGTTTTCTATGATGTTGAGATTCACTTTAAAAGTCTTTTGTTTTGCGTTTTGATGGCGGGCAGGTGGGAGCGGGGCTGGGGTGGATGGGTGGAAAAGGTGAAGGGATTGAGAAGTACAAACTGGTTGTTACAGAATAGTCATGGGGATGTGAAGTACAGCGTAGGGGATATAGTCAATAAGAGTCTAGTAATAACTATGTTATGGTGTCAGATACGTGAGGTTTATTGGGATGATCACTTACTAAGTTATGTCATGTCTAATCACTGGGGACGTATACCTGAAACAAATATAATAATGTATGTCAACTGTAATCAAAAATAAAAAATAATTAAAGATCCAAAAAACAATAAGCATAGTAACATAAATAAATAAAAATCTTCTGTTTTCTCCCCTTACCCCATAACTTTTCTGATTGTACATATAAGTTTTAAAGATTTTATTTATTTATTTTAGAGAGGGGAAGGAAAGGAGGAAGAGGGGGTGAGAAACATCAGTGTGTGGCTGCCTCTCGAGCACCCCCTACAGGGGACCTGGCCTGCAACCCAGGCATGTGTCCCAGCCGGGAATCGAACCGGTGACCTCTCGGTTCGCAGGCCAGCACTGAATCCACTGAGCCACACCAGCTAGGACTGATTGTATATGTAAGTTTTAAAAACAACACATGGTGGATTCAAAGAAAACGTCTAGCAGTATCTACAACAAAGAGTTAAAAGCAGTAAAGGGAGCGGGAGGGCTAAGTTCGGGGTTGTTAGGGATTTAAATGCTTTGCTCTTTATGTCTATTCCTTGTGGAGTTGACATGCTCACCACAGGCGATTAGAGCTATTAATTAAGAAGAAAAAGCATCACTCTTGACTCCCCTGCCACCACCAGGAGGGAACCTGCTTACTTTATTGGTACATTTCCTTCCATTGGCGGTTTTCTATGGGTTTATATCCTAGACTCCTCCCCACCCCCTGCACCTGTGGATCCTACTTCATTCAGTGAGCATTAAAGCCCACAAATCTATATTTCAGAGCTATATTTTAAGATCAGGGAAGTATTCCACCCTTCAATGACTAAATGTACTCCACCAATTTCCTTCTGCTGAACACTTACATTAACTCTAAATGTTGGTTATTAAAAATACTGCTGCATCAAATCTATTGGTGCATAAAGGTTGATGGCATCTTGACAACTTATTTAGGGTGGATTCCCAGAGTAGAATTTTTCTAGAGCCCTGGTTTGGCGAGCCAGGGCCTTTTCCATCAGAGCTGGCGGCGGCCCTTGGGTGGGGTGCGGGGAGGCTGGCCCACTGAGGGCGCTCCCGTGCCAGGAGCCAAAGGTGGCCTGCTGCCCGCTGTTTATACTGGCCACCACCTGCAGTCCCCTGCCCGCCCCGAGAGAAGAGTGGTTTCCTCATTTTGTCCCCTAGGAAATTAATTCCTTCGCAGCCTTTCTCCCAGGGCCCAAGCAAGATAAGGAGTCTGCAAATGCTTCTTACACGGAAACTCTCCAAACAACAGAAACTACACCTTGTAAAGGTGGCATTTTTCTGATTATAAGAGTAATTCTAGCTCACTGGAGAATGTTTTGGAAAGTGCACAAAGTAAAAAGAGCTTAAAAGTTCACTTGCTTTAGAAGAAAGGTTTAAAGACAAGGGACACATTTCTGAATTGTGCACTTTTCTATGTGTGTGTTTTACATCAATGAAAGATTTGAAAGAAAGAAAGAAAGAGAGAGAGAGAGAGAGAAAGAAAGAAAGAAAGAAGGAAGTGAAGGAAGGAAGGAAGGAAGGAAGGAAGGAAGGAAGGAAGGAAGGAAGGAAGGAAAGAAGCAAAGAAAGATCTACCCTTGCATCTCCACCCTTATTCTCTTAATAATGCCTACCTTCTGAACTTTACAAAGCGCTTCCTCCCTCTTCACAATGAGCGCAATGAATTCTCAGGTGATTTTTATTATTACTCCACTTTTCAGAGCATTAACAAAGGTTTCCTGGGCATATACAACTGGCAAGTAGCGAAGCTTGCCTTGCCTACCAGCCCACTGCTCAGATCACTCTCAAGGCATGCAACGCCGTCCTCAGACAGTGGGAGGAATGTTTGGCCTCCAGGAGAATTACCTTAAACCCTTTGGGTAGTGGCAGCCTCTGAGATGGGCTCTGGTAGTCACACCCCTGTATAACTGGCTCCCCTTGAGTGTGGCTGAACCCAGTGGCTCTGTTCTAACTAACAGAATACTAGAACATGGCAACAGGGATGGGGTGTCACTTCTGAGGTTAGGTTACAAAAAGAAAGATCGTCAAAAGACTGTGTGCTCTCTCTCCCCACCATGTGTGTCTTATGCGTTCTCTCTCTCCCCACCCCCACCACCCCCAGCTCTGGAGCCATGTCATGAGTAGTCCTGAGGAGAGGTCCATGTTCCAAGGAGCTGAGATCTCCAGCCAATTGCCAATGAAGACCTGAGTCCTGCCAACAGCCACGGGAGTGAACTTGGCAGTGGATCTCCGGCACTTAAGCCAACACCATGATTGCAGCCTTATGGAGACCCTGAGCCAGGAGTCACCTAGCTAAGTCCTATCTGGAGTCCTAATTCACAGAAACTGTGAGAAACATGTTTCTTATTTTAAGTTCCTAAGTTCTGGTTAATTAGTTACAGCAACAGGTAAATAATACACTTTGCCAAGCAATTGTTATCAGAAGCTTGGTGGGAGAAATAACATTTGTGAAGACCTCTTGACTAAAGAATTTGCAGTCCGTGCATGTCCCTAGACATTCTACTATACTGATCTTTGTAAAGAGCAAGCTGTTAGCCCTGGCTGGTGTGGCTCAGTGGATTGAGCGTTGGCCTGAGAACTGAGAGGTCACCAGGTCAATTCCCAGTCAGGGCATGTCTCTGGATCATGGGCCAGATCCCCAGCTGGGGTCAAGCAAAAGACAACCAACCCATGTATCTCTCACACATTGATGTTCCTCTGCCTTCCTTTCCCTCTCTCTAAAAGTAAATAAATAAAATATTAAAAAATAAAGAACAAGTTATTGGTTTTATTTCCTTCCTTTATGCTCATTAACTTTTTTTAAGTGTTTTTTTTTATTTTATTGCTCTTTTTCTAGCTTCTTAAGCTGAATGTTTAGTTCATTAATTTTTCACCCTCTCTTTTTATTAATAAATACAATTAAGGCTATACATTTTCCTCTGACTACCACTTTGGCCACCTCTGATAGGTTTTGGGATGTTCTACTCAGTATTCCAGATGTTACCCTTGAATTACACCAGATGATCAGAAAGTTGTTCTCAGCACACAGTAAGCCCTTAATAAATAATTAGTGACTGGATCACTGAATAGCAAAAATAATAATATCAATAGTCTTTGGGGAAGAGTTGGAAAGTGAAACATCAATAATACAGAATTAGCTGAGTAATGATGCTATGAAAATATAAATGAACTATTAGGCAGCCATTGAAAATCACATTTCTTGGACACCCTCTATGGCCACGTTTCCTTGCTCGTAGTACAGTGTGATGTGAATAAAGCAGCGACAGAATCAGGCTCCCAGGGCTTCATGATGGGCCCTCCCTGACTGTACATGTGGCCACCAGTCTGCCCTAGAAGGCAACGGGGAAGAGCAGCCATGGCAAAGCTGCTGGTGTGAACACCTCTGGGGTCCCAGGAAAGACACTGCCTCGCTGGCCACCCAGGGTCTCCCTCATGCCACACAAACATGTATGACTTTATTCAAATGTGTGGGACTGAGGGCCACCATAGAAGAAAAGTATAAAATGCCGGCACCTTTATCCCCGGCCTTGTGCTGTTGGGGAGCTTGGCCTTACAGAGGCCAAGTCTAGCAGGGGAGACAAGAGTGGGCACCAGAGACAACGGGAAAACAATTCATTGCTCCCCAGTGGGAGGCTTCACAAAAGTCCCAGACTCCCAGGGCAGGAGGGAGTCCTCCAATGTCATCTGAAGGACGGCACAGGACTGGAACCTTGGTCCCACTGCTCACTGGCTGGGCTGACGCGGACCCAGGTAGTTAACCTCTCTGAGTTCAGTCTCCGCCTCCATAAACTGAGAACAATGAGGGTTGTGAGGATTAGGGAGATAACACCTGGCATTTTGTTAATAGTTAACAGATGCTATTTATTGTCATTATCAGGAGCCCAGAGTCCCACCTGCGCTGCCCGTGAGGAAGGCAGCTCGCCCCGCCCTGGCGCTGCATCCGGGCCCTCGGGCCTGTGGGAACGTCCCTCTCACAGCCCCCCAGGTCTCCACTCTGACTTTCCTGTGCCTGAGGCAGTTCTGTGTTCGAGGGCCCCCTACATTAAAAAAAAAATTTATATATTATACGTAGACGTACATAAACACACACATATACATGTAATTACATTTTAAAACTGCATCGGACTATATCAATGTTGCATATTAAAACGTTTTCTTCAAACTTAAAGTTCCTTTTCTTCTTCTGATTTTATGAGATGTTAAAACATTTCAGCGGCCCCTAAAGTGTCCTGGGTCCGAGGCCTTGTGCCCACCGCACCACGTGGAGACGTCAGCTGGTGGCTTCCGGCACCTTTGCCCCCGGCCTCGTGCTGTTGGGGAGCTTTGTCCCGAGGTCTCTGAGATCCCTGCCTATCTCCTTTCCTCTCCTTTTCCTCCAAAGAACAAAGGGATCGACACATCAGCCACGGCCCACCCTGCTTCCCTCCCTGCTCACCCCTCCCCGACATCCTCTTTCTGAGATGACAGTGAGCGGGGGCTGGGGTGGCGTGGAAAGCACTGAGGGTGAATGTCAAGCATCAAAAGGGTGAATGTCACCCTGGCAAGGTAGGTCGGTGAGAACGCCATCCCGATACCACAGGCTGTGGGTTCAGTCCCCGGTCAGGGCACATACAACAATCAACCAATGAATGTGTAAATAAAAAGAACAACAAATCGATGTTTCTCTTTTTCTCTCTCTCTCCTACTCTCTCTAAAATCAACAAATTTTAAAAACAGTTTTAGAGAGTAGATGTCAAGTCCTGGCTTTGTCGCCTACAAGTTGAGTAGCCACGGCAAGTCACTTTGAACCTCAGTTTCCTCATTGGTGAAAGGGAGCTAACAGGGCTGTCCTCACGGGGGAAGTGTGAGAATTTTTTTTTAAATTTTTAATTTTTTTTTTGAAAGGGAAACTTTATTGAGGCCCCAGGGTCACAGGGATTAGGCAGAAGACTACCCTACAGGCCAGAGGAGGTGATGAAAGCGCCTTATTTAACGCTCTTCATAGGCCGCAGGTTGTTGGTGCGGCCACCGTTCTTGCAGCAGTTGACAGCGCAGGTGCGCAGGTGGACAGAACACCTGCGGCAGATCATCCTGTCACAGTTGTACTTCTGGGCGAGCAGGTGGAGGGAGGGCTCGATGCTCCCACCACACAGACGAAGCACCAAGGGCAGGGCGGGCTCCTTCTGAATGTTGTGGTCCGAGAGAGTGCGGCCATCCACCAGCTGTTTGCCTGCAAAACTCCACCGTAGCTGGCCGGGCGGGACGCCTTCCTTGACTTGGATTTTAGCTTTGACATCCTCCGTGGCAGCTCTGGGCTCACCCTCACGGGTGAGGGTCTTGCCAGTCAGGATCTCCCCATAGACCTGCAGCTCTGCATCTGCTGGGGGGCCCCCCGCACACCACCATTAACGCGCTCCACCACCTCGTGGAGAAGAAAGAGCTAATTTTCTAATTTAAAAAGTTAGCTTATGTAGCATATGGGACGCAAAATAGATGCTCAAAAATAAATTAATTAAGTGTATTAGTCCTTGCTTCCATCTCTTGGGAGAGAATTTCTAACTGGGTAGAGGTTTCGCCCGAGATGACGAAGGCAGGTATCCAAGCAGACACTCGGCGGGGTGGGGTGGGGGAGGATTTACAAATAAGTAGCAGACGGGACCAGGATCCAACAACCTGGACTCTGGCCGGCGAGCACGGTCCCTCCCCGGCCCCTGGAGGGCAAGTCTTCTTGGGGAGCCAGTGTCCATGTTCCCAGGGCCCAGGGAATCTGGGACCAGATCATGAGGGAGTAAGTAGAAAAATGCTGGTGTCAGCAAGATGTACCACCCCGTCAAGCGGGCCAGATGCCCACACCCACAAGTTAGGGGCCCTGTCTCTCCTGGACAGAGCTGGGGCCCATGATCGGTGCTTTGCCAGCCTCCACGCAGGTGAAAATCTCTCCTATGCCCGAGGCCTTTCCTCCAGTGGATTAGCCTCAGGCCCAGCGAGGCCTTGCTCCGGCTGTGTGACCTTGGGCAAGTCACGGAGCCTCTCCAGGCTTCAGTGAGTCCACCTGTAAGATGGGAACTGCGACCATCACACCTGAAAAGGTATATGTGAACCTAAAAGGCAAATGTATGTGAAGCACTGAGCACACAGCCAACCCATGATCAGTGCTGAGTAAATGTTCGCTGTTATTAAATACTATTTTTCAGCCCGCTTGGGTGTCCAGGCTGTCTGAGCAGGTGTCCAGCCCTGCTTCTCCAGCCCTGCCCAGATGCCTGTCTGTCCTTTGAGGGCCCTCGCCTCACCCGGCCCAGGTAGCTTCCTGGTTTAACCTGATCGCCTGTTTCGATGGCCCTCCTCTGAACCCCAGCTTTTGGCTGCACTCCTGGCTGGCGTCCCTCCAGGATCTCCTGGAGCTCTTGGGCCACCCTCACTTTACCTAGAATTGGGGGGAGTCCTTGAAGGGGGAAGGAATTTGGAGAAGTAGGAGGAGCGGGTGGGCCACAGCCACTTAGCTGTCCCCCTTCTCCATTCCTGCCCCCAAAAGCCTTCCACCACCATTGTAAAATGGAAATGACAACACCCCGCTCTAAGCCCTCTCACCCTTAGAGCAAAATCCAAACTGCCCTCTTGGCCGACAAGGCCCAGCTGATCTTGTCCTGTCCACCTTGCAGCCTCATCCCATCCCACACGCCCCCTGGCCAGGCTGACGTCTCTGTCCCTTAAATTCACCAAGCTTATTCCAGCCTCAAGTCTGTGTTCTTCTCGCTCTCTCCACGGAGAACGGTTCCTCGGCTCTTGGCTGAATCTTATCATGTTGATCTTAACGCAAAGGTGGGTGGATGGATGGGGGGATGGGTGGGTGGGCGGTTGCATGGTTGGATGGTGGATCAGCAGCAGGAGGCGCTCACCATCGCACCCAGAAAGGCGCTATGATCTAAGGCTCCAACCTAACGATGTGAAGCCTCACCGCTTCCTCCTCACCCCGCTCCGGCATATTCTCTGGGCCTTTTGGACCAGGGAGTATCCTCAGGGTCACACCTCCCTGCACACACGCTTGTTGAGGGTGGATTTACAGAAGAGATGCCCATTCGCCCTGAGGATATGGTCCTGCCCTTGGGTTGCGATCCAAATGTTACCATCCCCACCCATTCGCCCCATCAACTGTGACCAGGTCACGAAGGTGCACCAGACGTTGTTGTCCCCAGGAAGACTGGGTGGCTCAGGCCCCGGAGGAGGAGCCGGGCTCAGGGCTGGGGTCTGCCCTCCAGAGGAAGAGTGGCCCAGGACCACCAAGTAACAGAACAAGATCGCTTTCCTTGTCTAACCTTTAGAGAGACATTCTCTATGGAGAATGTTCCTCTTGCCATTTATAAGCAGCAGAACACAGAACATGATGGTCTCTCTCTTCTGGGCTTGGCATATACAATCTGACGCATGGTAGGTATGAGCTATTATTAGTCTGTAGTTAATAACTAGTGACTGGCATTTGCTGAGTGTTTCCCAAGCGCTGGGCCATTGCAAGATCCCTTGCCTCTGGGCATGTGACAGCCCCAATCCTGTCTCCCCACATGCAATAAGGGGCTGGGAGCAATGGCCTTCCGGCTCAACGTCTGGCGATCTCTGGGTCTCGGTTACTCCCTCTGTCCCCACCACCCAGCTCACAGGCTGGCTCTTCCGCTGGCCTGCCTGCAGCCTTGTGAGCCCTTCTCCCTGCAGAATTCCAGAGGCACCCTGCCCCTTCCTCCCCGTTCTTCACACGCTATGTCCTCAGCTCAGCCTATGAGAGTAAGATCTGACCATCAGCTCACCAGAGTATGTCCATTTCCTGGCAAGCAGCTGACCCTGTTGGGTGTTGCAACACTCACACATTGCTGGTGGGGATGTAAAATGGTGCAGCCATTATGAAAATAATCTGACAGTTCCTCCACAAGCTAAACTTAGAGTTACTCTATGGCCTGGCACTTTCACTCCTAGGGGGAGCTGAGAGGAATTGAAAACACATACTTGTACACCATTTTTCATAGCATGTTATTCACAATAGGGAATAGATGGAAAAAGCCAAGTGTCCGTCAACAGATGAGTTCATAAACAAAATGCAGTGTATACACACAATGGAATATTATATGGCCTTGAAAAGGAATGAAGTGCTGATGCATGCCCCAACACCGATGAACCTCGAAAACGTTAGGCCCAGAGGAAGAAAGAAGACACAAAAAGCCACACAGTATGTGTCTCCAACTAATGAACTATCTACAAGAGATATATTCACAGAGAAAGAAAATAACTTAGAGGTCTCCAGGGGCTGGGGGAGTTGGAATGGAGAGCTATTGTCTTACAAGATGAAAATTTTGGAAATAGATGGTGATGGTTGTACAACATTGTGGACGTAATTAGTGCCACTGAATTGTGCATTTAAAATGGTTAAGATGGAAAATTTTGTGCTATATATATTTTGCTAAAATTTTTGAAAATCCATAGTGTGATGTACATATTCCTAATTACCATGCCCAGATACCATGACAGCAAAGAAAGCTGTTAGGAAAAAAATGATTCATTTGAAATACAGTGTTGGAGGAGGGCTCTGCTGATTCCCTGGACCTCCAGGAAGATGAACAAGTAGGTTGCAGAGCAAATTAAGCCTGAAACATCGTGGGAGACAAAAATGACAGAACTGGAGCTGTCCTACTTTGGGCGCATCATGAGAGGGCAGGATTTTTAGGAAAAGACAATAAAGCTGGGAAAAACAGAAGGCAGCAGGAAAAGAGGAAGACCAGACATAAGATGGAGGGACTCCATTAAAAATGCCTTAGGCGTGAGTCTAGAGGAGCTGGTAAGGGCTGTTGAGGACAGGATGTGGTGGACATCAGTCATTCATTGAGTCACCAGGAGTCAGAGCCGACTCAAAGACAAATAACACGTCCCAAAAAACATCGAATGGTACACTTTCAATGGGTGAATCCTATGTTATGTGAATCATATCTCAATAAAGCTATTTTAAAATCAGAGCTTCCCTGGAATTCCTAATGCCAACTTATTTTGCTTATTTTCCTTTTAAGCTCCCTTTCGGAGTTGGGCTCCAGGCACAGGATATGATCCCTGTGTTTTTTAGGAGATGGTGAAGAGGTAACGCCTCTCTAGGAGAGAGAAAGCATTTGCCTCCTCCTGCTGGCCACTGAGAGAACACTCTAAATCAAGAAGAAAAATAACTTGTCAACGGCTAGGCATCTTCCTCAAAAAATGAAAAAAAGATAACGCATGTGGTTAAAAAACATTTCGCAGCCCTGACTGGTGTGGCTCAGTTGGTTGAGCGTCTTCCCACAAATCGAAAGATCACTGGTTCAATTCCTGGTCAGGGCACACGCCTAGGTTGGGGTTCCATCCTTGGTGGGGGCTTACAAGAGGCAACTGATCAATGTGTCTCTCCCTCTCTTTCTCCGTCCCTTGCCCTCTCTCTAAAAAAATTAATTAAAAAATATTTTTAAACACTCCACAAAAGTCAAAAGGCTTTTGCAGGAACAGCAAGTCTCCCTCCTACCCCAACTGCCAAGCCACCCAGAGGCAAGTACCCTTCCCACGCTTCTTTCCAGACATTCTACAGGCCACATGGATGAGAGTGCCATCCACACGGTTCTGCACCTTGGTTTTGTTCTCATAATAATATATCCTGGAGATTGTGCTCATGTTATGATTATGGTATTTGACAGATTTTTAAAGTCTGTCATTTATAGGAACTTATTTTCTCACTTTAAATACATAAAACATGTAATTTTATATATGTGAGATACACACACACACACACACACACACACACACACGTCCTCACCCAAGGACATTTTTCACTGCTTTTAGAGAGAGAAGAAGGGAGCAAGAAAAACATCGATGTGAGAGAGAAACAACGACCGGCTACCTCCTGCACGTGTACGGGCCCGGGCTGGGGACTGAACCAACAAGCCAAGTAGGTGCCCCGATCAGGAATCACACCGACAACGCTTCAGTCACTGGACGACCTTCCAACCCACCGAGCCACACCAGCCAGAGTGAATTGTGCATATTTTTAAAAGAGGGCTCCCAATTTTTACAAACTTCAGGTTCCACAAAACTTGAGTTCACCTAGTCCTCATGTAAAGTGCATTTTTGACCATGGATATCTGTACATTGAAAAAGCTCTGGACTAAATACATGATCTCAAGATGTCTTCCAGCTCTGGAATTCTCTTAACTGTGGGAAACACGCCCTGTCCCCTTCCTCCCAGCAACTGCGACTCTGACCGAAAGACAAGGAAGTCCTTTCTTGGAGCTTATCCAAGTCTTTCTTGCTGTATTTGGAGTCCTTGTCCCTCGGGAAGACAGGAAGACAAAGCGCCAGTGTGCCGAGTTGCCCTTGGAGAAGTGGAAACAGAAACCTTGAAGGTATACGCTTTGGGGGGAAGGGAAGAGAGAGTCATCGAACCAAAACCGCGAACCTAGGGAATAGAACTGTGAGCCTCTCCCAGTATAACAACAGTAGTCATCATTTGGGGCTTTCTTTATTTAACATTTATTGAGTGCTTACTGTATGCTAGGTGTTCTACGTTATCGCCAATCCTCCACCAACTGAGGCTCAAGTGGTGAAGTGACTTGCCCAAAGTCACATGCCTCTGCCCTCTCCTGCTGTGCACACCCTTCCCTCCAGCCATGACATACATCTTGGGTTCCTAAAGATATGACTTCCCACAGACCATCCGTCCCATCTTAGGGAGGAAATTCCTCCTTCTTTAGTTCCCTGCTCACGGGCGCCTCCTCTCTGTCACCCCTCCCCCCCACCACCATATTTCCTTCCACCTAAAAGGTCATTCTTTTTTTTCTTTTAAGATTTTATGTATTTATTTCTAGAGAGTGGGGAAGGGAGGGAAAAAGAGAGGGAGAGAAATATCGATGTGTAAGAGATGTATCTCTTACACATCAGTTGGTTGCCTCTTGCACACCCCTAACCAGGAACCAGACCGCAATCCAGGCATGTGCCCTGACTGGAAATCGAACCGGCCACCTTTTGGCTGAACAGGCTGGTGCTCAACCCACTAAGCCACACCAGCCAGGGCAAGGTCATTCTTTTCGGTAAAGAAAATCTATTAAATGCACAGAGAAATTAGGGCTAAATTTTAATACTTCGTGAACCTTTTCTTTTATGTAAATTCATAAATCAGTGCAATAATCTTCCTTAAGCCATGTGGCCTAGTTCTGATTTGGAAATATGAGTTCCCTCCCCGTCCCTGCACGCATACATAAGGAGTTCAATACATACATTCAATGCGCTCTACCACCTTTCTGATGCTAACTCTCTCCTCCATCAGCAGGGCACCTGGAACACCTGGAATTGTAGTTCCTGGGACTAAGTATGGACTTTAAATGCAGAGACTCAAGCCTGAGTTCAAATTCTGGCTTTGCTGTTCTCTCTGCCTGGACACTCTTTCTCTAGCTGGCTACCTTCTCAGCTTAAATGTCACGTGGCCTCCACTCTCCTCACACCAGCCAGTTTGGACCTTTGTAATTATCTTGGTGTGTTTTGTTTGCTTTTGTGTTTGTTGTCCTTTTAAAGGCAAGGACTGGGTCTTTCATGTGGGCTCTTGTGATGGAGGCTGTATGGGAATGTTGGCCAAGCACATCCTCACACAGACCTCAGAGAGAATAATTTCCAACTCCGAGGTCTGTGTGAGGATTATAGGAGACAATGGCAGACATGGGCCGTTGTGCTCTCCACCTGAAAGGAAGAGGCAAGCCAGGATCTGACTGTGGTCACAGGGCCTGGAGTGCAGGCCATGTCTCAGCTTGTTCCCTGGACCTTCTACGCTTTCCCCAAGAGGGCATCACGTGCCCTCCCACATAGCACCCCTCCAAGTTCTCTCCCTACCACTTGCCCTCCTCTCCTACACCTCCTCACCAGCATTTCCAGTGGTGGAGGGGTTTTCCTGGCAGAGGGCTGAGGTGTTAAGCCATTAGAGGTCACATGGGTCAATTGATTATAGCTTTTTCAAGGACAGCTCAGTTTTATTTGCTCCTCTCTTCCCAGGGGTTCCCAAGTCACTCAGATCAACACTTTTGCAAATGGTGGAGGTGGGAACAGGGGCCACAGGCTAAATTCCTGCGTTTCCTGTTTCCCCGTGTTGGTCCTCCTTCCTTTCACCATCCTCAGGTTCCTCCTTCCACACCTTACCCTCTGACTCCTTGTCTGGGCCAGGCCCTGCTGCCATAGGCACAGCTCCTGAGCCTCCCAGTTCTCTAGGTTTCCCTGAGGCACAGCCTGGAGCCTTGGTTAAGAGCACCACCTGGAGTGTTGTGTGAGCATGCGCACACACCCACTGTGCACTACTGAGCACTTTCCCGCACCCCTCTATCCATAAAACTTATCAATAATAGTTTCTATTCATTCATTTATTTAATGCACATTTGTTGAACACCTACTTTGTGCCAGTTACTCCTTCAAGCTTTGGGGATACATCAGTGAACTAAACAGATAAAATGCCTTGTCCTCATGGAGCTTACATTCTGGTGGGGGGAGAGAGATGGAAAAAACACAATGAAGAATGGGGAAGGTAAGCATGAAGAAGACAAGTTCAACAGAGAAAAGTGGCTAGGGATCGTGTGTTGGGGGCTTCAATTTGCAGACACCTGCTCATTGAATTCTCATGGCCCTGTTTCAGGTAAGAAGCCTGAGAAGTAGGGCGGTTGAGTGACTTGCCCTAGACCATATGATTTAGAAAGCAGTGAAGGCAGAATTTGAACCCAGGTGAAATCAAATCTATGCTAGCTTCAAAAAGTGACTCCTGATGGCATATACATGCCCAAACCAATGCGGTAAATGTGGTTGTTTTATTTCTAAAATAATTCATTTCAGTAAGAAAAGAAACATAAAAAGAGGTCTAAGTTCATATTATGTCACAGCTTTTATTGAGAAATGCAATAAACATCCATATCATTTTCCTGTATAACTTCAATGGCCAGAAGAAGAGAATGAAAAAACTGTCCCAATTAGCTGAATGGTTGATGGGGGCGGCGGGGGGGGGGATGACCGAGGGTTGTCCTCTCATCTCCCAGATGAGGTCACTGCTGTTCTGCAAGTTGAATCGAGGCTGTTCTCAAGGTCACAGCCAAGCAGAACTGGATTCGTCAGATTTTAGCCTCTGCCGCGCTTTAACCTTCCAGAGCACAAGAAGGCTGGAGGGAGCGTCACGGGCCGGTTCCCCGGCGGGCCGCCAGGGGGAGACAGACTGCAAGAGACCCCGGTGAGCCAGGCTGCGCATGACGTCACGGGGCTTCCGGGCCGCGGGTGGCAAAGACAGATGAGGAGAGTCTTCAATAGAGGGAAACGGCAGATAAAAAGGCAGCGCGGCTGGGTAGTCAGTCACTCTGCTCTTCTGATTTCAGTCTGCGTCCCCCACCCCCCAGTATCTTCTGCTCACTGTTGCCGCCTGGACCTCTCTAAAACAAATACCTAATTTTCTCACCACCCGTGGCACTTCCAACAGAGCTTACAAAAAAAAAAAAAGCTAAACACTGGAGTTCCTTTGGAGCCATATTGAAATAGTTTCAATTCCCTGAACTCCATACTCTCCTTCCTGAGCCCTGAAGCGTTTGGCTCCCTCCACCTGTTAGGTAGGATAGATAGTAAACCAAGGCAGGGAGGAGGAAGGTGGGAAGGGGTCCACAGTGCGCAAAGAAAAAGTTTATAGAACAACTTTGGTTAATTGCCTGTCTCTGGCCGCTCTGTTTTACCAGAGGGTCCCTAGTGCTTACAGAGAGAGCCCATAAAAAACTTTGAGTAGCTGCATCAACTTTAATTAACGGCCTCTTGTCATGTATCTGTTTTACGACAAGATGAACAAATGTGATCTGGAGCAAGATAAGAATTCTGGGCTAACAACCCTCCACACATTCTATGTTTAGGTGGTCACATCCGTCCCTGGGGGAAGCTGACACTGTCTCTACCCACCAATCTATATGCAACTCCCTCTCCCCATCCTGCAAGCCCTGTAAGTCCTCAGGACAAAGGACCTGATGTTTTTTACCACCGGAGCCTCTGCCTTTCTCCCAACCTCAGCAAGGGCTGTTTTCTTCTATCACACCTATCACTCATAAACCCTGCTTACATACTAACAGACTTGTAATTCCTTACTGCATCGGCAAGAAGAACCGAGTTTTCCCAGCAACACACTTGGAGTATCTTTTTGCACCAGGTTTACCTGTAGAAATCTGTCAGCTAAATACCGATTTCTCCGTGAAACCTCCCTTGACAAGAAGGCCCTTATCCCCCAGGCTCTAGTTTGGAGTAGGGGCTCCTCCTAAGTTGCCAGTACCCCATAGTCATCCCCCATCACATTATGTAATAAATACCTGATCTCGCCTTTCCAATGCTCATCAGAGAACAAAGCAAATGCATTGTGCATTAAACGATTGCAGAATGAATGCAGGAGATAGCACCGGGTTCAGGCTCTGACATTTGTGTGACCTTAGGCAAACTATTTGGCTCATAGGTTTGTTTTAAGAAATAAATTTATCGATGTGCGAAAAGTGCTTAGAACAATGCCTAGACCGTTGTAAGCAATCGACAAACTTTTGACTCCTCGTTATTGTCACAGCAGCCAACAAATGTCATCGCCCTTTTAAGGGACCCGCCCACTTTGGCAACTGAGCGGAAGTACACGCTCGGGGATCCCAGAGCGACCTCACAGACCCGGAAATGACCCCGGCGCCCCTCAGAAACATTGTGGGGGAGCATTCTCTTGGACGCCGTCACAGGCGTCTCGGTGACGCAGAACGAGTTAGAGCGTTCCTTGGGGTTTCCATGGTGCCGCTCTCGGTCCCCAGTTCAGATTTCCCTCCAAGTCTGAGCGCCTTGAACAAGAGGGCAGGAGGCGGGTCCTGCCGGCGACGTAGACGCCGCTTGGGGGAGGGGTTAGGAGAGCAAGTGACGCTCTAGGCGAGTTCGTTCGTATCTCTATGGTACCGAGCGCTCGCGTGCCCGCTTCCGCGCGTCCGGGCGAACGTTGCCCCTTTAATCGGTGGAGGGCTGTGCCGAGGAGGTCCCGCGAGAGCGGAGGGGGGGCGGGGGGCGGTGCCAAAGCTGGGGGGCCCGTGGCGGATGGAGCCCGAGATGGAGCCGGAGACTCTGGAGGCACGAATCAGTGAGTGTCCGGGAGGGGCGCGGGTCGGGCCGGAACCGGAACCGGGGGCACGAGGCGGGCCCCTTCCCGGCGGGGGCGGGGTACGGGGCGCCCCCTCCTCACGCCCCGCCCCCGTCCCAGGAGGGGCGGCGCCCCGAGCGTGTTTCTCAGACCCTAGGATAAAGTAAGATCCTATCAGCTGGGTAGCCCACCCTTCCGATTCCTGGGCGGCGACCCTCGGAGAATAGTGAGCTGCGTGCAACTCTGCTCCCAGAAGCCCCGGGACGGAGAGGGCAGCCTCGGACACCCTCAGGCCCAGATTTCCCCTCTGAGCAGCGGACCCCCAAGTCATTTCCTTGGGTCCCGAGAGGGAGCAGGCGAGCGCAGGGCTGCACCTCAGACCCGGGGGAGAACCCTGCTGTATGGGCCCCGAATCCTCCCCTGTCTGGCCCTGCATGTCCTGACTCCTTCATGTCCCATCCTTGCGCTTGGCAGCTACTCAGGTTTGCTCGTTTCCCCCGCCCAAAAAGGGAGGATCCACTGATTCACCTGATCTCTCAAGTTCTGGCCATACAGCAAGAGAACCCCCCAAACCCTACAAATGTGAAAGCACCCATCCTTGACTCCAGAAGTAATTTCAACTTCTCTATCAGTGCCCCCAACCCAGCCCCTCAAACTGACTCCTCTCAAACTGACGCCACTCAAGGCTCCTGTCCCAGCCCTTGCTGAACTTTCTCCAGAGGTCCCTGCACCCCTTTCTTTGACTCTTCAGACACACTTCCTGAACTACTCAGCCTTCAGAGCCCCGACACTTGCACTCTCCACCTGAGCGCCCTACCCTACACTGTTGACATCCTTGCCTCTCACAACCCGGTTCCTGGACTCTGCCCCAGAAAGCTGTGGCTTGCTTTCCCTGGGCTAGTGTTGGACCCACGTGTGTGCGGGGGCCTCAAGGAGGCCTCTGGGTCTACCTTCAGCTCAGCCCCTTAGCCCTGGGCACACCAGGGAGCTACGCAGGGTGATCAGAGTTGAACCCTGAGATTAGCCCCAGAACCACACCATCTCCGGGGATGTTTCAGTGTCAGTCTGGCAGGGAGAGGGGGAGGGGGTGGAAAGGAGGTGCTCAGCTGCCATTAAGATTGTTCCAGAACGCCACAAGTGTCCAGGTCTCAGCTGCAGTTTGGGGAGATGGGCAGCGCTCTGGCTGAGGGATATGACAGGCTGAGGGACTTGAGTTCTAGAGGATACAGTGTCAGGTTTAGCGATGACGGGGGTTTTCTGAGAGACCAAAGAGTCTGATCTGAGGGACCGAGAGGAGCCCAGACACTTGGGTTTGGCCAGTAGGTTGGACCCCAATAAATTGGGACTGACATTATTTTTCTCTTTTTCTTCCCCTCTGTGCCCTAGCAAAGTTGTAAGCTCTTCCCTTGGGGTGGCTAGAGATAAAAAGTAGCTTCTGATTAAATGATGACTGTCACCACTGTGGGGTGACACAGTGAAGTCACCCCCTGTTGTGAAACACCTCCCTTCCTCCCTGGAGGAGTTCTCCCCTGCGGCCTTCTAGGGAAAGTGCCCCTCCCAAGACACCTGTGGGTTGGGGCCAGGGCCAGAGAAGTTGGTCAGATCTCCGTGGACCCAGCGGCCCTCACTCCGAGAAAGATGCATGTCTCGTGGTCCCACCGCTTCCTTACTGGCTCCTGACTCAGGAGCTGTCTCTAGAACCCGCCTCTCTGTCTGCAGTCAGACTCACGTGCCTCTGACACTTGAAGGGACTTCCTGTTTTAGGGTCCCCCAGCTGGGTGTCATTGAGTGGGCAGTACCAGCCTCATTCCCTCTGACCTCAGACTGGTGTTCCCCAGCCTCTGGCCATGCTGGGGGGCTAGGAGACAGAGTAGATGGCCGCCCTTATTGGGGGGGCTTTTCCTCGTACCCCAGCTAGTCAGCAGGGCTGCTTTTCTCTGAGGGCCTGGCGGGCTCTGCCAGCTCCAGGAACAGAGATTTGTACCCAGAGAGAAAAAGCTTCATTCAGATCTCTGCTCGGCTGCACCAGAGAGTAGTCCTCCCGGCCTCCTGCCAACACTTTGTATACCTTCTCCCTGCTCTGTTTTTGGGGGGTTTTCCCCCCCCCTCTTTTTTGGTTATAGCACTTCACACCAGTATAGAGCATTTGGTGTGGGTTTGTTTGTCTGAGTAGTCAGCGTGTCTCTTGCTGGGCTGCGAGCTCCGGGAGGGCAGGGATTTTGTCATGCTCACCGCTGTGGCTCCAGCGCTCAGCATATTTATCGAATAAATATGAGTTGAATGAATGGCAGCCAAGCACTAGGCTCCTAGGGCTCCAGGCCTCCCGCCACCACGCAGGACCCCAGGTAGGCAGCTGCCATGTGTTAGGTCTCCAGCCTCCTCCTGTCCACAGATCAGTCTCTGTCCCGCCTCCTGGGCTGTGTTGCCTCCACAGCTCTGGCTCAGCGCTCAGGCTTGGGCAGAGCCGGCTGGGACGGGGTGAAACTTGGAGACAGGCTCTGGGGAAGTAGTGAAGATCTATCTTTGGCTGCCCCCACAGCTCTATCCTGTGTAAAGTATTTTGTCATCCCAAATCAGTCTGTATTCAGTCCAACTTCACAAATGGGGAAACAGCAGTTTCTGTGGCCTACTTGGTTGTTGTTTGACCAGTGCTGGAGGTAAGGGAGGGGCTGTTTGGCCTGGTTTACCACCCCCTCCTCACCGCTCCTGCCTGCCCACAGCTGAGCCCTCATTCATTCATTCATTCATTTCCCGGGAGAGATGGGCATGTCCTTAGACAGTGGCGGGATGCGATGCAGTACTAATCTTGGCCTGTGATGAAGGTCAGGTCTGAGGGACACAAAAGAAAGAGCTGATGCAGCAGTGCCAACCTGGGCAGGAGTCGGGGTTGGCAAAGACTTCCTGGAGGAAGTGATACTTAGCGGTACTCCTTAGCAATGCCCTTCATGCTCTGCCCCGTGTTCAGTTACCTGCAGCCCGCACAGCCCTGGAGCTGTGCGGAGGCATGCACACCCAGCCTGGCTAACTTCCTCTAGTCCCTTCTTTGTTGCCTCTTCCAGGCAGCCTTCCCAGATCCCAGGCTCAACTGAGTCCCCTCCTCCAGGTCCTGCGGCTCCTTTACTCCCTCCTTCTCACTGTACTGAGAGCCCAGTTCCCTCGGCCTGCTTGCCAGCTGGGCAGACCCTTCAGGGAGGAACTATGGGTTTGTTTTTCTCCTACTTCTGATCTCTGAGCATAAATTCCATGGAATTGTGGGGACACTGTTTCCAGGAGCAGAATCAGAGGTGTAATCAGACATGGCAGCCAGAGCTGTAGGAGTATGGCAGTGGAGAGTAGGGAAGCAGCCCCAGAATACAGTCTCTAAAAATGGGACCCTTCGGGGAGAAGCTGAAAGGGGAAGCTAGGGGACGGGCGTCCTTCTGTCTGTGGACTTGACTGATACATCAACACTCGGGTCTTGAGACTGGCAGCGTGGCCCCTGCGGAGCAGTCCCTGCTGCCAGGGTAGGGCGTGAGGGAGGCAGGGATTCCTTTGCTAGGTCATGCCTGCCCTCTCTGCTCCTGCAGACAGAGCCACGAACCCCCTGAACAAGGAGCTGAACTGGGCCAGCATCAACGGCTTCTGTGAGCAACTCAACGAGGACTTCGAGGGGTAGGTGGCTGTCTCCCTCTTCTGCTCCTACTCAGTAACATTCGCTGTGTCCCTGCTGTGCAGGGGTTGCCCTCAGACTTGGAATAGACTGGCAGGGAGATTGGGGTGGACACGTTAGCGGGTCCCCCAGGCGGTGCTGAAGTTTGGGGAGCACAGCTCAATGTGCTTCATCCCCACTACACCGCCCCCACGCAGGCCCTCTATTCGAGGAGGCCGCACAGACCACATGACACATGTGCTCTGGAGCCAGGCTGCTCAGGTGCAACTCCTGCCCCTTCTGTTAGCTGGGCAGGGACCTAAATGCCTCTGAGCTTCCACCCCTTCCGCTGTAAAGTGGGACAGTCGTGCCGCCCACCTCTAAGGGCATTTGTGAAGCTTAGGCAGGAAAATGCTCATGAGGCACCTTGCCCATCATAAGCACTCAGTCCATGTTCTCCATTACTGCCACCGCTGACAGGTCTTTTAGGATCTGGTAGAGGATAGCACCACCTCCGCCATGAAGCTGCCCAGATTTCCCCCAGCAGAATGTCCTGTGCTGCCTTGGGTTCCCAGGGAGCAGTGTCTGCCCATCTCTCCTGGTATATGGGCATGTTCTGCTCCAGGCTGGGCCCTTGAACGCTCCAGCCACCTCTCCATACTTGTCTCTATGCTGAGCCAAGGACATGGCAGGTCATAGTTCTTAGTAAAGCTGGCCAAGCGCTGAGCTCACACCCCCTGAGTGTCGTAGCCCACGCTCCCTGCCTGGTCCTACCCTGCCATGCCACAGTCTTCAGCCCTGTCCTCAATCCAGGCGGAGCTGGGCCTTTGCCTCTGCCCTGCAGAACCACCAAGGGCTTCGGCCCTAGCAGGGCGGTGAGGCAGCCTGCCCCCGTGGCGCCTGAGCTCTCTAGCCATTCTGGCTCCGTCTCTTCCTCTCGCCCAGGCCTCCACTTGCCACCCGGCTGTTGGCCCACAAGATCCAGTCCCCGCAGGAGTGGGAGGCGATCCAGGCCCTGACGGTGAGGAGAAGGGGAGAAGGTGCCGGCCATCCGCTGACCACGTGGCTGGCACCAGGGGAGGCCAAGACTGAGGTTTTGGGGGCCCCGTCAGACACTCCAAAGCCCAGGGGAGTTGTGCGAGGGTGGCCTAGAATGGGGGTCTGGGCCAACCCTTGAGGGTCCCATGACATCCAGTGGGTTGGCCTCCCACCCCAGACCCTGCACAGGTAGGTTTCTTGTGGGGAGGAAACCCCAAAGGTCATCTGGTCCAGGGGTTCCCTACTCCAGCTGTGCCTCAGATCCCTAGGAGGCTGGTTAAACTTACTGAATCAGGGTCCCACCCCAGAGCCTCTGGACCAGAGCTGCAGTCCCTGCATCCAGGGATCTGCATGTTGTCAGAGCTCCCAGGTGCATTGCGGGGCCAGCCGAGCCCATCAGTGGTCTCCAGACACAGGGCAGCGCTGTCCTTCCCACAGGGGTGCCAGGCGTGACGTACGGGCTCGGGTTAGAGGTTTCGAAGCGGTGCTGCTGGCAGAACAGTGCGGGGTATACTGTCTGCGTCCCCCAAGCATGTGGCCACAGAGCAGCCCGCTGTATAGCCAGGCTGATTGTAGGCAATGGCAATGGACTGTTTTCCTTTTAATAGTTATACATTCATTTTAACGTGTTAATTTTTTTCATTTTTTTCCTCAAATGCACACCAGTCCTATGATTTCACAGGCATATAGCTTAGGATAAGGCAGAGTTAGATGGTGTCCGTGTAAGTTTAACAATCAAAGGAACATAGTAAGAAAATAATTTACACGTGGCACTCAGGCGCGGCCAGGTCGGGGAGGGGCTGCGGTAGCTGCACATGGGGCCTTGCCCAGCTTCGCCCCCAGCGGGCGGTGAGCGGCCTCAGGGGCCTGTGATCCTCCAAAGCCTCCTGTCCTCACCAGTTCCTTCCTTATAGCACCCATCCCTGGGCTCCTGGGAGGCAGGCTGCCGCCTTTGACCCCTGGGGTCCCCACCCCCCACCCCCGCAGGTGCTGGAGACGTGCATGAAGAGCTGTGGCAAGAGGTTCCACGATGAGGTGGGCAAGTTCCGTTTCCTCAACGAGCTCATCAAGGTCGTGTCTCCCAAGGTGGGTGCTCCCAGCCCGAGCTCCGACCTGCGCCGCCAGGCGGGTGACGGCCACCTCGCCCCGGGGCCTCCTGCTGGGGCTCCCACTCCTATGGCTGTCTCAGCCCCCGTTAGAATTCTGTCCTGGCACAGGCTCAGGCCCTTTCTCCTGGGCCCCTCACACAGCTGAGTCCGGGACAGCTGATGTCTAGGACAAGTGCTTCCACTGACGGGGCGGCGGGTGGCCAGCCCTGGGGCAGCGCGGGACCTAGGGGAAGCCCACTGCGGGGAGCGCACGCAGCCGCCCCAGCACGGGCTACCCTGGCTCCGAGATCTCTCCCTGCACACCCGGCCACAGTGCGCCACCTGGGTCTCTGGGTCTGTAGTGGAGGGTCTCTCTGTTCCCACCTCACGAGAGTGGCCCCTGTAAGGCTTTGGGTGCTGAGGCCCCAAACCTGAGTGATAGAGCCTTCTGGCTGCAGATGGGCCATACCCCCAGCTTTGCCTGAGGAGTCCCCCCATAGCTCATGAACATGGTGGCGCCGCTTGGGTGAGGCCCACCCCCTTCGCCCTTCCTCACCCAGGCCTGCTCACCAGAGTGGCTGAGTGACCCAGCTGGCCTCCCCGTTCTCCCAGAAGGTGACCGGTGGGAGGGCCCGCGCCCTCAGCCTGCTTTACTTCTGGGAGGCTGAATGGGGCCCAGGCCGAGCGCTCCACAGCTGCCCCTTCCCTGGCCGGTGCGGCAGCTCCTCCTTCCTGGGGTCACAGTGTCACCCCTTACCTGAGAGGGCACTAGGCCCTGCCTTAGCTGTGTCCACTCTGCATCCTCACTGCGGCGCCACTGTTATCATCCACACTTAACAGTGGGGAAACTGAGGCACGCAGTTCACACAGCTGGTGAGTGAGAGCTGGGGAGTGAGCTCCGTCTGCACCGGGCCGGGACGTGAGAGGGCCCTGTAGGCCAGGCTTCCGAGGCAGTTCTGGGGAGACAGCCAGGTTGGGAGCGGAGTTGGGGCTGCAGCGAACGGGGTCAGCCAATGTCAAGGGTCTCCCCTCCCCCTGGTCTTTGAAGTACCTGGGCTCTCGGACATCAGAGAAGGTGAAGAACAAGATCTTAGAGCTCCTCTACAGCTGGACGGTTGGCCTGCCTGAGGAAGTGAAGATTGCAGAGGCCTACCAGATGCTCAAGAAGCAGGGTGAGGCACCCGTGCCTCCTCCCCTCTTCCCACCCGCCCCTGCCCCGCCCCGCCCCCAGCTGGGCTCCAGCAACTTGCTTCTGGCCACTCGGCCACAGGTCTGCCCTTTAACTTCTCAAGAACATATGGCCAGGGAGGCCTTTTTGTTGCTCTGCCTAAGGCTATCTTGGGTGGAGAGAAGGTGAGTTGGGGTCAGGCTTGCCCTTAGAAAGTGGCTCCTGTGGAGTGGCCTCAAAACATGGGTGTTCAAACTCTTCCCCACGCTGTTCAGCACAGTAGGTCAGGAGCAGGCCCTGGCCCGCCAAGACCTAGAGCCAGCATGCGGGAGGAAGACTGCCTTCCCCTTTCCTTCCTGCACTTGCCTGGCGGTCCCCGTCTCACCCCCCGCCCCTGGGCCTGGGCTTGTCTGACAGCCTTCCCACCACCCATCTACTCCAGGAATAGTGAAGTCCGACCCCAAGCTTCCGGATGATGCCGTCTTTCCCCTTCCTCCTCCGCGGCCCAAGAATGTGATCTTTGAAGATGAGGAGAAATCCAAGGTGAGACAGGGCCGACGAGGGCTCCAGGGTCTACCTGGGGGTCAGTGAATTCCAGTCCTGGCTGCACTGCCCTCGGAGCAGAAGCCCTTGATGAGTACGGCCACTAGTGGGTGACAGGCACCATTTACTGAACACTTCCTGTGCACTGAGCACCCCCACACGGCGCCCCTGCAGTTAATAAACGCAAGAGTGTGTCTCGTGTTGCTGAGGTTGGTTTGAAGGCATTTCCTAGGTTGGCCAGGAGTTTGCGTGTCTTTATGTCTGTGACTCTTTGAACCAGTAACTTCATTAGTTTTTTGTTAAAAAAACATGTTCATGGGCAAGAAATTAAACAGCACAGAAGGAGGTAAGATAAAAGGTAAAAGCTCCTCTCTACCCTGTGCAGTCCCAGTTAAGTTTCTTGTACATCCTTCCAGAAAGGTTCTCTAATGGTAGCAGTAGAACGTCTTGCATCATTTGTTGAGAACTGATTTCTGCTGGGCGCTGTGGGGAGCACTCAGGTACAGTGTCTCGGTTGTCCCGTGGCACCCCAGCAGGTGCTAGTAGATTCTCGCCATTTCACAGAGAGCTTAGATAACACATCCCACAGCGAGGAAGCATGGGGCCAGCACGTGACCCAAGGCCCAGGCCCGGCCTGCATGGTCACTCCCCCTGTCTGTGCGCAGATGCTGGCCCGCCTGCTGAAGAGCTCCCACCCCGAGGACCTCCGAGCAGCCAACAAACTCATCAAGGAGATGGTGCAGGAGGTGACGGCCGAGCCCGGGGCCCGGGGAGGAGGCGGGATGGACGTGTCGGGCCGAGCTGCCGGGGTGGGATTGTGTGTGTGCACACAAGGAACTCTGTAGTGACTGAGCTAAATGGCTGTCACAGCAGTGGAAAGAGCTGGCCAACTCTAGGGGGCCCCAGTGGGCTGAGCGGGACCACCACATAGAGGGAACAATTTCCCAGCAGCTGAGCTCATCTGCTCTGGGAGGATGGGCTTCTGTGAGGCCGACTCTCCTCCATAAAAATTAGAAATAAATTAGGCTTTATTACATTTGGGGTGTGTGTGTGAGAGAGCGAGAGAAAATAACGTATGTTTAACTTAGAAGTAAATACAGATGCTCCTTGACTTGCAATCGGGCTATGTCCCAATAAATCCATAGTAAGTTGAAAATATCATGAGTCAGGAAGGTGTTTAATACACCTAACCTACTGAACATTATAGCTCAGTGTAGCCTAGCCTAGCCTACCTTAAACTCAGGACACTCATTAGAGTTAGAGTTAGGCAGAATCACCTGACACAAAACCTATGTTTGACTGTCATGTGATGCATCATGCACGTCACTATTGCCCCATCATAAAGTCAAAAAGTCGTAAGTTGGGGACCGTCTGTATACATACACCATGGGTGCATGCTGAAAACATTTTTTTATGGATAAAGGCAAGTCATCAAAAAGTGTGCAGCCTAGAGACCCAGAGGGCAGTCCTGGCTTGTGTCCTAAAGGCAAGCTGCACACTCTCACAGCCAGGAGAAAGTCGGGGGCGGCCCCTCGCCAGGAGGGCACAGCGGAGACAGCACAGCGCAAGCCCCCCTTTCACTCTGCGAGAGGAGCCTGTGTGGTAAGAAGAGTTGGCCTAGGTTGCAGGGGCACTTGCTGCAGTGGCCTGTCAAGGCCACGAGTGCCCCACCATGTGCCAGGCACTAACAGACAGAGGGGTGACTGCACTGGCTTCTAGATGGCACTTGGCGACCACTGAGGTCTTTCGCTCTCAAGTACAGGAACCTCCTTTCAAGGGACAAACACGAGAAAAGCAAGGCCCATGGAGACCCAGAGGTGTAGGTCGGCCATTCCTGGAGATTCCGGCTCAGGGCCCAGGAGATTCTTAGGGGCCCGAGCACAGGTCTGGGTCCAGGGGCCATTGGCAGGAGGAGGGGAAACGAGCAGGGCTGGCCTAGGGCCTCTTGACCAGACTGTCCTGTCCGGGGCATGAGGGGCTCTCAGCCGTCTCTGCCCTAGCACCCCGCCGGCAGACGCTTGTAACGGTGTGGGCAGTGCTTGGCTCGGGGCTCTGTCCCGGCCGCAGCTATCAGGGCCGTGTGCCGGTGCCTCCCCAGGACCAGAAGCGGATGGAGAAGATCTCGAAGCGGGTGAGTGCCATTGAGGAGGTGAACAACAACGTGAAACTGCTGACGGAGATGGTGATGAGCCACAGCCAGGGCGGTGCTGCGGCCCGCAGCAGTGAGGACCTTATGAAGGTGCGCCTGTCTCCACCCTGTCCCCGGCCACCCAGGGCCCCGCCGGCCCTGACCTCCCCACCTTGCTGTCCCCAGGAACTGTACCAGCGCTGTGAGCGGATGCGGCCCACACTCTTCCGACTGGCCAGTGACACAGAGGACAATGACGAGGCCTTAGGTGAGCGCCAGGCCAAGCTGGCACATCCCTCCGCCTCCTTCCCCCACCTCCCCAGCCCTGCTGAGTACCCACAGTTGGAAGGAGCCGCCACCAGGGGGCCCCTTTCTCCAGCACTGACCTTGATTTCTCCGAGTTGAGGAAGAAGGAAGTCCAGATCAAGGGCAGACCAGGTTGAGGGACCCTCTGGGCCAAGCAGTTTCACAGACACCTCACTTACTGCCCACAAGCTACACAGCAGGGAAAATTGTCCCCGTTTTACAGTAGGGGCTAAGAGCGGGGAATGACTTATCCGGATCACGGAGCAGAACAGTGGCAGAACCAGGGCAGGGCGGAGCAGGACTCTCCCTGCAGGCACTGCCTCCCTGGTGAGGGCTGCACACTGAGCGCGAATCCCACGGGCCCGGGCAGTTCCAGAGCTGGGCCCTGTGACATCTTCAAGGGCCCCATATCCAGTTCTCGTCCTGTTCTCTGCTACCACATCAGCAGCGCCTCTTGGGCAGCGGTCTGGGTACCATCTCAGCCCCTCATTCAGCAGGAGCTCGCTGAGCGCCTCCCATGGGCCAGGGACCTGGTCCCCGCCCAACAGGGTCACTGTTCAGATCCCTCTAAGCCTTGGCTCCCCCGAGGGTGATACTGACAAGGGCGTAGTGTGTGCCAGAAACATTTCTAGGCCCTCAGGGATGTGGCAGTGATCAGAATGGACAAAAACCATAACCTCATGGAGCCTCATGAGAGGAGACAGACAATAAACCCAGAACGTGAGCGGTGGCAGTTTGTCAGGCGGCGCTAAGTGACACGGAGAGAAACAAGCAGGGAGGGCCGCGTAGTGTGGGAGAGGGATTAAGGAAGTCCTCTCCAAAGCGCCTTTTTGGTGAAGACCTGAAGACGGAAAGGGGTGAAGCCACGCAGAGACCGGGGGTTGTCTTAGCAGCAGAGCCGTGTGGAGGCCTGGGGCGGGGGGCAGGTGCTGTGTGCAGGGGCTGGTGCGGGGCAGTGGGGAGGAAGCACTGGGCAAGAGGGAACGGCGGGGGTTGGGGACGGCCTCAGTCTGAGTAGATGAGATGCGGCACCTGCCGTCCTACCCCCTCTCGAGGGCTGGGATGGGTGGAGGGTGCTTGTGTCTCTCCAGAGGCCCCCGCGTTCCTCACACGGGCCTCTCCGCTCCTGCCCCTCCCAGCGGAGATCCTGCAGGCCAACGACAACCTCACCCAGGTGATCAACCTGTACAAGCAGCTGGTGCGGGGCGAGGAGGTCAACGGTGAGGCTGCCACCAGCTCCATCCCTGGTGAGGAGGTGGCAGGAAAGCTGGGGAAGGGCCCCAGGATGGCGGGGCACAGGGAGTCCAGGGTGGTGCGACAGTCCAGATCTGGTAGCCATGCCGCCCGGGGGACCCTGGCCCCTTAAGATGGGGAAGGCCCCCAGGCAGAGCCTGTGCCAGGCCTGCAGCTGTGGGGGGCGGGAGTCTGGATGTGGGGCAGAGGGAGGGAGCCGAGGACAGGCAGAAGGGAGGCCTTTCTTTCATTTGACAAATTGCCACCTGTTGTGCAGGACTAGATGACACCCCCAAGGCTTAATGTAATTATCAGAAGGTGGTAAGGGAGGTTTTGGCACATAACACTCCAGCTCAGTTTCAATAAGGGTAAAATGGCAGCTCGGGGAACCACAGAAGAGGTCAGAATTGGCTTTTTGGGGGGAGGTGGGGGTGGGGCGCTGCACAGAAGTAGCAGAGTTTAAGCAGGGCCTCAGGTGATGGGAGGCAATTGGCCAAGTAGAGAGAAGTAGGAAATCCATTCCAGGCAGAAGGAACAGCATGTGCTAAAGAAAGGGCTTGGTGGACAGATTTAGGGGCAAGGACCATGTGGCCAGGGAGGGGGAAGCAGGAGAGTTGCGAGGGGTCGGGGTGGGGGGCGGTTTGCTGCCCCTGGACTCCCGTGGACCCTGAGAACCTGAGTGTCCTCCCCCCAGGCCTTGCCTGACTCTCTGTTCCCACCTCAGGCAGCACCTCAGCCCTGTTGGATCTCTCAGGCCTGGATCTCCCTCCTGTGGGCACCACCTCCCCAGCCAGGCCCCCCTGCCCTGGCGAGCAGGCCAGCCCCAGCACCTCCGTTTCCCTGCTTGATGATGAGCTCATGTCTCTGGGTGAGGCCGGGCCCAGAGGAGGGCGGGGTCAGCTGCAGGTGGGGGCGATGCCCATGGCGGCGCACGCGCTGCTTGCAGAGCCTGGTCTGTCAGTGTGTTGCTTCCCCTCCCTTCAGTGCCCTGGAGCGTGGGGGATGGGCTTGAGGCCGGCTGAGGATCAGGAAATCAAGGAGCTTGTGCAAGGTCAGAACAGTCAAAGGGCGAGACTGGCCATCCCTGAACCTGGCAAGCCAGCAACACCCAGGCTCCGAGGGAAAACACACAGAGAGAGGTTTCCCTGCAGCAGATTGGAGCCTGGGACTGGGTGCTGCTCCAGCCGCAGTTCAGCGGTGTCTCCACCCACTGAGAGGAAGAGAGGGCTCCTGGCCACAGTGCCCAGAGGCTCCGGGGAAGCTTATGCCAGAGCACACCTCACTCTGTAACCCAGGCCGGCCCTGGGCCAGGCCTGTGTTGCTACCAGGTGAGGTCAGGGCTCCAGAGCCTGACAGGGAACCAGGCTCCCCGCTGGGGAAGAAGTAGAAGGAGCCCAGCCGGCCAAGCCGTTTGGGGTTTCCAGCTTTTAAGGCTTAGAAGCAGGAGGGTACAAGAGCCACTTCCTCATAATACCCTGGAGTTCCAGAAATAGAGACGTGGTTGGGCTCTGTCAAAGGAGCCTTGAAGGATATGTTGGGAACCTAACTTGGAAGCCAAGTGTCAGACTGTTCTCTTGAGCTGGTTCTGAGGTCAAAACTGAACTCGAGGGACCCGAGGAGCCGGGGCGCGCTGGGCCCCAGGGTGTCAGGAGTGCTACCGCACCACAGCTGCGGGCTGATTTGTCATAGGCCTCCGCCCTCCACCCGTCCCATGCGCTGGGTGCTTTTACAGATGTGAAAGCAAGGCTCAGAAAGTCCGGGCAACTTGCCCGAAGAGGGCGCCAGGGTTCGGTCGGGGCGCCCCGACGCTGAAGCCCCACTCTGCGCCGGTCTGCAGCTCCGACTGTGCTCCCCAGCCCGGGAAGGGAGACGGGGGCTTGGAGTGAGGAGCCACAGTGGACCCGGTTCAGTTCCTCTCTTGTGGCTCCCTCAGCTGGCCCGCTTCCTAGGAGACTCTGCCCCCTGCCCCTCCTCATTCGGAGCCAGGGCCCGCTCAGGTGGAGAGGCCCCGTCCCTGCTTTACAGAGAAAGGATGGCAGTGACAAGGAAGCGCATGCTGGCTCATCTTCCCCCACAGAGCCAGGACTGGGCATTTGTTGTGTGTGTGGGCCCCCCCCACCATGAGTGGCAGTGGCCGAGCCACCTCCTCACCAGAAGCGAGGTGCGCTGTGCACTTCCTGTCCCCATGTTGCTTCAGCAGAGGCCTGAGCCTGCAGCTTCCTCTGGTTTCTTCTCAAAGGCAAAGAAAATGTGGGAACAGGAACCGGAAGTGTCAGGGCAGCACCCCCAGCTCTGGAGGCCCTGGGACCACAAAGGGGGCTTTTCCTAACCAGTTCTCTGTGGCAGGAAGGGGGAGGGGTGGGGGGCAGGGTCAGCCACGGGACTTCCTGTCTGCCAGAGGGCATGCCGGCACTGTGGGGCCCTTCGCCCAACCTGTCTAACTCCCTACAACAGTCCTCTGATGTGGGTGCTGCTCTTGTCTTCACTTTGCAGATGGGGCACAGGGAAGTTGTCACCAGCGGGGGGTCTCACAGCTAAGTGACAGAGCTGTATTCAAACTCCAGCAACCAGGCCGTGCTCTGCCCACGTCCAGACTCGGCCGCTTGCCAGCTCTGTGGCCTGGGGCAGGTTACTGAGCCCCTCGGAGCATCTGTATCCTCACCTCCAAAGGAGGGAGGAGCACCCCTTCCTGCCTATTCAGGTTGTTTTGAGGACTGAGTGAGACCCAGGTCTGGAGTGCCTGGCACATCCGGGGTTGTAAGGAATGTTCGCAGTTGCCACCCGTGTCCCTGGTGGCAGAGTGCTCTGTCCAGGGGGAGAGGCCCAGTGGTTACAGCTTCCTGCACCTTGCCTTTGCCCGTCACGCAGCACTTCAGGCCGGACCCCGCTTATTCAGGGTTTGCAAACAGGATTAACTTGTCTTCTCTAGGTAAAATCTGCAGTGAACTTGGCTGGGGGTGTGCTTCACGGCAGGCGGAGGTCAGACTGGTTGGTGACCTTCTGCCTTCTACCAATCAGCAGCCTTCCAAAGGGTCCAGAGCGCTCTGGCAGTGGTCAGCCGGCCTTGTTAGCACGTGCCAGGGCGGATGGGGCCTTCGCGGTCTGCCCCAGTCCACCCTGCACTGTGTGCGTGGGGCCACTGTGGCCCAGCGAGCACCCTGCCCGTGGCTGCTCCAATTCTGGGGCAGGCCCGGCCCAGAGCCCCGTTCGCTGTACACAGTGCCCTTCAACACTCAGAGGGGAACCCTCCGGTCAGTCATTGGTTGGCAAGATGCTGACCCCTGCCCACCTGGATCCGTGAGGTTAGGAACCTCACTTGGCGTCTCCACTCCTGCGCGCACACACACCTCACACCCTTCCATCAGCAGCTTCCAGCTGATGCACAAAGATAAACTACAAAAAAACATCTGTAGTTGAGTTGGCTTCTGAGCAGCAAGAGAGGAAGCAAGTGTGGGCCTGGAGAATGGGCTGTCAGGAATTTTGCTTTCTACTTCTGCTCTGGCTGGTTCCCTCTGAAAGTGCTGAAGTGGGGGAAGGTTTCCCCTTTGAGCTGAGCCCCTCAGAGGAAGGGGTGCAGAGCAGGTAGGAGCCAGGGACCCCAGCCCAGTGCACAGTACCCCAGCTCTCACCTCTGCTCCGGGATCCAGCACCTTCACCTCTGTCTTGCTTCCCCACAGGCTTAAGTGACCCCACACCCCCTCCAGGCCCAAGCTGGGAGGGTGCTGGATGGAACAGCTTCCAGGTAGGAGGGGCCAGCAACTGGCCTGACCCATCCCAGCGGGAGAGCAGCTGGGATGGGCAGCCTGGGGGAGCAACGGGAGGAGGGATGAGTGGAAGGGCCTGGGGCAGGGGGTGGCCCAGGGGCTATGGCAACCGTCCCAGGGTGGAGAGAGGCAAGTGGTCCTCTCCCGGGCGCGCCTCCCCCTGCCAGTCTCAGCTGTGGGCCTCCCTCAGGCTGAGGTGGGGATTCCTTATTCCTTTTCCCCTAAGGATGACTTCGAGGTCCCTGGAATTTGATGGTTTCTAGAGTAGAACCCCAGACCATGCCAGCCCACTAATGGCCCTGGAGTGAGGGGATCTGGCCGAGCAGGAATGCTTCCCGGTCCCTGCTACTTGTCCCCTGATGTCTGCAGGGAGGGGAAGGGGCCTCCTTTTCAGCACAGGACAAAGCACATCTTTTCAGCACCGCCTCAGGCACCTGCATCCTTTGTGTACCCACCAGTCATCTGACAGCGCTGAGCCCTCAGTCCCCGCTCCGGCACCCAGCGTGGACAGCTGGTCCCCAGCAAAGACACCCCTGCCGGTGAGCAGTGGTCTGGACGACCTGGACCTCCTGGGAAAGACTCTGCTGCAGCAGTCACTGCCCCCGGAGTCCCAACAAGTGCGGTGGTGAGGGCACACCCGGGCTGGCACGGGGGGCCCTCCCAGTCCTGAGAGCTGTGGGCCTTCCCTGGCCCAGGGGGGCCCGTGCGGCTCATTCCTGGGAGCAGCGGCTGCCGAGAACCTTGTGCCAAGCACTGCACTGGGCTCCAGGGAGGCGCAGGACCTGTCCCACAGAGCACAGAACGTGTGAGAGGAGGGGGCCTGTGCCCCACTCCCATGCCCACCCGCAGGGGCCCTGGCACGGAGAAAGGTGGAAGGCCCAGGAGGCCAGCCGTGAGGAGGACCCTGAGCCTGAAAGAGTGGGCAGGGGTGGGGGAAGGGAGGCCAAGAGCTGCCCGTGTCCAGGTGAGGAAACCAGGACCAGAGAGACAGGGTGGTGTCGGGGGCCAGTCTGGAAGCCTAGCCTTTCCTGTGCCCCTGATGTCTTGGCCACTGAGGAGTCACCTGTCAATGCACTGTCCCACAAAAGGGAGAAGCAGCAGCCAGCCCCCCGGCTCACGCTCCGGGACCTGCAGAATAAAAGCAGCTGCAGCTCGCCCAGCTCCGGCGCCACCAGCCTCCACACCGTGTCCCCTGAGCCCTCTGGGCCCCCGCAGCAGCCCCCGCAGACTGAGCTCTCGCTGGCCAACATCACTGTGCCCCTGGAGTCCATCAAGCCCAGTGAGTAGGGCGGGGCCCGAGCGGGAGCAGGGTGGGCGACCGGCTCACGGCCCTGCAGCGCCTCCCGCCTCGCCGTCCCTTCGGGAACTCTTCCTGGGGGAGCAGGTGGGAAAGCGGGGCTTCCTTCCCGGCCCTGCCACAGCCTGACTCAGTGGGGAGCTCTAGGCAAGACCCTTCGCCTTCCCAGCACCCAGTTTCCTCAACTCTCCCAGAGCAGTTCCAAAACTGCTGTGTAAACTCCAGGGTTACACAGGCAAGAGGACTCCTTACAGATGGCCCCTGGGCCCCTCCTGCCTGGGAAAGCGGGGCCGAGACACCGAGGTTCAGGGCCTCCCCGAGATCACAAAGCCAAACCAGGAGAAGGACCCAGGCCTAGGTCTGGGCTTCCCTCCCCCGCCAGGAGCAAGGGGGGGCCCCGGCAGCACCAGGCCCTGCACTGATGGGCCGGTCTTCGCAGCCGGACCCGGCTGGGGAGCTCGCTGTGACCACGGGCGTCAACCCTCTGTGTTCCTGGGGGGTGCAGGGAGTGGTGGCCCTGTCTTACCAGTAAGGCAGGCCCTGAGAAGCAGAGTGACTGGCCCGGGGTCACACAGTGAGGACGGGACGCCAGCACACCGGGAAGCAGCTGCAGGGGCCGCACCGGCAGCACCCCACATGGGACCCAGTTTCTGGCTGGGTGTCTTACCCCCACCGTCACACTAAATGTTCACCTGCCCTCCCAAGCGCGAGTCTACCCCTGGCCACACTGCTACCCAGGGTCGAGGCAAGGAGCTAAGTTTGTGGGTCGGTCCTTGCGTTCCCAGCCGAGCAGCGAGCCCCTGATGAGAGCTGGTTGAGTATGCTGGGGCTCGAGCCGGCGCCTTCCCCCCCTTGCCTCCCCCTTCTCCCCTGTCAGGCAGCATCTTGCCGGTGACTGTGTACGACCAGCATGGCTTCCGGGTCCTTTTCCACTTTGCCCGCGACCCGCTGCCCGGGCGCTCCGACGTGCTGGTGGTGGTGGTTTCCATGCTGAGCACCGCCCCCCAGCCCATCCGCAACATTGTTTTCCAGTCAGCTGTCCCCAAGGTGATGTGGTCGTGCCTTCCTCCTCTTGAGGCAGGGTGACTCGGGGCTGGATGGGGGGCCAGCTGGGAGCGGGGTCCCTCTCTCTTCCTGGGCAACACTGGGTAGAAGGACAGAGCCCCAGGACTCCCAGAAGAGGAGCTGTAGGGCAGGCTGGGCCTGGCTCCTTGGGGGATGGGGAGAGAGGCCGGGGCTAGCTGGTCCCCTCACGCCCGCCTGTCCACAGGTCATGAAAGTGAAGCTGCAGCCCCCCTCGGGCACGGAGCTGCCCGCGTTCAACCCCATCGTCCACCCCTCAGCTATCACCCAGGTCCTGCTCCTCGCCAACCCCCAGAAGGTGAGGGGCCCAGCTGGGACAGGGCCCTGCTGTAGGGTAGGGGCAGCCTCTTCTCCACTTCTGATGCTCTAACCTCACCGTCTCTGCCCCAGGAGAAGGTTCGCCTCCGCTACAAGCTCCTCTTCACCATGGGCGACCAGACCTACAATGAGATGGGGGATGTGGACCAGTTCCCCCCGCCCGAGACCTGGGGGAGCCTCTAGAACAGAGGGGAGGGGAGGGGAGAGGAGGAGGGGACAACAGGACTGGCCACTGGCTAGCCTGGGTAGGAGGCTGCGGTGGCCTAGGACACCCATGGCCCTGTCCCCTGTGCCTGGTGCTTCTCCCCTCACCCCTGTGGCCCCCTCCGTCCTTAACCCCTCCCCTGCTGAGCCAAACCCAGCAGGAGGCTGGGCCTGGGTTTGCACTGCTGGGGACTTCACCATGGGTGGGAGCCGGGAAGGGCTGTGTGGCCCTGGAAGGACTTGGGGTCCTCGGAAGAAGCATGGCTGCAGGCGAGGGCCAGGACCTTGGGCCCAGGCCCGGCCCCAGCCTGGGGTGGGGTCATCCCCGCCTGTCCTGATGCCTTATGGGAAGGCCCAGCCATAACGGGGCCATGCTGGAGCCAGGGACCAGCTCAGGCCTCCTCCGCGAGAACTGGGTGACTGTGGGGGTGACGCCTGCGCCCCCAGCCGTTTGCACTCTCTGGTGTGTGGTTTGATTCTCAGCTTTTCTTTGATTGGCCCTGGGGTTGCCGTCTCAGGGGGCCCTGTTTGGGGAGCCGCCCCCCGGTCCTCCTGGAGGTCTCCCTCCACCCATCTGGCCCCTTCGCTCTCAGGCGCCCTGAGGAGCTGTGGGGGCTATGTGACTGCTGGCCCCAGGGTGATTCCAGAGGCAGGTGGCCTCTGCCGGGCCTCCTGTGGGCGTCTCACCTCTCTGCCCATCCATCTGTCCGTGGGCAAAAATGGGGTTGGTGTGTGAGAGAGCAGGAGTATTTATGGAAATAAAATGTCCTTTTTCCTGGACCGGCTACTCTCATGGCCCTTGCGAGGTGGAGGGAGACAGGAGGTGTCCAAGAGGGGGAGGTCCTGGGCTGCCCCGTGGACCGCTCTGCTTCTGCCTTTGGTGATCGGCACGGTTTCTCTCCCCACCACCCCTGAGCCCTGCACAGGAAGAGGCCCCGCCTGGGGGCCTGTGGCCTGTGCTGAGTCACCAGAGAGGGCTCAGGGCTGCGGAGGCCCAGAGCTGGCCCAGCTGGAAGTGAGCAGCGTCTTGCCGGGTCACCAGGAGCCCCGACGGCTTACAACTTCCTCCCACCGCACTCAGCCCTCAGGACACAACTGTGCGTAGCACCGCCCTGAGGTCTGTGCCTCAGCTTCTCCCTCTCCCCAGAGGCTCCTGGGAAGCAGGGTGCCAGCCGCAGCCTGTTTCTGGAGAGGCCCGAGGACCGGACTGGCAGCGGGTCCCAGCTGCGGCACACTTCGCCCTGGTGTTATCAGTGTTTTCTCTTCGCCGGGGAGGCTGGGGTCCAGGCCCAGGGAGCAGCTTGGAGGCTCTGCAGCTGAGAGCCGACCAGTGCTGGGCTGAGCGAAGGGGATTTAGTACAGACAGAGAAGGCCAGCGTGGAACCAGCCGTCCAGGCTGCTCTGCAGGAGGGGCTCCTGCTCAAAGGAGTCTGGGGAAGGCTGCGGTCATTTCTGCTCCGCAGCAGACGATGGGAAGTCCTGCATTTAAGAAACCAGTTTCACTTTGACCTCGTGTTCCTGTCTGGACGTTGCTGCCGAGCCCCTTTCCTTAGATGCTACTCAGTTGGGCTGGAGGATGGCCCGGCCTGCAGGTTTCCCCAGAGCCCAGCGCGCCTGGCTCCCGAGCTTCATTTGGCAAACGAGGGGGGCTTCTCTGTGCCAAGCAACACTGGAGGGCACGGGGGAGCCTCTCCACATCTCCCATGCTGCCAAGGGGACAAGAGTGGCACTTCCGGCTCCCCGCCTACAGGACCCCTGGGCACTGCCCTCCCAGCTCCTGTTCCCCTTCCCCCAGGCAGAACTGAACACTTGTGATGTCTTGCGAGACTGTAGTTGAGAGGTTCTTCCTTCTAAATGAAACGCCCATGTTCCGTGCAGGGCCCCCGGGAGCCCAGGAGCACCATCTGGAGCCCAGTCTCGGTGGCCAGCGAAGGGCGGCAGGCTCGTGTGGGGATGTGGGAGTGCGACTGCCCGCTGGGAGTCGGGCTGCTTCCGGTGGGGTCCCTTGCTTGCCGTGTAGCCTTGAGCAAGGTCCTTCCTGCCCTGGTCTTGAGGTTCATTGCTTAAAATGGTGGGAGGGACCCTGTGAGCTCTAAGGCCCCTCTGAAGATTCTGGGCAAAAAGGTCCCCCAGGCTGTCAGCTTGGAGTGACCCAGGTGTTACAGGGACAGGGAGAGCCCTTCAGTCTTGTAGACGTCCCGCCTTCCCTTGCTCCTACACTGTCCATCCAGCTGCATCCTGCAGGTGCCTCTTGAACAGGCCCCGTGCCAGGCATGGCCCTGTCCTCAGCGCACAGCCTGGCGTGGAACCTGTGAGCCAGGGGGGGGCTCAACATGACCCACTCACTGGCAGCTGGGAGGGAGGGGGCGTTAGATGCCCTGTGCAGCCTGCATCTGTGAGGGGCTGGGTCGGGGGGATCTGGCCAGAGGAGGGGGCCCTTGGCTTCTCCCTGGAGGAGTTGCTTCCCAAACTGTGTGTCAATTCAGACAGAGGTCCAGAGCCCAGCGCAGGCGACCTGGAGCCTCGAGTCCAGGGGGGCGGGAATAGGGCCACAGGGAAGAAACACTCTGCTTCTCGAAGGGTGACCCCCCACTGCCACCCCAGGGGCCTTGGGACTTCCCAGACCTTGAAGCCACACTTCCACTTGCTATTTGTGTGGCTACAGACAACAACCTAATTTTTTTCTTTAGCAACCGCAGCACGCTGCTCATCTGTTCATGGCAAGCCAAGAGAAACAGGCCACGGCTTGCCTGGGGAGCCTGCCCTGCTGTCCTCCCGATGCCCCTGCCCCCAGTCTGCGGGTCCCCTGGCCAGGGCACGGGCCTGGCCAGGGCACGGGCCTAGCCAGGCAGGCGGCAGGGCCCAGCCTAGGGCTGCCGCGTGCGGCCTCCCTCAGTCCTCCTCACTGCCCTGTGGAAATGGGAGCCCGAGGCTCAGCCTGTCGAATATAACGGTCACTTATTGTCATGTACTTTAGCACATCTTCCAGTGACGTTGGCATCGTCCCCATTTTAGGGCCCAAACCATTGCCACCCACCTCCTGAGCCCTGTACACACGCTCAGCCCTCAGTCGGCACCTACGCCCTGCAGCTGGGGTTAAGGGTACAGGCTCTCTGGGGCCATCAAGGTTGTGCCTCAGCTGCACAGACTTTGGAGGAGGAGGCAAGGAAGTCTTCAGAGCTCCAGCAGCCACAAGCACGTCTCACTGCCCTGGGGGGAAGCCTCAGGGCCGCACCAACAGGCCACAAACAACATGTCAAAGTGTCTAAAAAGGGGTACACTTGCTCAGGCCTGCGGCCCCACAGCTGACCCCTGCCACCACAGCCCAACCGTCCAGCCACTGGCCTCCCTGCCACATCCTGCCCCGGCTTCAGCAGACACTCCACGGACTGTCACAGGTTTTCTCAGACAGCCTGCACAGAGGCCTCTGGGCTCCTGAAAGCAGCCAGGGCGATGGTGGGTGCAGGGGCCTCTGGCACCGCAGGACAGCAGGCGGGGCCTCGGACGTCTGATCCCAGACCTGCTTTCTAACTTGGCCTCTACCACTTAGCCCGCGAGGAACCTCAGTCTGCTCACCTGTTAAACAGGGACAACAATACCAACCGCACTCGACGATATGCTAACTAAAGTACTTGCCACTAAGTGCCATTGTCCCAAGGCAGCAGGACACATTTAGAGGGCAGCTGGGGCAGGAACGGGGGTAAAGGGTCCTTTTGTTCCTGGCTTCTCAGGCTGAATGAGAACAGGGCCAGGGGCTGTTCTAAGCATTTTGCAAACTCACAACAGGCAGATGCTGTCATTACTACTCCCACTTTATTGAAGAGGACACGGAAGCTCAGAGAAGTCAACTACCTCACCCAAGGCCACCCAGCTCGTGAGAGGCTGAGGCCTTGTTAGAGGCTGAGGCTCGCTGGCTGGCACCGTCCGCGCCCTCAAGCCCTGTTCTTGCCGTCTTGGGTTGGAAATAGGTGCCCTTTGATCTGCACTTGTGATTCATGTCAGCTGTGTTTTTTTAGCTCCTGTGACAAAGGCACATTGCTAGGCCCCGGAGGCTTCAGCAGGAGCCACTCAGGACCCAGGCCCCCCTGAAGAGGGGACCCAGCAAGGCCGACCAGCCCTTGCAGTGCAGTGTGAGAGGTCTTGTGATTGGAATAGGGGCTGCCTGGTGACTTCTGAGGTCTCCCCTCCTGCACCTGCAGTTCTAAAACTACAACGTAAATGTCCACTGACTGACACTTGGGAGTGCAGAAATCTCAGGTTACAACATCCTTTGAAGGAAGAGCCTATTGTCCAGCCTGTGGGGTGTCCAACCTTCTGTGATTCAACATCCAAGTGTGCTCGAGTGTAAATACCCCCTAAAATGTACCCCTCACCTCCCCAAAAGGCACAGCAGCCTCACTCGGGCTGGACAGAGGACAGCCAGGTGACTTCTCTGCAGAGACTCTAAGTGTGACTGGAGGGGGGAGCCAAGAGCCCAAGCGGCCTGATCATACAGCTCAGGGACTTTCCACTGCAGCCGCTGCTGCAACCCACAGGGACTGACCCCTCCCCAGGCTGGGGAGCTGGGGCTCAGGCCTGGGCAGACCTAGGAGGGACAGAAGTATTCAACAGAAGCCAGGCCTCGCCCTCAGGGACCTTCAGTACAGCTGCGAAAGTGGACAAGCCCAGACCCAGCGTAGTCCGGGCTGCAGGTGGGGCCGAAACAGGGTGGGGACACCATGAAGCCTGTAGATTTCCCAGATGGCAGGACGGTGGTAACCTGGTGTCAAGCTGCTGGCTTGGGAGTCTCCAGTTTCCTAATTCTGCACACAATAAGTCATCCCCGTGGCAGGAACAGGGGAAACTGAGCCACGCTAAGCTTCTGGGTTCTGGCCAGCGAGGAAAGTGCAGGGGACGATACTAGAACCCAGGCACTGCAACCCCCACATTCTAAGAAGCCAGGTCTACCCCGGACTCTGGTGTCTCCCTCCACGGAGGCATTCTTCAAGCCCCACCCTCTTTCTAGAATCCTCTCCAGGAGCCTCCCAGTTGGGGGAAGGGAGGTGGGCAAGGGAATCTTGCCTGGGGTCTCCTCATCCTGGCCTGAGCCTTTGATCAGGAGCCTCCCAGCTTCTGACCCAGGTGGGAGCCTCTGGTCCAAGCAGCTGGGGGTTTTGTTCTCCACCCCTCCCCACCCCTCTGGGGCCTGCCTGGCTCTCCCTCTGGGGAATGGAGAGTCCAGCAAGTGCCCACTGTGAGCCAGGCCCCATGCTGAGCACAGGAACACTGAGGTGCCCAGGGCGAGGTCCTGCCCCGGAGAAGTGCCCAGCCTGCCCACTCACACGGTAGGTGCTCAAGCAATCCTCCGACTGAACTGAAACCCCAGCAAACCAGAGCCTAGTGTCTGGGGCAGGGCCCTACCCTCTGCCCCTCCCTCTTGCCAATCCCTGCAGCTCTGGACACCTAAGGGGCACCGGTGCTCAGAGCAAGGAGAGCCCACTGTCTCCCAAAGGCTCTCATCGTGTATTAACTAGTAGTTACGGAGCGCCTGCTGTATGCCCAAGTCTAGTTTTGTGAGGAAAACCAAAGACATAACTACTACTGAGTCTGGAGGGACAGAGCAGCACCCACATCACTGACTTACACGAAGGAAGGGCAGGGACTGAGGAGGTTTACCGGGAGAAGGGGCTTTACAGATGCCAGGAAACTGCCGGGGCTGGGGCTGGGGCTGGGGCTGGGGGAGAGCAGGGTGTCAGGAAGCTGCTCTCGGGGTGTGCGCTGTGGCTGGAGGGCGCGACAGCCCTTGCAAAGCGGTGACGGAGCAGGAGCATGGATGCTGAGGAGCGGGCAGAGGCATCTCGTGTGCTCTGTGGGTCAGACAGGGCCGGGGCAGCCGGCCCATCAGGCCATTAGAGATAAGGCCAGAGTGCCAGGGAGTTGTCCAAGGACGCACAGCAGAATGGCCCCAGAAAGCCAAAGCCTACAGCCGATCGTCCAGCAGGGAGCAGGCCAAGGGGGCGGGGCGGGGGTCTGGAGGGTCCAGGGCAGCAGCCTTTTGCGGACCCAGATGCGGCAGTACGGGTCAGGAAGGCTTGTCCTCGGCCTCTGTCTCTTAAGCACGGAGCCCTCTGTCCCTTTTGAGAGGGTTGCAAAGGTTATTTATACTCAGGTCGGGCAGGCCGATGGGTGGGGCAGGAACCTGGGGCAGGCGCGGTGGCAGGAGCGGGCTTACCTGCTTCCCGCCACCGCGGCTGGGCGAGGCGGCCGGGGAGGAGCCGCGAGCACCACCTGTGGACCGCCGGGCGGCTGGCGGACCTACACTCTCCGGGCCGGCCAGGGCCGAGGGGAGCCCGGAAGACGGGGAGAGCGAGAACCCAAACTTGGAGAGAGGAGTGACCTGGGGGCCGGGGGCGGAGCCGCGAGCGGGGCGGCGGGAGCGAGCGCTAGCGGGAGCGCGCTGGCCCAGGAAGCGGAGAGCGCCGCCCACCCAGCCCCGGCGAGAGCGCTGTGGGCAGAGGCAGGCTGGGCCGGGGGCTGCCGGCCCTCGACCCCCGCCGTGACCCCGCAGCCGCCAGCCCGCTCCCAAGATGATGAAGAGGCAGCTGCATCGCATGCGGCAGCTGGCCCAGACGGGCAGCTTAGGACGGTGAGTGTCCACTCCGTTCCTTCCAGCCCCACGCTCACCCCCGCAGGACCCGAGGGAAGGTGGAGGAAGGGGGGAGGCTGGAGACAGCTGGACAGCCACCCTCTGACTAACCAGAGTCCTACCGCTCTTCCCGCTGAAGGCCACCCCTCGCCTCCCTGCCAGAGCAGGAGGAAAGGCGCTGGCTCTTGGGGGAAGGGGCACCCGCCATCCCTGATTGGAGTGGGGTGCAGGGAGAACCAAGGATGCTGAACGCTCCTCCCTGGCCTCACTTGTTCCCTCTGTACAATGGGGACAGTTAACCATCTCTGGTTGTCTGGGAGGACTTGGGGGGGGAAGGTCAGGGCCCCAGATCTTGGGGGAGGAGAGGAGACTGGGTCCTGGCCTGGTGGGAGGGGCCTGTTCCCGGCTCGTTGTGTGCCCCACTCCCCCAAGCCCAGAGGCAGCTTCTCTGTCTTGCTTCTGCTTTCTCAGTCTCAGGTAGAAACATCCCCAAGCCTCCCTGTTCCCACCCTTAGCCCCTGAGCTGGTGCAGTGGAGGCCGGAAGTTTGGGGAGCTCCCCCAGCCGCCTCTTCTCCTCTTCCCCCTGCGTTGGGAGTTTCCCATCTCTGGGCCCTGGGGAGACCTGGTTCTGATCTCATGCTGAAACAGACGCCTTTGCGGGCCAGGGCAGTCAGGCTATCTTGCTCTGTGCCCGTGTCCCCACGTGTTCATGGGCAGGGGCCCAGGGCCTATTCACCACTACAGTCCAGAGTCCTGTGTGACTGACAGCCCGAGTCTAAGCTCACACACTTCCCTTTCTTGGGGCCAGCCCAGGCCTTCTCTCCTCAGGTCAGCAGAAGAGAGAGGCTGGGCCCCGGGGTGCCCACCCCCCAGCCTCCCCTTTGGTTTCATCCACCCTCTCTTGGGACTCAGCCCTGGGTGGAGAAGGAAAAGCCATGTATCCTACTGCCATCCCCATGGAATGTGCTCTGACTGGGATGAGGCAGGCGGGCCACCCAGGGCGGGCCCCAATTGGGAGGGGTACTGGGAGCACCTGGGGTCCAGGCACACTTTTGGCGGGGGTGGGGTTTCCTAACCTGGGCCAGCTCAGCAGAAGCTCTCCCCCCTCCACCTCATCCCCCTCGCAGCACCCCGGAGACTGCCGAGTTCCTGGGTGAGGACCTCCAGCAGGTACATGCCTGGGCCAGCCGTGGGTGGCAAGGCAGGTCCATGCAGGCTGTCAGCAGAGGGCCGGGCGGGGATGCCAGTTGGGGGCCTCAGCTGAGTCATTCCCCAAGCTGTTGGCCATAGGGTCCCCAGGAGGGGGGGAAGAGAAAGGGCAGTGGGCGGGGCGACAACCACCTCCTGGGATCCATAACCCCCATGACCCCTCCCAGGTGGAGCAGCGGCTGGAGCCAGCCAAGCGTGCGGCCCACAATGTCCACAAGCGACTGCAGGCCTGTCTGCAGGGCCAGAGCGGGGCCGATATGGACAAGCGGGTGGTGAGTGGGCGTCCCAGGGAAGAGGGGGGTCAGGGCAGGACACCTCTGTCCAATGGGAAATGAGGTTGGAACTGGGTCTGCCTTCCAGTCTGAACCTCTGGCCCCAAGCTGGTAAAGGCTGTTCTGTCCCAAAGCACCCAGACACCCTACTCAGGAGGCCCTCTGTCTTCCCCATCCTCCTCTTGACCCCACCCCCTCTCTGTACCAATCCCCTGAGCCAAGACCAGGCCCCTGACTGCACCTGAACGTCTCTGTCCAATCAGAACGGAGCAGGCCCTCTCAACTGGGGCAGTCTGTGAGGGCTTCTCCAAGGAAGTGGCATCTGAGCTGGATTTTGAGTGATACTGGCATCAGTCTGCAGGCAGGGTTTATGTCCTGCTGGTCTGTTGCTAAGATGTGTCAGTGCATTGCCTCACTCGATGCTGACGACGGTGCTAGGAGGGGGTGCCTTTATTAGCACTTGTACAGATGAGGAAGTGAAGGCTTACAGAGGTAAAGTGATTCACTCAAGGTCACACAAGCTAGTGAAGTGGCAAAACTGAGATGTGAACCCTGATCCATCTGACCAAAGCTGGCGCTCTCTGTAACTCTAGGTGGGGACGCGTTGGGCATATTTTGGGTCAGTCAACAATTCAGTGTGGCCAGAGCTCCGGGGGAGAGGGGGAGCACAGCAGCTGGGAGGGCTTGAGCTTCACAGTGGTTGTATCAGCCACATGTGCCCTGGGGCCGGCGGGGGTGGGGGGAGGGTGTGTGGTGCCACTTGGAGGCCTACTCGTAGCTCCCCCATTTTCCTCCCAACTGTGTGACCTTGGCAAACTCCGTGCCTTCTGTTCTTAGTTTTCCGGTGTATGATGGCATTTGGTCGTTCCTTCCCCCACCAATCACATGGCATCTGGGAGCGGGAAAGGGGGCCCCAGAGGGACAGGAGCCCTTTTCATGGTCCCAGGAAGAGGTCACCACACCATGCCGTGTCATCCTGCCCACACTCTCGCCTGTGACAGTGGCCCTCCTGGGCTCCCCTCCCCTGTCTGCGCCCCGTGCCCTGGAGGGGTTCTGCCCCCCAAGGACACACCCTGAGCGGTGGGGGGAGGCCCCGCAGGCGCGCTCAGGTGCTCCTGCTCACAGCTGGCCCTGCCCCTCCCTGCAGAAGAAGCTGCCCCTCATGGCTCTGTCCACCACGATGGCCGAGAGCTTCAAGGAGCTGGACCCTGACTCCAGCATGGGGTGAGTGCGGGCGGGGGCCTCAGCCTTCCCCTGGGGAGGCCAAGGAGGGGCCTGGCCTGGAAGGGGGTCCGGGGCAGGGAGGGCAGCCCCAGTGGAAGGCGGGCCAGGCTGGGGCCAGTGACCAGGTCCGTGAGGGCAGCCGGGCCTGGGAGGGCGTTGGGCCCGGCGAGGATGAAGGAGCAACAGACGGGGCAGAAGGCAATGGGGAGGGAGGGGGCCAGCCCAGCCTTTCCAGAGTGGGGGAGGGGCTGTCGCAGCTGGGCCCACTGGGCTCTGTGTCCACAGGAAGGCCTTGGAGATGAGCTGTGCCATTCAAAACCAGCTGGCTCGCATCCTGGCCGAGTTTGAGATGAACTTGGAGAAGGACGTCCTGCAGCCTCTCAACAGGCTGAGTGAGGTGACCCTACCCGCTGTCCCCAGTTTCCGCAGTCCCTAGCTCCCACCTCCCCAGCCCACTCACCCCCTTGCACCCCATGCCTGCCCCTAGGAGGAGCTGCCAGCCATCCTCAAGCACAAGAAAAGCCTGCAGAAGCTGGTGTCCGACTGGAATACCCTCAAGAGCAGGTGGGAGCCCCAGCGTCTGAGTGAGGTCCATGCCTGGGTCAGCCCACAGAGGTGGCCAGAGAGCCTCTAGGCCCTTCCCACACTAGGAGGGCACTGCAGGGCCCACTGGGTACAGAATGTGTACTTGTGCACATGCCTGGTCCTTAGGGACACATATGGTGAGGGTACATGTGAGGGTTCCTCTGTGCATGTGTGTGCACATGGTTATGTCAGCTGGGGGTGACCCCCAAAGCCCAAGATAGCCTTAAAAAAATCCTCCCACCCTCTACTCTGGAGTTGGGTGGTTGTGACTACCAAGTCTACCACCAGGTGGCGCCCCCAAGCACTCATGGCCCAAGCCCCTGCCGAGCTCCGGGATGTACCTCTATAAATCCCAGAATCCTGTGTGGTCAAAGATTTGCATCCATAACTCCCAGAATCCTGTGTGGTCAGGCATATGGAGGGGGCACCTGACTTTGGACATGCAATGGGGACAGTGACCACTCTACCTTGGGATCCTCCCCAGGCTCAGCCAGGCAGCTAAGAACTCAGGCTGCGGTCAGGGCGGGGGCGGAGGCCCTGGCGGTTACAGCCACACCACTGCAGCCAACAAAGTGGAGACACTGAAGGAGGAGGAGGAGGAGCTGAAGAGGAAGGTGGAGCAGTGCAAGGTGAGGAGGCACTTGGGGTTGCCCGGATATGTGGGAGGTGGCAGAGGTGGGCACTGTTCTCGTTTCACAGATAAGGAAACTGAAGCTCACAGGGGTGGTGGGACTTGCTCGAGGTCACACAGGTAGGAAGCAGCAGAGCCCGGGATCACCGGGGCCTTGGTGTATTCACTAAGCGAGTGAATGGAGGGCGAGTGATGAATGGTGCGTAACACAAGGCACAGTGCAAGGGATGTGAGGCCATGGACGTGAGGACTCGGAGCTGTGGAAGCCCCTCAAGAGTTCAAGGGGTTTCCTGCAGGCTGTCCCCGAGTGCAAACCTTGGCAGAGAGAGGAGAGCAGGCTGAGACCCCTCTGGGCCTCAGCTCACCCTCTAGGCCCCAGCCTCGCTGACATAAGCCCCCTCTCCGCCCCCATCCCCAAGGATGAGTATTTGGCCGACCTGTACCACTTTGCCACCAAGGAGGACACATACGCCAACTACTTCATAAACGTGAGTCCAAGGCAGGGCCGCAGCCACCCAGCACCCAGGGCAGCACAGCAGAGCCCGAGGGTCTCTCTGAGACGGTGGGCGGGAGGGGTCTGCTCTTGCAGACCCTGAGGGAGAACAGCTTCCCTCACTTTCCCCGGGGGTGCTCCCTTGTCCCCCCAGCTCATGGAGATTCAGGCCGACTACCATCGCAAGTCTCTGAGCTCGCTGGACACGGCCCTGGCTGAGCTGAGGGAGAACCACAGCCAAGCAGGTGGGGACACAGATGGGCCCCGACCCCACTTTCGGGACCCCCCACGCGCTTAGGCATGTTTAGGAGCTGGCACTCCATCCTGAAAGGCAGTAGCGAGCCACAGACGAGTTCTGAGCAGCAGGGGCGTTGATTAAATCCGTGGTACAGAGATCGCTCTGGCTGCAACGTGGAGGATGGGACGGGGAAGGGGGCAGGGCATCAGGTCTGGAGCCAGGACACCTGTTAGGAGGCAGAAGGGAGGTGATGGTGGCCTGAACTAGGGCAGAAGCCGTGCAAGTGGGCAGATTGGAGAGACATGTTGGATGATTTCAGGGTGCGAGGCATGGGTGGTTAGGTGGGAGTGGTGCCCTTGGCCAAAGCAGTGGTCCCTTGAGGGTGTCTGGGGGGTACCCCTGGCTGCTGCGGGTGGGAGGACCCTGGGCCGCTGACCTGTCTCGTCCCTGCAGACCCCTCCCCCTCGATGACGGCCGCCCCCTTCTCCAGGGTGTATGGGGTGTCCCTGGGAGTTCACCTGCAAGAGCTGGGCCGGGACATCGCCCTGCCCATCGAGGCCTGCGTCCTGATGCTGCTTTCTGAGGGCGTGAAGGAGGAGGTGGGGCACTCAGGGGCAGGAGGGGAGGGAGCATGGGGCCCTCAGTCTCCCAGACCTCCCCCGTGCTGCCTGTGCCCATAGGCCCACCCTTAGAGCACAGGTTGTGGGGGAGGCATGGCCTCCTATTGCGGAAGTGATGCCAACTCCCCACTTAGTGATGCTCCTGTGGGCAGGCACTGCGCTGTAAACCCTTGGCACTGAGGAATTTAATTATCCCGGGATCCTTTGGAGGGAGCCCTCAGTGGCTCCATTTTGCAAGGAGGGGGACGAAGGTCAAGAGGCGGACATACCCCATGCCACATGAGAAGGTGGCTGTGGAGCCAGGCACGCAGGCGCAGTCACTGCTCGCGCTGCCCCCCGCTGCCCTTTGCGCCTCAGTGTTGCTAGTCCATCGGCTCCTGTCCCAAGGACAGACCCTTAGGAGACGGAAGTACTCAAAGATGGAGGCTTCTCCGCAGTCCCACGGGGCCTCCTTTCTGCCTTCCACTCCCAACCCACACGTCTCCCCACGACTTTCCTCAGCCCCCCCAGATACCCTCTTTGCTGAGAATCCAAGACCTTGTGAGCTGAGAGGACCCATGGACACTGGTGTCCACTCTATCTGCCAGACCAGTGGGGACGCAGGCCCAGTGAGGGCCAGCCGCTTGTCCCAAGCCATGAGTGAGGCAGGGCCTCCCGGCCAGGTGTCCTGTCCCACCCACCCCTCCGCGACCCCACCTGGTCCGTCTCATACCCCAGGGCCTCTTCCGTCTTGCCGCTGGGGCCTCGGTGCTGAAGCGCCTCAAGCAGACGATGGCCTCGGACCCCCGCAGTCTGCAGGAGTTCTGCTCTGACCCCCACGCCGTGGCAGGTGCCTGCTCCACGGGGCCCTGGGCGGGGGCCGCCCCCGTATCTCTGCACCACAGCTGCCTGAGACGATCCCACGGGTTTGGTTTAAGGCCTGATAATCTGCTGAGGAGACGTAGGGGTCCTTAGCGTGGGGGTTGTGATGAATGTATGTATGCTTTTCTGAGAACAAGATCGCTGGCCTTCATCATTTTTTCTAAAGGGCCCACAGCCCAGGAATGGTAGGCCTAGACATGTTAGTGTGAACAAGGGCCAGAGGCTCCTGACTGATGGAGAGAGCTGGGTACTGGGGTGCAGGTGGCGGCCTGGGCTGCATCTGAGCTCACACCACTGCCTCAGGTGCCCTCAAGTCCTACCTGCGGGAGCTGCCGGAGCCCCTGATGACCTTTGACCTCTACGACGATTGGATGAGGGCAGCCAGGTGAGGCTGGGGGTGGAGGGTCCTGGGTGAGAGGAGGCCGCAGAGGTGCCCCCATGGGCCCGCTCACCAGGTCTGTCTGCCTCCCCAGCTTGAAGGAGCCCGGAGCCCGGCTGGAGGCCCTCCAAGAGGCATGCGGCCGCCTGCCCCAGGAGAACTTCAATAACCTCAGGTGCGCCCCAGGCCAGCCCCGGCCTCCTCGAGGCCAGGCCCTGCGGGACTCTGGGGTCTGGGTTTGAGTCCTGCCTCCTTGTCCTAAGCAATATTCCTGAAAACGGAACTTGGATGTGCTAGACATATTTTTATTTTAAAGATTTTATTCATTTATTTTTAGAGAGGAGAAGGGAGGGAAAGAGACAGGGAGAGAAACATCAATGCATGGTTACATCTCTCACGCCCCCTATTGGGGACCTGGCCCGCACCCCAGGCATGTGCCGGCGACCCTTTGGTTCACAGGCTGGTGCTCTGTCCATGGAGCAACACCAGCCAGGGCTAACTATTACAGTTCTTTTAACTGGCCTGTGCACTGTCTTGGCCACCCTTTGGAAACCCCAAGCTAGGAAAGTCTTGGGTCTCAGGGTGGTAGGGGGGCGTTGATGCATGTTTGCAGCCCGATGCCCCGCCTTTGGCCCAGCCCACCTCCCACCTCCCCAGGTACCTGATGAAGTTCCTAGCACGTCTGGCTGAGGAGCAAGAGGTGAACAAGATGACGCCCAGCAACATCGCCATCGTCCTGGGGCCCAACCTGCTGTGGCCCCCTGAAAAAGAAGGGTGAGGGGACATGGATGGGGGTAAGGTGGCCGTCCCAACCCAACCATCTGCTCTTTATCTTTCTCCTGGGCCTCGGTTTCCTCTTCCTTGGAATGGGTTGAGCAGCTCCTATTCTCCAGGCTGCCGTGAAGGGCGGCCCCAAGGGGTCACGGACCCCACGGGGCTTTGCGGATTGCATTCTGAGTAATGGCGGTAACGGGGCGCTCGGAAGGCTGGGGGCCCAAGGCCTGGCTCGAGCCCCTCCTCCACCTTCCAGCGCTGAGCCTGGCAAAGTCACTCTCTCAACCTCCATTTCCTCGTCCATAAATCAGAAATTAGACACAGTCTGAGGAGTTTTGCTTTGGGCATTAAACGAGAGCAGGAACGGAAGCATGCTTTATAAACTGTGAAGTGAGGTCATATGTCAGGGGTCATCGCTATTCACCTGGCCGTGGATGGCAAGAGGATGTTACTCATTTGCTGAGTGCAGTTGCCTGGTAGAGGCTGCCTGGACCCAGACCTGGGAGGAAAGGCGCCATGACGCACAGGTGATGCCTGTCGTGCGCGAAGGAAGGGGAAAATTCAGTGTGTGAGCGATGATGTGTTTGCCGTCCACGGTGTCTATGCACCTTTGAGAACAGGGACTTGATGTGACTGATTGATCCTTGAGTTCCCAGGGGCCAGCACAGAGCCGGATGGAGTCGGGGCCGGTAAGACTTTGCTCAGCGGTGACTCACTTTCATTCCCTTTTGTCCCAGGGACCAGGCCCAGCTGGATGCAGCCTCAGTGTCATCCATCCAGGTGGTGGGAGTGGTGGAGGCTCTGATACAAAGCACGGACACCCTCTTCCCTGGAGGTGAAGCTCCTGCCCCTGCCCTGGGCGCCTGCCACGGGGCCCTCCAAGCCGGCCTCAGTCCCCGCAGCCCCCTGCCCTCCCCGCAAGGCCCGGAGGAGGTAGCTTCTCCACTCTGAGCATCAGCGTCTCCCCTGGAAAGTGGGGATGCTCCTCCCCGCCTCGTGGGATTGTTGTGAGGCTCCCGTGGGAGTGGGAAGGTGCAACATGGCCCAGACCGTGTCAGGGAAAAGGGAAGGCGGCCCCGGCGCTGCCCGAGCCGGGAGGCTGGCAGAGACCCTGAGAGCAAGACCTGCTCCCTTCCATCCGCAGACGTCAACTTCAACGTGTCAGGCCTGTTCTCAGCCCTGGCCCCCCAGGACAAGGTCGGCGACAGGCCGACCTCCGAGGAGCTTCCGACCATGGCCGTGCCCGCTCCAGCCACTGCCCCAGCCCCGGCCCCGGCCTCAGTGGCTACCAAGGAAAGGTAAGGAATTGAGTGGCCCCTGTCCAGGCCCCAAGATGCCCAACCTGAGGCACCGTTTCTCAGGGCTTCCAACAGCATGTTAGGAAATGTCAGGATTTTATTTTCTTCCCAGATACCAGGTTTCCCAGTTTGGAGCGGGCGGGGTGGAGGCCCTGAGGTAGTATTCCTCTCAGCCTCTGATGTGTTTCCTCTTCCGTGTATGGCTGTGTACTGAGCACCTGCTATGTGCCAGGCACTGTTTCGGGCTCTGAAGACGTAGGGAAACTAGAGAGCTGGTTATTCGGGAATTTGTAAAGACCTTCCAGCATGTCTTTGATCTTTGACATCTGGAGAGGCTGCGTGTGCTATGTCGCCGCCATACCAAGTAGGTGTTTGGTTGTCACAGGCTGCTGGGGCCCCCCCATGAATTTCCTCAGATGAGCAAGACAGACAAATGCCACCCTTTTGATGAGATGAGACTGTGTTGCAGGGGCGGGGAGAGAGTCAACAAGCACCCCAAAGACAGGCCAGCATGATGCCAGGCAGGGGCATGTGACGCCAGGCAGGGGCGCGTGCTGCAAAAGAGAACAGGGCAGAACAGGGGACTGAGGGGGGACAGCTTTAGCTGTGGGGCCAGGAAAGGCCTTCTGAGGAGAAGCCAACTGAGCAGAGACCTGGGGGAAGCCAGGAGGCCTCCGCCTCTGCTTCTGCCTCTTCCTCTTTTTTTATTTATTGATGAGAGAGAGAGAAATACCATTTTGTTCTGCTCATTCATGCATTCATTGGTTGTCCCTTGTATGTGTTTGACCAGGGATCAAATGCACAACCGTGGTGTATCAGGAGATGCTCTAACCAACTCAGCTAGTCAGCCAGGGCAGTCCCTCTGTTTCTTGTCCACTCTCTGGCTTGTAGTGGCCGGAACATCCCATAAAGATCACAAGGAGATGGAGAGCTGAGGCCGAGGGGAGGCCCCGCTTTCTACCGCCAGTCCTGGCCCCATCGGGGACCACGGACACTGTCTCAGCCTCACACAGCAGCCGGGGCACAGTGGCTGCAAACCCTAGCCGATGCCGAAGTGTTTTGGGGTCAGGACAGCAGCCTGGGGACAGATCCCAGGCCCAGCCACAAGGTGGAGGACCCAAACTCAGTTGGTTGGGAGTCTCCCCAAGATTCCAGGAGACATCCAGGAGATGGCCAAGCTTGACCCTGACCCTGACCCTCCCTCACAGGACAGAGTCCGAGGTGCCCCCCAGACCGGCCTCCCCGAAGGCCAGCAGGAGCCCCCCAGAGGCAGCAGCCCCAGCAGAGGACATGGCTCGGAAGAGTAAGTTAGCTGTGGGAGGACGAGGGGGGCGGGGTGGGCGTGGGTGGGCAACCCAGACCACCTCGCGTGTTCAGGCATCCAGGGGGGGCCAGGGATCCATGTGGCTAAGAGCCAGGTCCGCAGCCCAACACTCTGGGTTCAGAGTCCAGCTCTGTGACATTGGGCAGATGACTTCACCTCCTTGCCTCAGCTACCCCCTCTGCAGACAGTGACTGCACCTACCTTGTAGGGCTGTTTAGAGAATTAAATGCTGCTGCTTGGCTCAGGCTGCCTTGTAAGGGCTGGCCAGTGTGAGCGTGGGGGACAGTGGGCGTTAGTTCCTCAAGAAGCCCCATGATCACAGAGCAGAGAGGGAGGACAGAGCCTTCGAAGGGCAATGAGCAGGGAGGCTGTGGTGCTGGGGGTGGGAGTGGGAGCAGGCCCGGGCCCCCTTCAGAGCCTTTCGGAGCACTCACTGAGTCGCGCAAAAGCCAGGTAGATGAGAAGGCCGAGGGTTTGGGTGCAAAGTCTCCCTGAGTGACCAAGACCCTTGGGAGGCCTTGCCCAGCCCAGGAGGCTCTGGAGTTTTCCACGTGGGTGTACAGTGTAGAGCCTGGAGCCCATGGAGCAGCTGCAGGAACCTCCAGACCAGCAGGAGCTGGCAGGTTGCTCAGGAACCTTCCCGCCGGAGGCGGGCGTCTAGTCACCTCTCCCGGATGCAGGGCAAGTGAGACATTTGCTCACTTGAGCACAGTTTGAAGGACTATCACAGCATCACCTGAGCTGGTCCTCACGTCAGCCCTAGGAAGTTCATCCCATTTTACTGATGAGGAAACTGAGGCCCCAGGGGGCAAATGATTTGCGCAAATCCCCCAAAGGGAGGACGCAGAGCTAGGACCAGAGTCCAGACCTTGTAGCCCCTCCCAGCTCTTCGACTGCCTCTGGACATCAGAGTTGTGTGGTGGGACCTCCGAGCAGGGGTGGGGCAGTTCTTCAGGCTTCTGAAAGGAAGTGAGAAAGACCCAGGTGTCAGGGGGAATGGGTAGCATTTCTTTATCTGACAGGAGTATGTGAACACCTGCTCCGTGCCCAGCCCTGCGCTAGCCCGCTGCTTGCTTGAAAGATAGCCGCACATAATTCACATTCTAGTGGGGGAGACACGCGATATTCAAGCAAAAACAAAAACAAACAAACAAAAAAACTGGCAAGACCTTTTCAGAGGGCAGAGTCCTATGAAGAAAATAGAACTGGAAGATGTGACGGGGCAGGGGAGTACACCAGCTGAGGGGGTGAAGGGGCACGTAGAGAGGCTTGAGTGATGAGGAGCCAGCCGCGGACACTGCCCTCCTGGCCGAAGGAACGGCAGTGCAAAGGTCCTAAGGTGGGGTCGGGCTGCGTGGACCTGCCACAGGCTATACAGACACCTCACTGCCCCTTTCCTTCCCCTACAGCCAAACGCCCGGCGCCAGCCCGGCCCACCATGCCGCCGCCCCAGGTCTCCAGCAACCGCCCCTCCTCTCCAGCCCCACCCCTGCCCCCTGGCTCTGGCAGCCCGGTAGCCCCCCGGGCCCTGCCCCGCCGTCTGGTTGGCAGCAACCTCCGGGCCCCCACAGTGCCACCCCCACTGCCCCCCAATCCCCCTCAGCCTGCCCGGCGCCAGAGCCTGCGTTCACCAGCCTCCCCCAGCCAGACCTCCCCAGGTCCCGCCTCCCCCAGCCCAGCCTGTGTGAGTGTGCCTGAGCAGGCAGACCTGGGGGCGGCCACAGACGACGGGGGGGCCCCTGAGGCTCCAGGCAGGACCCCCACTCCCGCAACTATGCCCCCTCAGCCTCGGCCCAGGAGCCTTGCCTCAGAGACCGACTGAGCTGGTGGCTCCTTCCTGACAGCCCTCAGTGGCCACTCCCTCCCACCCTGTCCTCCCAGGACATAGCCCTCACCCCTTTGGCCACAGCCTTCGCCTCCAAGTGCCTTGGTGCCCGCTGGGTCGGCCCCCATGGCAAGGAGGACTCAGGACAGTTCTCCACTTCCAGTCCTTTTCACCTCGGGTTCAGCCCGGGCTTGGGTGCTCAGCCGACCCCCTACTCTCTGGCAAGGTCCCAGGGGAGACACCACAAGGAAGGAGAGTTTGCCTGCTCCTACAGGACTTTGATTTTTCTCTTGCCAGCATATTTTTTGTAAGGCAGGTAAATAAATTATTTTGGACAAAACTGGAGCAGCTGCCCAAAAGATAGCTTTATTTTCTGTACTCAAAATAAAGGGGGAAAAATTACCTACTCCTTGCCTCTTTTTTTCTTCTTCCTGTCTGAAATGGTAACAGCTGAAGTTTTTAAATGTTCTAGGCCAAACACTGTGCTTTTCTGTGCATGATTTCCATTAAATCCTCTCCCTGGAAAGCAAATCCCATGACCTCTTACAGGTGAGCAGACTGAGGCTGAGAACGTGACCTGCCAAGGTCACACGGTGAGTGAAGCATGGACCTGGGATTAGGACCCAGGTCTGACTGATTCCAGAGCCTGGGCCTGGGCCTCTCATCCTGGGCAATTTACTTAATTTCTTGGTATTCTGGTTTCCTCATCTGGGAAACCAATAACAACTTCCACTGCGGAAGTGTTCTGGTGATGAAATGAGACATTCCTGTAAATACCAAAGCACCACCCTTGCACCCAAAAGTGCCCTATAAGTGATGGCTGCCCTTGATGCCGGGTCCCCAGTCCACAGTGTTTTTTAGGGAAGGCTCCCCCCAGGAGCAAGGATGGATTTGTCTGCAAATCTTCCCTGAGCCTGCTCTGCCAGACGCCGGGCTAGGTCCCTGTCTCAGCCCTACACCCAAGTTGCTCCTGGGAACAGCCAGGCAGAACTGATCAGTAGAATCAAGTATCAGGACACTGGGAGCTCATATTGGCCCAGTTCAGGTAAAACCATCTAACCCAGAATGGTGGTGTGTGTCTGGAGGGTGGAGATCAAGGAAAGCTTCCTGGAGGCGGTGATATCCAAAGGGGGGTCTTTCAGGTTCTGTCCAAAGTCATGGAAGAAGGAAGAACATTCCAAGCCATGGGAAACACCTATGCACCCATGAAAAGGCCAGGACATCGGAGAATGGAAAGTATCTGAGCTTAAAGCCTGGGTTACAGGAGGCTCTTTGGCGTTCCAGTTGCTCCTGGAAGTCCAACAGGTCTTCAGAGCCTTCTCAGAGGTTGACAGACAACCTCAGGAATGTGACACATATCTCTCCAAGTGGGGGCGCCCAGGCGCTGGGGTCACCCCATCACTGCCCTGGCTGCTCTAGCTCCTTCCCTCCCGGCAGTTCTTGGTGACAGGCTGCCTCGAGCCCAGTGCCTCTCCACCTTGGCCTCACAGTAGAATCCTCGGTAATTATAAACAAAGACACCAAAAAAAAAAAAAATGCCAGGCTACCCCCAAAACAACTAAAGCAGAGTCTTTGGGGTCCTACTACGCATTGGTATTTCTGAAAACCATTTGTCAAAAGTCATCAAACGTTACACTTAATATGCACACATCTTACTGTATGTAAATTTTACATCTCAAAATAATAGTGCACCAAGGGACTCTACAGTACAGCTAGCGTGGAGAACCGCTGGTGCAGGCCAAGGGCCCCAGCGCTCAAGAACACGATGCGTCTCTCTTCCCATCGTACCCACATGCCTCTCAGGACTTCGCTCAGATCTGGAGCGTCCACTGTTCACAGGGCAGGGAGATTTGACCCAAAGATACCATATCCGTTTGCATCTGTTTTTCTCTCAGCAACTAGCTCTCCTAAGCTTCTGATTGGCTGGGGGACGTAGGGCAGCTATTCGCGCGGCAGTTTCTACTCGTAACTCGCTATTGGAAAAAAAGAACGTCAGTCACGCAGGCTCCCACCCCTGTAAGAGGCTAATCGGAGTTAAAACTCAGTCGCAACTGGCCCAGCAGAACCGGGAGGCCGAGCGAAGAACCAAGCGAGATCTTCATTGGTCTCCTCCCTTGGTACCAACCACGATCCCACCGTTTTCTTCAATTTCAGTGCTTGCAGCCTCCCACTTTTCTGAGATTTTCGCCTCTATTGGCCGCAGGCCAGGTCGTAACCCCGCCCCCTGGCCCTTCCTGGGCGCCGATTGGCAGGTGCGTAGCAGCAGGACGCGGGCGAGCGCACCGTGCCCGCGGAGAGAAAGCAGAGCGGCGGGAGCGTGCGGGCAGCCAGCTGGCTGCATGGCGCGCTGCGAGCGGCTTCGTGGCGCGGCCCTGCGCGACGTGCTGGGCCGGGCGCAGGGGGTCCTGTTCGACTGCGACGGTGTGCTGTGGAACGGCGAGCGCGCCGTGCCGGGAGCTCCGGAGCTGGTGGAGCGGCTGGCGCGTGCTGGCAAGAGGGCGTTGTTCGTAAGCAACAACAGCCGGCGCGCGCGGCCAGAGCTGGCTCTCCGCTTCGCGCGCCTCGGCTTCGGGGGGCTGTGCGCCGAGCAGGTCTTCAGCTCCGCGGTGTGCGCCGCGCGTTTGCTGCGCCAGCGTCTGCCCGGGCCGCCGGACGCGCCGGGCTCAGTGTTCGTGCTGGGCGGCGAGGGGCTACGCTCCGAGCTGCGCGCTGCGGGGCTGCGCTTGGCCGGGGACCCCGGAGAAGACCAGGGCGCGGCCCCGCGCGTGCGTGCCGTGCTCGTGGGCTACGACGAGCACTTTTCTTTCTCCAAGCTGAGCGAGGCGTGCGCTCACCTGCGGAACCCCGACTGCCTGCTGGTGGCCACCGACCGCGACCCGTGGCATCCGCTCAGCGACGGCAGCCGGACCCCTGGTGAGCGCGGGGGTGGCTGGGTAAGCGAGGTGGCCAGGGGCGACATGGAGGTGAAGGTCGGGGAAGGGACGTCTCCAGGTGACAGGTGGGGAACAGGAGGGTTGACTGCTAGCTCAACTACCACCCAGCAAAAGCCCAGGGTGCTTTTGTGTCAAAGTCTGGTCATTCTCGCAGCTGCCACACTGTGAGGGGCAGCTGTGGTGTCCCCGATCGACATATAAGGAAACTGAGGCACATGGTGGCCCTTGGGATTGCAGGCAGAATCCAGGGCCCCCGAATCCCAGCCCTAACCTTCCTGAACCAGCCTCAAGGACTCCTGTCATTTTCTCTCTCCCGCTATTGGGGTGCGTTCGGAGATTTGGGAACAAAGCCTTGAAGGGTCGTTTTCCTCACGGAGAGTTGGAATGCCATGTAGGCAGGTGTGCAAGAGCGCAGGAGGTGGTTGGAGTTTGACCTGAGTCCATTTCCAGCTCCAGGGCTCTGTAATCTTGTTAGGTTACATAACCTCGGAGTATCTCTGTGCTGGCGGTAAAATGGGAATGCTAACCGTGCCGGTGTCATTGTGGAGAGTGATCTATGCGCTTAGATGCTCAAATGATGTAGGTTGTACCCAGAGCCCTGTCATGTTACACTTGGTATCTGTTTTTATTTAGTTTTTAGTTAATTACTCGGGAGACAGGGTTATTGTCCCATTTTTCAGTTAAAGGAACTAAGGCTGAGAGGGAGCTAGTTGCCCAAGAGTACAGGCACCTGAACTTGGACCTTGTGGCCACCCAGCCCCTACCTCCTCCATCCAAGGCACCCTTCACTGCTGTCATCCGGGTAGTCAGGCCTGCAGAGGAAGCAGGGGCAGGCGGAGGCTGCTACACCTTGCAGGGTTCGAGTTAGACAAGAGCAGGTGGTAGCAGAGGCTAATTGACAGTAGTGTGTGTATGTGGACAAGCTAGTACTCCAGTCAGTAGGCTGAGGGCCGGGACAGATCTCCCATCACTCCGTCCGTGCTGGTGACTGACCCAGACAGTCATTGGTACCAAATCCTGGCAGGGCAGGGTGGTATTCATTGAGGATTCAACACAGTCTTATGATGCAGTGGCAGGGAGGGCCTGGAGTTTAAGGGACCTGGGAAGGCTCCCTAAAGGAGACATCTTGCAGAACAGGATGAGAGATGGAACAGGGCTTGGGCCAAGGCAGAACCAGTTCCAGCCCAGGAATCTATAGTGCTAGGGCTTCGTTGCTTACCTGCTTGCTGCATGACCAGTTCCGCCTCGGTTTTAAACCCAAGGTGGGGGCTCCCCCAGCTGCAGCAGCTCCCGGCTCCTTAGGCCACGCTGTGAAAAGTGAGTTTCTCCCTGGAGGCCTCAAAGCTCAGGTTGAGGCACCAGGTTAAGAGGCCCCCAGGACCCAGGTACTGTGGTGTGAAAGAGCCAGGGAGAGACCAGGCCAGGGCCACACCTGCCCCTTCCGTCTCAGCGCCCACTCGGCTGTGCCTGCGGCCCTGCTGGTCATTCCCACCGCCTAGAGGGGGAGGCAGAGGGTTAACAAATACAGAAATACAGCGCTGCCTTCCTGTTTGTGCTCTGAGTGGTGCAGCTCTGAGAGGGATGTGCACATATTAATAAAGACCTCCATTATGCATAAACCCTGCAATAACGCAGATCTCACTCCAATTTTCCCTCCCCTGCAGGGCTCCTTAACTGTGCATTTCCTTTGTAACCACATGGCAGCCCCTTGAGCTGGCAAATAGAAATGCCTGCTGTCTTAGGAATATGTCACCATCAAAACATGCGACGATCTTGGGTTGTAGGAGGTTGAGAAAAGGGGGCCATGGTGGTCTGCGAGCAGAAGTCAGTCATAGACTCCCCTGCGAGGCCAGAGTAGAGGGCTCTTCGTTGTGTTCACTGCCCTGTCCCGGTGCCTAGCATGGCGCTTGATGTATAGTTGGGTCTCAGTAAACCCGACTATACAGCAGGCAGAGTGGATGAAACAGGCCAGGGGCCAAGGGTGATGGGCTCTTTCCTGGTGGGAAAGGAAGGGACCGACAGCTGAGAACTTCGGTGAGCTGAGAGACGGACCCCGGCGGAGCGCAGCTGAGCCCTTCCTAGCCTAGAAGGAATCTCTCACCAAAGTGGGGGGAGGGCAAATGGCTTTTCTTTCCTACCCAGTTCTCATGAAAACAAGTGGGCGAGTTCTAAGCCAGATGTCAGGGAGAACCTCCCAGCCGTGTTGCTCTGAGCCAGCTCCGCGCTGGTCCTGTGCCCCCGGGGAGGTTCCTCCTCCTCGTCTGGGGCCGCTTTACCCTTCGAGCCTTTGGCTTAACTGCTGTGAGAAGGGAGATACAAGGCCAGAGCACTTGGGGCCCGACCAACAGTGTACTGACAAGTGCATGGTCACTCGGGGAGCCCTGATTTATGTCATCTGTCCGTGGTGTAAATACTCCCGCCATGGCAGATATTCAGGCCACCAACGTGAAGTCACTGAACGTGGAATTGGGAAGATGTGTGCACACCATTATGTAGTATTGCCATTGGTTCATATATGGATCATCTTAAGAGTATAGATAATGCTAACATCTTGAGGAAGTGATGAGTTTTGAGAATTGATTACCTTTGTTTTAAACAAAATTTATTTGATTGTGAGTTTATATCAGTGGACTTTAAATAGTGGCTCTGTTTAACCACCAGCTGACAGAATTCCTGAAAACGAAACACTCAGCACTCCCAATCGAGTACCAGCTGGCGCAGCACACGAGTGGGTCAGACCCACCCGAATGCCATGTATCTGCCACTTTTTAAACTGTGCGGCCCTGAACACGTTGCTTAGCATCCCTGAGCGTTAGCTTTCTCATCTATGAAGTGGGCTTCCGTGAGCGCCCAGCGCGGCCCCTTGGACTTCAGAACGTGCTGAGTAAATTATGATCATCGTCGTCGTTGTCATCGTTGCCGTCATCATTTGTTCAGGGACATTACTGTGAAGGCAGAACATTCTGGAACAAAGATATGCCTGGGAGACGAGCATAGTGGACTCAGTGTGTGGGGCAGGTGGCCAGAGGTCAGAACTGTCCTTGGCTAAACAGTCCTATTGTTAAACACGTGGGCGTGGCCCACAATTTTGTGTATTGTCATTACTGTGGCCACAGACATCTTCAAGCATGTAGCTTTTTGTCTCCGTTCTGAATTCTCTTCTTGTGACCACTGCCCCGGCGGGGGCTGACTGGGCGGGGGGTGCGAATATCTCTGCCCTGCTGCGTCCGGAAGGGCTGTGCCAGCTTCCAGTGCCAGGAGCACACAACCATGTAGCAGTAACCACACTTGCATCCAAAGCACTTGCCTCTGTAATGCCCACAGCGCCTCTCTGAAGGCAGGCATTACGTGGATCCTCCTTTTCCAGCGAGTCCAAGGGAACTTGGACAGGTGGAGTGGCTACCCGAGGGCACGCAGCTGCCGGGGTGAAATAGCGAACCTCAGGCGGGACTGACTTGAGCCAGGCCCAGTTACATGCACCGGCTCATCCAGTCCTTACAACACCCCCGTGAGATAAGTGCCACGTTAGGGACTGGGAAACAGACACAGAGAGGTTAAGCAGCCCGCCTGAGAAAGGTGGAGACGGAGTCTGAATTTGGGCGTCTGGTTGCAAGTGTGGCCCCCTCACTGCTCCAGTGCGATTTGGAAGCGGGCCTTTTGCCTCCAGTGCGCCGCGCTCTGACCAAGTCTCCGTCTCCCTGCAGGCACCGGGAGCCTGGCTGCCGCCGTGGAGACAGCCTCAGGACGCCAGGCCCTGGTGGTGGGCAAGCCCAGCCCCTACATGTTCGAGTGCATCACGGAGCACTTCAGCGTGGACCCTGCCCGCATGCTCATGGTGGGCGACCGCCTGGAGACCGACATCCTCTTCGGCCACCGCTGTGGCATGACCACCGTGCTCACGCTCACGGGTGTCTCCCGCCTGGAGGAGGCCCAGGCCTACCTGGCAGCCGGCCAGCAGGATCTGGTGCCCCATTACTATGTGGAGAGCATCGCGGACTTAATGGAAGGGCTGGAGGACTGAGCCCGCCTGACCTGCAGCCGCAGCCCCACCCCTTCCCCATCCTGATCCCGTAGACGGAGGTGAAGGGCCAGGAGCTGCGTTAAGTGCCACTGGCTCTCTGGCCCCAGTTCCTGCACGGTGGTGGGGCTGGGACCCAGGGAAGGTTTTAGGGCCCTTCTACCCCTTCCCAGGGTGGCTGAGCACTCTTTGCTGTGCCAAAAGCTGCCCCTCTTGCCCCGCTGGTTTGCCTTGGCCTGACCAGCCAAGGTGGCCTTTTGTCCTGCCCTGCGACCTCCCCTTGTTTAAATCTGGGCCCCAATGCCCACTGAAGATTCCCCCCAACCCTAAGCCCTTAACTCCCTCACCCTCCCCCGGCCCCCACCCAGGACCTCTAGAGCTCTACCTGCTCCCCAGGTCTTGGCCTTGGGTTCCTGTTGGCCAATCAGAGGTCTAGGTAGCCCCAAGCCACTATTGTCCTGAGCCCTGAATGGACCAATCAGAAGGCTAAGTCATAGTGATTCGCTGATGTTGGGTCCTGGGTGGACCATCTGGGAGCCTGAGTAACAATGACCCTTTCATGTCCTAGATCCTGGGTAGACCAGTCAGGACAGCAGGTGATGACCCTCTGGTCTTAGATCCGGAATAGAACAGAAGTCAGAGACAGTGGCCTCTCGACATCTGGGTCTCACTGGGTGAGCCAAGGGTCCAGATTTCTCTCAGTAAGTAAGGTCCATGTACTAAAGACACCCCTCCACCAAGATTGCTATCCAGGGGGCCACTCAGTGGCCCTGGGGGCCACCGGAGCCGAGAGCCCTGCCCTCCCTCGTTTGTGGTACCGGTCCAGTGTTGATGGTGGCAGCAGCTCAGAATGGGGGGTTTGTGTCCCTCCCTGTGCCATCAGTGTTTGCTGTGCCACTTCTCCCCCGTGCCCGACCTGGCTATTTATTTATCATTGTGTGCCAGTGATGGTGGGGGTGGGGGCTGGGCCTTCCCTGCCACCTCCGCCCCGTCGTAACTAGCCCTCCCGTACTTAATAAAGTGGGAGTGGGGTTGCCTGTGTGGGCTGAAGTCTGTCCATGGCTGGCGCATGGGGAGAAGGAGCCACTGGCTGAGCCCGGTCTCCCCAGCCCTGGCCCACCACGACCTTCCACTGCATGAAGCAACCCGTCCCAGTTCCAGGGTGTGCTCTCTGCAGCAGTACTCGGGCGCACGTTGCCCCTCACAGAGTCTGTGCAGTGGTTTGTTTCAGAACCCTGTTCAGAAAACCCTGCCAGCTTGTGGCGCTCATCCCACATCCCACTTTAGGAAGACACTTGGGGAATAAAGATTGGACATGCAATGCGAACTTTCACACGGGCACACATCTACAAAGTGCAGTCACGTAAGGCAGGGTTTGAATTTGTGTTGGCTGACCCCAGGGGGCTGCTCCCCCTTCTCAGGAGAGACTGGAATTGGGCCGGGGACAGTTCCCCAGCCTCTGGAGGCCCAGGTGGGATGCTGCAGCGCCCCTCCGTGGGCATCCTTCACGCCTAGGGTGCGGCGCGCCCGCCCTGCTGGGCCTGAGCTCCTCCAGGCCAGGCGCGCATCACTGCCTTCCCAGCACCTGGTGCAGAGGCCGCGCTCCGCTGTGAGCTGGCCGCAGGGCAGCCCGGAATGGCCTGCAGATTCTGAGTGGGGAGATGACATGACTGTTGAAGGCCTGGCCGTCACCAGTGTGTCGCTTGTACGTGCACAAGTCCCTTCCCGCTCAGCCTGCTTCCTCATTTAGAGAGTGAGGGGTAGGTCTGGAGGTCTTGGGGAACCCTCTCCAGCGTGACTGTCTTCTCTGGAAGAAGGGGTGCCTGCCTGAGCCTGGCTGTGTCATGACAAAATCAGCAGGTCGCATTCGTGGAACCTAGGGGCTGTGACAAACGCCTCAGCCCGGCTAAGGTGTGAGGGGCTTGCGGCTGCCCCTGTGAGGGGGTCAGCACTCTCCAGGTGTATCCTGGCTGTGCTGCGTCCCAAGCAGTGGGCACCTCCCACCCGACCAGTGTCCCAGGGCAGACTCATTGGCTTGGCTTGGGTCCCACATCCATCTCAGAACCTGTGCCCCAGGGGATAGAGCATCGCTGTCAACCAGCCCGAGCCATGTGTCCCCCACCCCAGAGGAAGGCAGTACTTGTCTCCCCAGCCTCACTCCAGACCAGTAGCCACCGCTCCCCTTCCGTGCTTTCCTTCAGGGGAGGGCTTGGTGGCTTGTGAGCTGGAGGGAGTGGGCGTCCCAGTCCCAAGTAGTGAATCTTGATTGTTTAAGCCAATCATGGTTGCGTGATTGCCCCTAGCCTGTGATTGGGTAACCATGGGCTTGTGAGGCACTTTGTTCATTTTCTATTTTGGGGGGCGGGGGGTTGGTTTTTTGTTTGTTTCTGTGATGCACTTCTGACCAATAAGACAAGAGGGGGTATTCCGGAATGTTTGGCTCACTTTTAAAGCAGGACATGGAGTACGGACTCCCTCTTCTGGCCTTGGCTGTAGAAGCTGTTGCAGCCAGTCTGTGATCACGAGGTGTGACCAACACATTTCTCAGCTTCGTGACTGCAGAGCCACACACACACACACAAAAGAGAACTTCCTGGGGTTATTTCCTCCTCAACTTCTAATTTAGAGAAGTTTCAAACCCACAGAAAAAGTGCAAGAGTGGCACAAAGAACACCCCTCACTTGGATTCCCAATTGTTAATATTTCAGGAAGTTGATTGATGCACCGGTCCACAAAATGAAACATCTTCACACTATACTCCTTGGTTTCAGTGGGTTCCTCGTTTTGCCTTCTCACCATGTTGACTACTTTCTTAGTGTCCAAAGACCTTAGAGGTACTTTCTATTGTCCCTGAGTAGTTTTTCCCTTGGGGAGTGGCTTTGAGGCTCCTGGCCCAAGCTCAGACACTGAAATCTGAGCTGAGCCTAGCATCAAGGTACCACCCACCACTCTTGATTTCATTTTAGCTTCCACCATTAACCATAACCAAGGGACTACATACTGTGCTTTTTTTGCATTTCGTTCGTCCATTAACCAGCTCCCCAAGTGTTAGAGCCATCTCCAAGTTCTGCTGGTAACTGTGACAGCAGCTAAAGCTCCCTCGTGCCTGCCCTTTTTCCCATTCCCTTCCCAAACCACATGTTTCCATCAGCCAGAGCCATTTTAGGAAACTCCACTCTGATGCCAACAAAACGGGAAAGCTGTTCCCTCTACCCACAGAATACTTCTGACGCCAAACGTGTGGGTTTCCTACATCCAAGCAGTTCAGTTTTCTGCAGACACCAAGTGGGTGTCCTACAATTTAATTCAATTTTGACATTGCCCAGAGTTAGTGCAGAAACCATAGGTGAAGGGCTCAGTCCCACAAGGCTTTTCCCCCACTTCAAATGCCAGTCACAAGTCCCAGGTTGTCACCTGTACTTCTGGCCAAGAGGTTCCCATGACCCCTTCTCAGGTTGGGTAATTTGCTATAATGGTTCACAGAACTCAGCAACATTTGTGTTTGCCAGTTTATTATGTAGTAAAGGATATGATGAAGGATACAGATGAACAGCTAGAGGTACACAGGGTGTGGTCTAGGAGAGCCCAGAATGCAAGCGCTGCTGCCACCCTCTGAGCCTGTAGATGTGTTCACCAACCAGGAAGCTCTCGCCACCCCGGGCTTTGGGGATTTCTGTGGAGGCTTCGTCTTGTAGTCGTGAGCAACTGAGCCAGCCTCCCGCCTCCCCAGAGGATGGGGGTGGGGCTGAAAGCCACAAGCTTGTGACTGGTCCTTCTGGTGACCAGCCCCGTCCGGAAGCCCTCCAGGAGCCACCCAGAGTCACCTCATTAAAACAAAAGATGCTCCTGTCCCTGAGAAAACTTCAAGGGATTTAGGAGCTCCGTGTGGGGAACTGGGGTCACAGACGCGGTATTAGAACCAAAGATGCTTTTAGCATCTCTCTTGCTTATGAAATGCTGAGGGTTTTAGGAACTCAGTCACTAACTGGGGTCAGAGACCAAATACACATTTCTTATTACCTCACACTCTACAACTTTAATTTAGAAAAGTTTCAAACCAACAAAAAAAAGTGTAAGAACAGCAAATGAACATCCTTAGGTCCTTCACCCAGATTCCCAGTTATTGATATTTGCCTGATTTATTTAATCGTTCCTTACATACATTTACCTTTTCTTTTTAAAGGATTTTATTTATTTACTTATTAGAGAAAGGGAAAGGGAAGGAGAAAGAGGGAAACATCAGTGTGTGAGAGATGCAGATTGGTTGCCTCTCACACGCCCCCTACTGGGGGACCTAGGCCGCACCCCAGGCACGTGCCCTGACTGGGAATTTAACCTGCGACATTTTGGTTTGCAGGCCTGCACTCAATCCACTGAACCACACCAGCCAGGGCTACATAGATTTACCTTTTTAACGGATTCATCTGAGAGTACACTGCAGATGTTAGGACAGTTCACCCCAAGTCTTTCAGCTTGTGTCTCCTAAAAGCAGGACTGTCTGTCTACAAAGCTGTAATCCACGATCAGACAGGAAACCAGATCTTTGATGATTTCATGGAGCCACTGAATTCACTTGCCATGGGAACCATCTAGCTCCAGACTTCTGTGAACGATTCCCCTTACTTTAAAGCAATTCTTGATGTTTTCTGCCCAAAACTTTCCCAACACACAGGCTCCAGGCACATCATAGAAAACATTAAAAATCACCCACACCCCATATTAAATATATATGGAGTGTTTTTTAATACACATTTTCCAAAGTACTTTTATACTTTTGTTTTAGATGTTACTTGGCTATGGGGGTCTTATTTAGGCATGACCAACCTACAGGAAGACTGAGGCCCACATTTGAAGGAAGGAAACTCAACCTCCAAAATTGTTTTCAAATGTAATGCCATTTTTATTAACTACCACCTTTTACGTTTGAGCACAGTAAACATTTTTTAAAAATCGTATCCCACTGACCATGTCATCACAGCTGCCCAGCCGTTCCCCCGACACCCCCCCAACCCTCCCCCCCTAGACAGTCCCCACACCACCCTTCATGTCCCTGGGCCACGCGAGCACGAGCCAGCCCCCGGCTGCTCCACCTCCCGCCTGCACTCCACAGGCCCGCAGCGGCCCTGCAGCCGCCCACCTGTGCTGCTCAAGCCCCACCCCCTCGACCCCCCCCCCCGCCCCTGGCGTCCATCCAAAGACTCTCCGTCGCCACGGTTCTGTCCCTGCTCCTCTTCACCCAGGTCGCTTTCCAGATTCCGTTCTTGACAGACACGTATTCATCGCCATTCTATTGTTCACACAGTCTCAATCCTCTTCCCTTTCTTAAGCTGGTCCCTTTAATAAGTCCCATACAATAACGGTTTGAGGAGGACGAACACCCCCAGTGTTTTCTTGCCTGGGAAGCTCTTCATCAGCCCTTCCATTCCAAATGGTATCTTTTTTTTCTGGTTTTTAATGTATTGATCATGCTATTAGAATCATCCCAATTTTTCCCCCTTGGGACCCCTCTGCCCAGCACCGCCCTTCCCCCCAGCAGTCCCCCCTTAGTTCATGCCCATGGGTCGTGAATGTAAGTTCTTTGGCTTCTCTATTTCCTATACTATTCTTAATCTCTCCCTGTCTCTTTTGTTTATTTTGTATCTACCAATTATGCTTCTTAACCCCTGTACCTTTTCCCCCATTCTCCCCTTTTCCCCTCCCTGCTGATAACTCTCCAAATGATCTCCATATCTGTGATTTTTTTTGTTGTAGTTGTTTGCTTAGTTTTGTTTTGTTTGTTATTTATTTATTTTAAAGATATTTATTTTTAGATAGAGGGGAAGGGAGGGAGAGAAACATCAATGTTTGATTGCCTCTCACATGCCCCCTATGGGGAACCTGGTCCATAACCCATGCATGTGCCCTGAGTGGGAATTGAACCGGTGAACCTTTGGTTCACAGGCTGGCACTTAATCCACTGAGCCACACCAGCCAGGGCTTTTTTGTTTTTTAGATTCAGTTGTTGATAGCTGTGAGTTTGTTGTCATTTTAATGTTCATAGTTTTAATCTTCTTTTAAATAAGTCCCTTTAATATTTCATATAATAAGGGCTTGGTGATGATGAACTCCTTCAGCTTTACCTTGTCTGGGAAGGACTTTACCTGCCCAGCTTCCACTCTAACTGATAGCTTTGCTGGATAGAGTAATCTTCGTTGTACATCCTTGCTTTTCATCACTTTGAATACTTTTTCCCAGCCCCTTCTTGCTTTCAGTTTCTTTTGAGAAGTCAGCTGATAGTCTGATAGTCTGATGGAAACTCCCTTGTAGGTAACTCTCTGCTTTTCTCATGCTGCTTTTAAGATTCTCTCTTTATCTTTAACCTTTAGCATTTTAATTATCATCTGTCTCGGTGTGGTCCTCTTGGGTCCAACTTGTTTGGGACCCTCTGTGCTTCCTGGACTTGTATGTCTATTTCCTTCACCAAATTAGCAGTTTTCTTTCATTATTTTCTCCAATAAGTTTCGATTCCTTCTCTTCCTCTCCATCTGGCAGCCCCATGATCCAGATGTTGCACTTTTGGAGCTGTCCCAGAGTTTTTTTACTCTCCCTTCGTTTTTTTGAAATCTTGTTTTTTCATTTTGTTCTGGTTGAATGTTTATTTCTCCCTTATGTTCCAAATTGTTGATGTGAACGCCAGCTTCCTTCCCTTCACTGTTGATTCCCTATGGATTTTTCTTTATTTCACTTAGTGTAGCCTTTATTTCTTCCCTTATGCGTTAGCAATACTCAGTGTGTTCTCTGAGCATCCTTATCACCAGTGTTTTGAACTCTGCATCTGATGGGTTGGCTATCTCCATTTCATTTAGTTTGTTTTCTGGGGTTTTGTTCTGTTCTTTCATTTGGGCCATGTTTCTTTGTCGCCTCAATTTGGCAGCCTCCTTGTGTTTGTTTCTGTGTATTACATAGAGCTGCTTTAACTCCTGTCTCAGCGCACCTGTTAAGTTGTATGGGGCGGAGCCTTAGGTAATCATCAGGGTGGGACAACCTGTTTCACTGCTTTGTGGCTCTGTATGTGGGGGAGAGGTCAGAGAGGGGACAGTGCCGCTGCCTGGCTGCTGGAGGCTTGCTCAGCATTCACCCTGTTTCCAGTCACTTCACCCACTTGCCCTATGCAACTGGCGCCCTTCCAGCTGTTGCTCTGGTGGTGGTTCCCAGAGTGGGTAGGTTTGCAATGTTCTAGGACAATGTGGGCCCTTTAGATGGACTCTCCTGAGACTAGCAGATTCTTCCACTGCCCCAACCCCCGCTAGTTTTTACATCCAGAAGTTCTGGGGATTTGTTTTCCCAGTGCTGGAATCCTGGGCTGTGTGATCTCACCTGAGGCTGGGATTGCTTGCTCCCAAGGTGTCCCTCCCAATTTTTATCCACTACATGTGTGGGACCATTTGTTCCACCGACCACTGCCGCCTCACTGCTGCCACCGTGCTGCCACCACACAGCATCCTCTTCACCCTGGCTCCCTGGCTCCGTCCCTCCTACCTGTCTGGATGAAGATGGCCTCATTAAATCCTTGGTTGTTGGACCGCCATACAGTTCGATTTTCTGACAGTTCTGGGTGTTTTCTGTTTCAAGGTTAGTTGCGATTCTTTTTGTGGTTACACTAGGAAGCGAAGCATGTCTACCTACACCCCTATCTTGTCCATGAATTCCAAATATCTTTGCTGGGTAGAGCAATCTGGGCTGTAGGTTCCTGCTTTTCAAGACTCCGAATACTTCCTGCAGTCCTCCCAGCCTGCAAATTCTCCGTTGAGAAATCAGCTGGCAGTCTAATGGGAACCCCCTTGAAGGTAACCAGCTGCTTCTCTCTTGCCTCTTTTAAAATTCCCTCTTCATCCTCAAGCACTGGCATCCTAATTATGACGTGTCTTTGAGTGGGCCTCCCTGCACCTGCATCCTTCCTGCCCAGAACTCTCTGGAATGCAGTAAACATGTTTTAATTCCAGTTTTTCAGTCTTACAATTTGGAAGCCAATACTTTTTTGTTTCTTCAGTTCTCAAATATTTATTTTCTAAGCTCTTAAAAAGCTCTTGGCTTTCTGTAAGTCTATAATTATGATAAAAGAAAACATTTTAAAGAACCTGAAAAACACTCATGCCTGAGCCCTGGAGGGCAAACAAATGATAGGGCCTGGGCCCCAGCCAGGCCTCATATAAAGGGGGTGGTTCACCGAAGGCAAGTCAGGGCCTCTGATCAGAGCAGGGGACAGATACCAGGTAGGAAGACAAAAGCAACAGGCATCCACTGTGTTTGTGGACGTGGCTGCCTGGGTGAGAAGCACAACCATGCAAAGGCAAGGAGGCAAGAATGGATGAGCAAGGTAAATGGGGGCTGAAGGGGGAAGGCGTCAGCAGAAATCAGTTGGAAAAGTGCCAGAACTGGGGAAGGGTTGAGGGGTGGGATTTCCCAACCCCAAGCCACTCCTTTCTACCCTTCCTGTAGCAAGATCTAAAACAGATCGTCGCCCCAGCTGGCGTGGCTCACTGGATGGAGCGCCAGCCTGCCACACAAGCCAAGGATTCGATTCCCAGTCAGGGCACACACAAGGGTTGCGAGCCCTTACCCCAGGTGGGGGCATCCAAGAGACACCTGATTGATATTTCTCTCCCTCTATTTCTTCCTTCCTTCCCTTCTCTCTAAAAATAAGTAAATGAAAATCTTAAAAAAAAAAAAACAAGCAAGCAAATAAAAACGGTCAATGTTTGCAGTACAGGTACACCAGGCCCAGAGAGTTCTTTCCTTGACTCAGCAGAGGAACCGGCTCCCGTGTGACCCTGGTCAGCCTGCCAGCCTCGCTGGGTGGTGGCTCCATCGTCAAATGAGGGAGCGGCACCTGGCGTCCCTCCCCGCTCTGACTTCCACGACTCCTGGCTCTGGTCACCGCACCTCCTGCTCCCCCCGGGCCCAGCGGGTTGGCAGGGGGTGTGCACGGTGTCCCAGGGGCCCAGCAGCCACCTCCAGCTCTGCCAGCCGGAGGCGGCCCACCCTCACCAGGGCAGGGCAGGCTGGCGGGGGCCGCCCTGCTGGGCAGCTGTCTGGGCGAGCTGAGCCCCTCTCCCGCAGCCAGCAGGGCAGGCGCTCAGGGCGGAGGAAGTCCGGAGCAGGGAGGGGAGGCCGGGAAGAGGGGCTTGGCCCGGGCCGGAGCAGGAGAGAGAATGGCGTGGGCCCTCACGAACCCCTCCCGTCATCCCCCAGCCAGCCGGTGACTGGGTGACGTTCCCTTCGCAGGCCTGGAAGCGAGTTCCGAGGCATCGAGGACGGCTCCAGTCACAGCCAGGCAGCCCCACACCAGGCTGTGCCTCGCTTTCCCGGGTTCTAACATCAGCGTCAGGGCTCAGAGCAGCTTCCCTGTGCGGCTCAGCCCAGTCATTAGACAAGAAGAGGTGAGGGGAAGCTGGAACAAAATCACGTATGATGCGCGGCGCCGGGCAGAGGGCCTGGCAGATAAATGGGCGCTGCCACACAGTGCACCCTGACCCACACCGTCCTGTTAGAGGGGACACTGGCATCTGCAGAGACCCCCTGCCTCAGCCTCGGCAGGGTGGCACTGAGGGGGACGAGGAGGGCGTGGAGGGCCTCGTGGGCCTCTTGACCCCAGGAGGGGAAACAGCCTGGGAAAGGAAGCAAAGACCTTCTGAGACCTGAGGGGAACAAAAGCTACTGAGCTGAGAACTCCACCCAGTACCGACCTGGAGCAGGAGAGCAGGGTTTCCCCTCTCCGGTACGCGGATGTGGAGACCGAGGCAAGCCGAGAGAAGGGACTTGCCAGGGTGCCTTTCGGAGGGCACGGCAGGGCTCACGCTGACACCCAGTCGGCCCGCTCCAAAGCGGCCCCTCCCAGCTCCTAGTCCCCCTGCCACACGCGACTCGCTGAGACCTCGGCTGGCCAGAGGCTGACAAGGACTGAAGCAGCCCCTCGTCCAGCACAAACCCTCCCTGGTGCCGGCCATGCCTCCCCGGCGGGGGACGGATGGAGAGGCAGCGCCCAGGCCCCGAGACCTAACCACGCGGCTGGAAGAGCCACCAGGCCCCCCCGGGGGCAGGCAGGCCAGGACTGGGCCTGAAGCGCCTCTGTCCTGGGTTAGGGCTCCTGCTGGAGGGCCCTGGTTCCTTGACCAGGCACACAGGGTACCAGTGCCCTTGGAGGGGAAGCCCAGCAGAGAGGCGGCGCCGCTGGGCCCCCGCCCGCCCAGGTGGAGGTTCCAGAAGGCCCTGCAGGAAACGGTGCAGCTGCTGTGGCCGGTGTCTGAGCCGCCCGCTTAGCCTGCCGCGAGGGGCACGGGGCTCTCCGTGGGCGTGGCCGGCCTCCTCTCCGGGCCCTGCCACCCCGAGTATTCCCCAGTCCTCCTGTGCCAGCGTGGGCTTCAGTCATCTGGAGCCAGGTGACCTGTGCGGACTGGGGAGGCACCGGCGGGACAGCGGGCCGGGAGTGCTGGCCTGACCTGCCGACGGAGGGCGCTCCTGCTCCACATCTTTCCCCTTTGCTGCTGCCCATTTCAGGAGGAAGCCCGCGATGTGGACACGCAGGGCCATGGACAACTTCTTGCAGCCTCCGCCCTTGCCAGTGCTCCCCACCCCCTCCTCTCCCCCTGGATCTCGGTCTAAGGGAGCAGCCCTCCACCTCACTCCCACCCCGCCCCCCCGCCGCCCCGCTGCTACAGTGACCTCCCCTGAAGCCCAAAGCTGGCCTCATACTCACCTTCCGGGTCACCTTCTGTGGTCCCCAGCACCCGCAGATGAAACACGTCCAAGCCCCTCCACGAGGCCTTTCGTGGTCCCTGCCGGCCTCCGGCCTCACGCCCCGTTTCCCCGCAACACACCCCCTACCCCGCTGTGCCCTGACGCTCGCTCTTCCCCGGGTCTGGGCTTCCTCACTCCAGACCTCCTGCTCAGGCTGGAAGGCCGGCCCTGCTTCTTCGCCCATCCTTCAAGACCCACCTTCAGCCCTGCCGGTGTGGCTCAGTCGACTGAGCACCGGCCTGCAAACCAAAGGCCGCCAGTTGGATTCCCATCGGGGCACATGCCTGGCTGTGGGCCAGGTCCCCAGTTGGGGGCGCTGTGAGAGGAAACCGATCACTGTATCTCGCACACATGGATGCTTCTCTCCCACTCTTTCTCCCTCCCTTCCTCGCTCTCTAGAAGTCAGGAAATTACATCTTTTCTAGAAAACTTAACAAGACTCACCATCACATTCCGGGCAGCGTCCGCCCCACCGTGGAGCTTGCCCGTGACTCCCCTGAGAGCCGGCGCCATGCTACTCCGCCCTGAGGTCATGGTCAGAGTCTGCCCGAACCGTGGGCTGCCTGGGAGCAGGGCCTGGGAAGCTTGCCTCATTGAATCCTCCAGACCAGCTCAGGGCCAGGCCCATTGTGGCTGTTCACTAAAATATCTGCTAAACAAATGGGGAAAGGCGAGGCTCTGCCTGGCCTCGGAGGGAGGGATGCGAGGAGAGCAGACGGGGGTGCACAGAGCAGGAAACCTCACCCCTCAGGGCCTGGCTCAGCCTGGCCCCTCCCGTGCCTACCCTTCCCAGACAGGCCAGAGGCTGTCCAGCAGGGAGTCTTGGAAGACCCCATCAGGCCCCCCACTGGGGCCGAGGCCTGAGCCCTGAACCATGGCAGCAGCCTCAGACTTGGCGCCCGGCCCATCCTCTCTTTACCCTTAGTGAGAAGCATGCTCAGCTGCCAGTTGTGCTTCCCGATGAGGCCTTGAGGGGCCGGGGCTTTGTGGTTGGTGGCCCTGGGCCCTCTGCATAGGCCCCCAGAGGGACTCACTCCGGGGCCCTGTCAGGGTGCAGCTTCAGGACCCCGGCTCTAATTCCCGGGATGGCCCTCACCCCCTCGACGGTCATCCCTGGGCACGTCCTGAGCTCAGACTTCAGGCCCTAAGCCCCTTCCCACCGACTCGTGGGCCTAGCTCACCCTCCAACTCTTTTCCATTGGTTTTACCAGTCCTGGCCACAGCACAAGTATTCTTTTTTTCTTTTTAAGGGGGTGTGAGAGAGATGGAGGAGAATGAGAGAGGGAGCCAGGAACCTGGGGGAGGGGCTACGAAGCAATGGACCAGGGGTCACTAATCTATTGGTCAGGTCAACCCCAGAGCTGCCTCCAGAATTCCATTGATTCCGCCTCCAGCCCTGTCCTGACTTACAATTGGCTGAGCTTTCAGGGGCGGGACCTGCCTGGGTCTGGTCCAGTTTAAAGGGCCCATTGCCCTTCTCTCAGGTGAAATCTTAAGACAGCTGGTTGCTCAGCCCACAGGACCCTTCTCCTGTCCTAAGTCATGGCTCAGGCGGTGAGTGTGGGGACCCAGCCCCAAGGCTCTGGGTGGCGTAGGGGGTGACAGGCGAGTAGAGTGGGGGACAGATGCAGCTCTAGGTTCTACTCCTGGCGGTGTAGACTTGGGCAAGCATCTTCTCTCTCCTGGGCCTTAGTGACCACATCTCTAAGATGGGCGTAGGCACCGTGGTCCCCCAAGGCTTTCTCTGGGTTAAGAACTGTCTGGATTCCTCCAGGGTCTGCCAGCAGTTAGCTGTACCAAGGACTGACATTCTGCAGCTCTCTGAAAAGCTTGAGGGGGAAGGCTGTGCCCAGCTGGGGCGGGGCCATTCCGGTGACTCGGGCCACAGTCCCTTCCCTCTCTCCTCCACCCCAGGGAGCCTCCTGCCCCCTCCCCCATACTGCTGTCCCCAGTCACCGGGCCTGGCACTCACCCTGTGCTCTGGAGAGCTGTGGAACCTGCCAGGGCCTGAGACAGCCTGCCTGGGAGGGGTCTGCCTGGGTTAGTGCGTGGAGGGTGGTTCTGTCCAGGCTGGTCGGGTGGGGACGTGGCCTTTCTGCTGAGGGGGACAGAAGGAGGCAGGAATCTTCCTCAGGCCCCGAAGGAACGGGTTCAAGTTTCAGGCAGAAGGAAGGACTCACGTGCAGTTTACCTGTGCATTCAATCTTGTGGACCCAGGCAGCCACGCTGCCGATTCCGGCCGAGCCACTCTCCCTTCTGTGGAGGGGCCTGGCCCTGCACGGGGTCCCCCGCCCCTCTCTGCAGAAGGGCTGGACGGGGATAGGCCCCTTCCTCTCCAGCAGAGGGGATGACACCTCCATTCACCTTTTCTTTGCCATCATCTCCCTCACTCACAAAGAGTCTCCTTCTCTCCATCCATTACCTGGGGTAACAGGGCACTCTGAATCCCAGATCTCCAAGCCGAACCAAGAAAACTTTTAATCTTGGCTTCTGGAACCTCACTCATGTTACAGAGGGGAAACTGACAAGGTTGTGAGTAGGGACTTGACCGGGACAACACAGAGAAAGAAAGGCTAGAACTTTCCCCCGGGTTCCCCAGGGCTTGTCCAGGTCGGAGGGTCCAGGGTGGGGGCGACCCCACCCAACTTCAAAGTCACTGCCTCCAGGAAACCTCCTGGGTGGGGTCTTCTCCATACAGGGTGTGGCCTTCAACAACATTAAACTCCATCCAGGGCAGAGCGTTCGAGTGCAGTTGGAGGTGGACCGCAACCCTGAACAGTAAGGGGGCCAAGGCGGGATTAGCGGGGAAGGCGGGCTGCGGAGGCTGGGCTCGGGGCCCCAGGGTCCTTCCGGAGGTCCAGTAGCGGTCGCAGCCTGGCTGGCCAGGCCCCACTCCTCCCTGACTCTCAGGCGGTGGGTGGCAGAACTTATTCCGGCAGCCGCGAAAGCTACTTTTTCTGTAGGAGCCTCTTCCTCTGCGGAATCTGGATGCCCCTACACCATTATTATTCCCCTCTCCTCCCCTCCACGCTGGAGCCTCTGAAAGTAAACCAGCTGTGGCCCCATCACCTACCTCAGCTTGCGCCTGCCTCTCAGCTGAGGGTGGGACCCGAGGCTGCCAGGAGAGCTGGGAGAGGGAATGGGAGGGCTTGCCGTGCCTGAGGCTGTCTCTCCGAGGCCTCTTCTCTGAGGTTCCTCTTCTCCGGTTTCTTGACTCACTCAACCTTTCACTCCATTGGTCCTTCCTTCACTCATCATTCAGCTGGCCCGTCTGTTTTCTCAGCAGCGCTGGGACTGACATTGGACTAGTCAACCAATGGCATTGAGCCTCGGTTACTCAGGAAACCAAAATATTGGGGAGGGGTCTTGTGTGGAGTGTGCGAGAGGCTGGCTCTGTGAGGAGGAGCTGGAGGGCTGGCATTTTCAAGGAGCCACACCCTCCATGCACTATTCATTTCATTCTTTACAAATCCTCAGGGGCAAGGATTGCTGTGACCTCCACTTAGCAAAGTGTTATGATTCGTTATTCCCGCCACAGTGTTGAGAACCTATGGCCTGTGCTGCATCACGCGGGGCACCGCAGCTACACGGATATACAAGGCAGACTGAACCCTTGCACTCACAGAAGTCACCATCTGGAGGTGACCTCCGACTCTGACCAAGGGGCCTGGGCAAACACTACTGTCTACAAGGGTATTGGCTGTGCAGTCGAGATCCTTCATGTGCAGTCCACAGTGTACACATGAGGAAACTGCGACCCAGACAGGGCCAGGGACACAGCAAGGCAGCGGCAGGGCCAAGCGCTAAAATCAGGTTTCTGTCTCCCAGCTCAGCGAGTTCTCCCAGACAGGGGCTGCACTGAACGGCACAGACCGGTTAGGGGGAGGGCCTGCTTCTGGCGGAGGAGGCCTCAGCCGCTCCCACCTGATACCCGCTAGGTGGGCGGTGAACTTGGGCAAAGATATTGACAACCTGTGCCTGCACTTCAATCCTCGCTTCAAGGAACTGGCGGGCGTCGACGCCATTGTGTGCAACAGCCGGAGAGCAGGCGCCTGGGAGCAGGAGCAGTGGGAGCCTGTCTTCCCGTTCGAGCCCGGAAGCGTGGTAGAGGTGAGTGGGGAGAGGGGCAGGGCGCTGGGTGGTCTGGAGCAGAACTGGGCTTAGCATCTAGAGATTTAGGTCCCACCTTTACCTTCAACGCTGCCACATCCCCTCCCTCCATCACCTGCTGTGTCTTCTTCTTCCCAGCCCCATTCGCTTCACCAATGAGGAAGGGCTTTCGGGGTACAGGAGGGAAGGGCTCGGGAGGGCCCGTGGCTGTGGCTACGCTGTGGCTCCCACGTTGGGGAACACTGCTCACCGCCCTTCTCCGTCCCCAAGGTGTGCATCACCTTCGACAAGGCAGAGCTGACCATCAAGCTGCCAGATGGACACACATTCAAGTTTCCGAACCGTCTCAACATGGAGACCGTCGATTACGTGGGAGCAGGAGGTGACATCGAGATCAAGTCTGTGTCCTTTGAATGAAGCCAGTCAACAACCCATAGGCCCTAATAAAGGCAGCTGCCTCTGAACCGGCCTCATTTGTGTGTGTGTGTCTGTGAGAGGGACGGTGCCCCAACCCCCCAGCTCTGCCCCTTCCTTCACTTCTATTCACGTCCCTGAGGCACACCCACTGAGTGCCAGTGACATCTTCTTCCCCTGCATCTCCTGGGCCAGGAAGAGAGCTCAGTGCCCAGGAGGGCGCTTGGTCACCACTAAATGAGCCCTAGTCCCTGCCCTCAAACCGCTCCCAACCCGGAGGGCCCCAGCACACGGTAGCTGCTCCAAGGGTGCTGAAGAAACGTCACCCGGGGCAGAGGCAAGGACAGGCTGACTCATGCCATGGCGCCCGGGGCAGCACAGACACAAGAGTCACTGGGCCCCTCATTTGTTGTCATGAACCGGAAGGAGCTCGTCCCGACCCCCCGACGGAGGCGCGGGGCTCCCGCGGTGTGGCCTCGTGAGCAGGAGCTGACCTGAGCCTCGGTTGTGCGTGCGCGTGAGGGGACTCGGGGCGCGTGGCCTGCCGTGAGGGTTAAGTGAGATGTGTGGAGGAGGCCACGTTTCGTTGGCGACCCGTGGGAAACACTAGACAGTGGTGTCTCCTTCCTGCCGCACTACCTCTGGAGACGTTGCTACCCCAGTGTGAAGAGGAGGACGCAGGTTCTGAGTGACGGCGTGATGCCCTGGCCTGTCCCGGACTCAGCCGAGCCTGGGGAGGGGGGCCTGGAAAATCTCACTCTGCACGACAGCCAGGCGGCGGCGGCCGGCGCACCCTGGGGAGGCCTCTCTGTCTCCAACCGTCATCTCTTCATCTGAAAATGAGGGTCATTATTCACACGTCGGCCATCTCGGGGGGAAGACTGCCACCCCAGTGGGGCCCCGAGGGAGCCCGTGTCTGTGAGAGAGCCACGGAGGGTGGGGCACGCTTGCCAGGGCTCCGGTGACCCTCTCCCAGTCGCCCGGCTCTCCTAAGCCTCCGCAGCCACCAGCCAGAGGGAAAGCACTTCGCGGTCTGGCTGCGAGGGGCGAGGGATGCCCTCTGCCGGGCTGTGGAAAAGGGTCCGCCCCCTGCCCTTCTCTGGCCCTCAGAGTTCACCCGCATTGATTCTCCCGACACCGGCCGGACACCCACAACACACCAGAAACGGACTGTACCCAGCCCGAGGAAGGCCCGGGAAATGCAAGAACAAGACCAATGTGCATGGAGGAAGGAAACAGCTCAGATTAGACCCATGTTTGACTCCCACTCTATCGCGGTTTGCCCTCAGACCAGTTACTCAACCTCTCTGACCCTCAGTTTCTTCACATATGAATTTGCATCAATGCTGGTATCGATCCTGTGGGGTTGTTGCAAGGCTCAACTGAACTAATGCAGAAGAACCCGTGGTGCGTGCCACACAGTAAGGGCTCTGTGAATGCTGGGGTCCTTAGCCCCTTATTTTTAAACTTGATTTTAGAGAGGGCGGGTCGGGGGGAACGGAGAGAGAGAAACATTGATTTGTTGTTCCACCTATGTATGAATGCTTTGCTTGATTCTTATATGTGACCTAAAACCGACAAATTTGCAGTATTGGGACGATGCTGGAAACAACTGAGCCTGCCCACCCAGGGCTCCTGCGCCTCTCTTAAGACTCACTTACCGGTGAACGAGCCCTGACTGGTGTGGCTCAGCTGGTAGGTGTCCTTCCCCCAAGCAAGTGGTTGCAGCTTGGTTTTTGGTCATGCTCCTGCCCGCATTGCAGGCTGAGAGGCAGCTGACGGATGTTTCTCTCCCTCTCATTTCCCCCTCTTCCCCTCTCTCTCAACAAAAAGAAATAGCCCTGACCTTCGTCGTTCAGTGTGATGGGTATCATCCCGAAAAGTGAAAAGTTACTAGTTCGATTCCCCGTCGCGACACATGCCTGGGTTGCTGGCCCGGTCCCCTACGGAGGAGACTGCTTGCAACCATGCATTGATGTTTCTCTCCCTCTCTTTCTCTTTTCCTTCCGTTCTCTCTCAAAAGAAATAAATGAAATCTTTAAAAAAAAAAAACTGAAAAAAAGGGTCTCGGGTGTTAGCACAACTGGACCCACAGGGACCCCCCTCGGGCAGTCCACAGTGTGCAGATGAGGAAACGGAGACCCCGAGACGGGCAGGGACACAGCAAGGCGGCGGCAGGGCCAAGCGCGAAAATCAGGTTTCTGTCTCCCAGCTCAGTGAGTTCTCCCAGGCAGAGGCTGCACTGAATGTGAGAGGCTGCACTGAATGGTACAGACTGGGGAGGGGAGGTGCTGTAGCAGGCCCAGGAGGCCTCAGCCCCTCCCACCTGGTACCCGCTAGGTGGGCGGTGAACTTCGGCAAAGATATCGACAACCTGTGCCTGCACTTCAGTCCTCACTTCAAGGCACTGGCGGGCATTAACACCATTGAGTGCAGCAGCCGGAGAGCAGGTGCCTGGGAGCGGGAGCATCGGGAGTCTGCCTTCCCCTTCGAGCCCGGAAGCGTGGTAGAGGTGGGTGGGAAGTGGGGCAGGACGCAGGGTGGGCTGGAGCAGAGCTGGGCTTAGCATCTAGAGACCAGGTCCCACCTACCCCTTCCTCCTGGAGATATTCCCTCCCTCCCTCACCTGCTGAGTTGTCACCTTCCCAGCCGCATAGGCCTCACCCATGGAGAAGGGCTGTCGGGGCTACAGGAGGGAAGGGCTCGGGGAGCGCCCGTGGCTGTGGCTGCGCTGCGGCTCCCACGTTGGGGAACACTGCTCACCGCTCTTCTCTGCCCCCAAGGTGTGCATCACCTTCGACAAGGCAGAGCTGATCATCAAGCTGCCAAATGGACACATATTCAAGTTCCCCAACCGCGTCAAAGTGGAGACCGTCGATTATCTGGGAGCAGGAGGTGACATCGAGATCAAGTCTGTGTCCTTTGAATGAAGCCAGTCAACAACCCATAAGCCCTAATAAAGGCAGCTGCCTCTGAACCGGCCTCATTTGTGTGTGTGTGTGTCTGTGAGAGGGACGGTGCCCCAACCCCCCAGCTCTGCCCCTTCCTTCACTTCTATTCACGTCCCTGAGGCACACCCACTGAGTGCCAGTGACATCTTCTTCCCCTGCATCTCCTGGGCCAGGAAGAGAGCTCAGTGCCCAGGAGGGCGCTTGGTCACCACTAAATGAGCCCTAGTCCCTGCCCTCAAACCGCTCCCAACCCCGAGGGCCCCAGCACACGGTAGCTGCTCCAAGGGTGCTGAAGAAACGTCACCCGGGGCAGAGGCAAGGACAGGCTGACTCATGCCATGGCGCCCGGGGCAGCACAGACACAAGAGTCACTGGGCCCCTCATTTGTTGTCATGAACCGGAAGGAGCTCGTCCCGACCCCCGACGGAGGCGCGGGGCTCCCGCGGTGTGGCCTCGTGAGCAGGAGCTGACCTGAGCCTCGGTTGTGCGTGCGCGTGAGGGGACTCGGGGGCGCGTGGCCTGCCGGGAGGGTTAAGTGAGATGTGTGGAGGAGGCCACGTTTAGTTGGCGACCCGTGGGAAGCACTAGACAGTGGTGTCTCCTTCCTGCCGCACTACCTCTGGAGACGTTGCTACCCCAGTGTGAAGAGGAGGACGCAGGTTCTGAGTGACGGCGTGATGCCCTGGCCTGTCCCGGACTCAGCCGAGCCTGGGGAGGGGGGCCTGGAAAATCTCACTCTGCACGACAGCCAGGCGGCGGCGGCCGGCGCACCCCGGGGAGGCCTCTCTGTCTCCAACCGTCATCTCTTCATCTGAAAATGAGGGTCATTATTCACACGTCGGCCATCTCGGGGGGAAGACTGCCACCCCAGTGGGGCCCCGAGGGAGCCCGTGTCTGTGAGAGAGCCACGGAGGGTGGGGCACGCTTGCCAGGGCTCCGGTGACCCTCGCCCAGTCGCCCGGCTCTCCTACGCCTCCGCAGCCGCCAGCCAGAGGGAAAGCACTTCGCGGTCTGGCTGCGAGGGGCGAGGGATGCCCTCTGCCGGGCTGTGGAAAAGGGTCCGCCCCCTGCCCTTCTCTGGCCCTCAGAGTTCACCCGCATTGATTCTCCCGACACCGGCCGGACACCCACAACACACCAGAAACGGACTGCACCCAGCCCGAGGAAGGCCCGGGAAATGCAAGAACAAGACCAATGTGCATGGAGGAAGGAAACACCTCAGATTACACCCGTGTTTGATTCCCACTCTATCGCGGTTTGCCCTCAGACCAGTTACTCAACCTCTCTGACCCTCAGTTTCTTCACATATGAATTTGCATCAATGCTGGTATCGATCCTGTGGGGTTGTTGCAAGGCTCAACTGAAATAATGCAGAAGAACCCGTGGTGCGTGCCACACAGTAAGGGCTCTGTGAATGCTGGGGTCCTTAGCCCCTTATTTTTAAACTTGATTTTAGAGAGGGCGGGGCGGGGGAACGGAGAGAGAGAAACATTGATTTGTTGTTCCACCTATGTATGAATGCTTTGCTTGATTCTTATATGTGACCTCAAACCGACAAATTTGCAGTATTGGGACGATGCTGGAAGCAACTGAGCCTGCCCACCCAGGGCTCCTGCGCCTCTCTTAAGACTCACTATCCAGTGAACGAGCCCTGACTGGTGTGGCTCAGCTGGTAGGTGTCCTTCCCCCCGAGCAAGTGGTTGCAGCTTGGTTCCTGGTCATGCTCCTGCCCGCATTGCAGGCTGAGAGGCAGCTGACGGATGTTTCTCTCCCTCTCATTTCCCCCCTCTTCCCCTCTCTCTCAACAAAAAGAAATAGCCCTGACCTTCGTCGTTCAGTGTGATGGGTATCATCCCGAAAAGTGAAAAGTTACTAGTTCGATTCCCCGTCGCGACACATGCCTGGGTTGCTGGCCCGGTCCCCTACGGAGGAGACTGCTTGCAACCATGCATTGATGTTTCTCTCCCTCTCTTTCTCTTTTCCTTCCGTTCTCTCTCAAAAGAAATAAATGAAATCTTTAAAAAAAAAAAACTGAAAAAAAGGGTCTCGGGTGTTAGCACAACTGGACCCACAGGGACCCCCCTCGGGCAGTCCACAGTGTGCAGATGAGGAAACGGAGACCCCGAGACGGGCAGGGACACAGCAAGGCGGCGGCAGGGCCAAGCGCGAAAATCAGGTTTCTGTCTCCCAGCTCAGTGAGTTCTCCCAGGCAGAGGCTGCACTGAATGTGAGAGGCTGCACTGAATGGTACAGACTGGGGAGGGGAGGTGCTGTAGCAGGCCCAGGAGGCCTCAGCCCCTCCCACCTGGTACCCGCTAGGTGGGCGGTGAACTTGGGCAAAGATATTGACAACCTGTGCCTGCACTTCAGTCCTCACTTCAAGGCACTGGCGGGCGTTAACACCATTGAGTGCAGCAGCCGGAGAGCAGGTGCCTGGGAGCGGGAGCAGGTGGAGTCTGCCTTCCCCTTCGAGCCCGGAAGCGTGGTAGAGGTGGGTGGGGAGTGGGGCAGGACGCAGGGTGGGCTGGAGCAGAGCTGGGCTTAGCATCTAGAGACCAGGTCCCACCTATCCCTTCCTCCTGGAGATATTCCCTCCCTCCCTCACCTGATGAGTTGTCACCTTCCCAGCTGCATTGGCCTCACCCATGGAGAAGGGCTGTCGGGGCTACAGGAGGGAAGGGCTCGGGGAGCGCCCGTGGCTGTGGCTGCGCTGCGGCTCCCACGTTGGGGAACACTGCTCACCGCCCTTCTCTGCCCCCAAGGTGTGCATCACCTTCGACAAGGCAGAGCTGATCATCAAGCTGCCAAATGGACACATATTCAAGTTCCCCAACCGCGTCAAAGTGGAGACCGTCGATTACATGGGAGCAGGAGGTGACATCGAGATCAAGTCTGTGTCCTTTGAATGAAGCCAGTCAACAACCCATAAGCCCTAATACAGGCAGCTGCCTCTGAACCGGCCTCATTTGTGTGTGTGTGTGTGTCTGTGAGAGGGACGGTGCCCCAACCCCCCAGCTCTGCCCCTTCCTTCACTTCTATTCACGTCCCTGAGGCACACCCACTGAGTGCCAGTGACATCTTCTTCCCCTGCATCTCCTGGGCCAGGAAGAGAGCTCAGTGCCCAGGAGGGCGCTTGGTCACCACTAAATGAGCCCTAGTCCCTGCCCTCAAACCGCTCCCAACCCCGAGGGCCCCAGCACACGGTAGCTGCTCCAAGGGTGCTGAAGAAACGTCACCCGGGGCAGAGGCAAGGACAGGCTGACTCATGCCATGGCGCCCGGGGCAGCACAGACACAAGAGTCACTGGGCCCCTCATTTGTTGTCATGAACCGGAAGGAGCTCGTCCCGACCCCCCGACGGAGGCGCGGGGCTCCCGCGGTGTGGCCTCGTGAGCAGTAGCTGACCTGAGCCTCGGTTGTGCGTGCGCGTGAGGGGACTCGGGGCGCGTGGCCTGCCGTGAGGGTTAAGTGAGATGTGTGGAGGCGGCCACGTTTAGTTGGCGACCCGTGGGAAGCACTAGACAGTGGTGTCTCCTTCCTGCCGCACTACCTCTGGAGACGTTGCTACCCCAGTGTGAAGAGGAGGACGCAGGTTTGAGTGACGGCGTGATGCCCTGGCCTGTCCCGGACTCAGCCGAGCCTGGGGAGGGGGGCCTGGAAAATCTCACTCTGCACGACAGCCAGGCGGCGGCGGCCGGCGCACCCCGGGGAGGCCTCTCTGTCTCCAACCGTCATCTCTTCATCTGAAAATGAGGGTCATTATTCACACGTCGGCCATCTCGGGGGGAAGACAGCCACCCCAGTGGGGCCCCGAGGGAGCCCGTGTCTGTGAGAGAGCCACGGAGGGTGGGGCACGCTTGCCAGGGCTCCGGTGACCCTCGCCCAGTCGCCCGGCTCTCCTACGCCTCCGCAGCCGCCAGCCAGAGGGAAAGCACTTCGCGGTCTGGCTGCGAGGGGCGAGGGATGCCCTCTGCCGGGCTGTGGAAAAGGGTCCGCCCCCTGCCCTTCTCTGGCCCTCAGAGTTCACCCGCATTGATTCTCCCGACACCGGCCGGACACCCACAACACACCAGAAACGGACTGTACCCAGCCCGAGGAAGGCCCGGGAAATGCAAGAACAAGACCAATGTGCATGGAGGAAGGAAACACCTCAGATTAGACCCGTGTTTGACTCCCACTCTATCGCGGTTTGCCCTCAGACCAGTTACTCAACCTCTCTGACCCTCAGTTTCTTCACATATGAATTTGCATCAATGCTGGTATCGATCCTGTGGGGTTGTTGCAAGGCTCAACTGAAATAATGCAGAAGAACCCGTGGTGCGTGCCACACAGTAAGGGCTCTGTGAATGCTGGGGTCCTTAGCCCCTTATTTTTAAACTTGATTTTAGAGAGGGCGGGGCGGGGGGAACGGAGAGAGAGAAACATTGATTTGTTGTTCCACCTATGTATGAATGCTTTGCTTGATTCTTATATGTGACCTCATACCGAAAATTTGCAGTATTGGGACGATGCTGGAAGCAACTGAGCCTGCCCACCCAGGGCTCCTGCGCCTCTCTTAAGACTCACTATCCAGTGAACGAGCCCTGACTGGTGTGGCTCAGCTGGTAGGTGTCCTTCCCCCAAGCAAGTGGTTGCAGCTTGGTTCCTGGTCATGCTCCTGCCCGCATTGCAGGCTGAGAGGCAGCTGACGGATGTTTCTCTCCCTCTCATTTCCCCCTCTTCCCCTCTCTCTCAACAAAAAGAAATAGCCCTGACCTTCGTCGTTCAGTGTGATGGGTATCATCCCGAATAGTGAAAAGTTACTAGTTCAATTCCCAGTCGCAACACATGCCTGGGTTGCTGGCCCGGTCCCCTACGGAGGAGACTGCTTGCAACCATGCATTGATGTTTCTCTCCCTCTCTCTTTTCCTTCCGTTCTCTCTCAAAAGAAATAAATGAAATCTTTTAAAAAAAAAAAACAACTGAAAAAAAGAGTCTCGGGTGTTAGCACAACTGGACCCTCAGGGACCCCCCTCGGGCAGTCCACAGTGTGCAGATGAGGAAACGGAGACCCCAAGAGGGGCAGGGACACAGCAATGTGGCGGCAGGGCCAAGCGCAAAAATCAGGTTTCTGTCTCCCAGCTCAGTGAGTTCTCCCAGGCATAGGCTGCACTGAATGGCAAGACTGGGGAGGGGAGGGGCTGTAGCAGGCCCAGGAGGCCTCAGCCCCACCCACCTGGTACCCCCTGGGTGGGCAGTGAACTTGGGCAAAGGTATGGACAACCTGTGCCTGCACTTCAGTCCTCGCTTCAAGACGCTGGCGGGCGTCAACACCATTGAGTGCAGCAGCAGGAGAGCAGGTGCCTGTTAGCGGGAGCAGGTGGAGTCTGGCTTCCCCTTCCAGCCCAAAGCGTGGTAGAGGTGGGTGGGGAGAGGGGCAGGGCGCAGGGTGGGCTGGAGCAGAGCTGGGCTTAGCATCTAGAGACCAAGGTCCCACCTACCCCTTCCTCCCAGAGATATCCCCTCCCTCCCTCACCTGCTGTGTCTCCTCCTTCCCAGCCCCAATTGTCTCTCCCGTGGAGAAGGGCGGCCAGGAATATAGGAGGAAACGGCTCCGGGAGGGCCCCCGGCTGTGGTGGGCTGAAGCTTCCATGAGAGTTGTACTTCATCCCGCAGTCTCCTCCCATCCGTTGCGGATGAAGAGATAAATTGTACCAGCCACTATTTGCCTGTCACGAAGAGGCGGTGGCGAACCCTTGTCGTGGAGAATGACCCGAACCCTTCTCTGCGATGGCTTTATTGAGAATGATATGTGCAGGGGTGCACAGCGTACTTGCAAAGTTCATCCATCCAGGTCAGAAGGCTATACAGGAAGACAAAAGGATCACGTAGAGCAGTCTTGGGTTGGGTTCTGTCAGATTTATTCTGCCAGATGGTCTCTAAGCCAAAGTTCAGGGCCTCAGGGATCTTTTCCCCTGCCTTCAAGTCAGGCACCCGATCTTTCCTTATCCGGGCAGTGCTAAGCAAAGCACGCTGCCGTAAAACTAATGCACTCTTAGGCTAGATATCCCCCTGGAACTCTTGGTTCTACTATCGGGTCATGCGCCTCCCGGCATTCCTGGCTTTCCCCTGGAGGCTTGCAGGCAGGGCGTGTCTCGTCCGGGGCTACAGTTCCTGATACCAGGCAAAGCAGTCCCTAACATCTCCCCCGTTTTTGTTTGTTAAGGCAGACCCGTTAGGAAGTCCGATGAAGCTTGCTCCCTTCTTTTCATGTACTCGATCCCTGGAGAACAATTTGCAAATGCTTCTCAAAGCACAAAAGACAACAGTCAGGAGGCATCCTGTGGCCCCCGTGATCCAAACACATAAATTCATTCCCTCTAACCGGTTTTTCTGATTGAGACATCGGAGGATGTCATGCAGGATCTGAAAGACCTTCTGTTCAATGAGCCATTTAATGTCCTGGAGCTGTTGGCACATTTCAAGCTGGAGCTGATCCATTTGTCCCTTAAGGTTAGCAGAAAAGGCCCCATAAGGCAATGGTGAAGCTCCTCCCAAGAGTGCTGGAGAAAGTTCTGTTCCAGGGGGTCACGCACAGTTTAGACAAACCTGGGTCCCACATAAGCTGTTGACAAGTGACAAGAGCACCCTGCCGTTCTCCCAGCCATATTGCGGCCGATTCTATGGCTGAGAGCCTGGAAAGGGTCTCTTGGTCAATACGGGTTTGCTGGATCATTCTGAGTGGCGTTGGTGAGAAGGACATCATCAGAGTGGGCGGTTAGGGCAGACCCTGTTAGGGCAGTGGCAGCTGCTGCCGCGGAGGCAGCTGTGATGGTAGCAGGAACAATGCAGGCGATGAGGGTTCCTAGGAAGCCCCGCACCCTCTCTTGGAAGGGGGCACGGTAGAGGGCGGCCAGGCCTCCTGGGTCTTCCCATTCATGGGTGACATTAGCTGGGAGCCAGATTTCTGTTTGTCTGCGAGATTGAGTTGAGTAACATTAGCATGGGTGAGACAGCTAACCTGGATAGAGCCAGGGGGGGCCTAGAGAGTGTATATCAGAGAATCATCATCATAGGTCCGGTGCGGCACCCCCTTAATACTCAGGAGCCCACTAGTAGTTCACAGGGCGTCCGCCATCTCCCCGCAGCACCAGCGGGGAGTGAGCTGGGCCGTAGGCTGAGGTCACAGGCTCAGGCTTCAGGCGCAGCAGTTAGTGAGAAGCCTGTGCAGCTGCCACAGTCCTGGCTTCCGGAGCTAGGGGAGGGAGGCCTGGGAGGGGCTGGGGCTTTGTGGTTGGTGGCCCCGGGCCCTCTGCATAGGCCCCCAGAGGGACTCACTCCGGGGCCCTGTCAAGGTGCAGCTTCAGGAACCCCAGCTCTAATTTCCTGAGGGGCCCTCGTCTCCTCTGCAGTCTTCCCTAGGCACGTCCTGAGCTCAGACTTCAGGCCCTAAGCCCCTTCTCACCGACTCGTGGGCCTAGCTCACCCTCCCACTCTTTTCCATTGGTTTTACCAGTCCTGGCCACAGCACAAGTATTCTTTTTTTCTTTTTAAGGGGGTGTGAGAGAGATGGAGGAGAATGAGAGAGGGAGCCAGGAACCTGGGGGAGGGGCTACGAAGCAATGGAACAGGGGTCACTAATCATCCATCAGTTCCACTGAGGAGCTGTCTTCAAAATTAGTGACTCCGCCTCCAGCGGGTCCCAGCCCTGTCCTGACTAACAATTGGCTGAGCTTTCAGGGGCGGGACCTGCCTGGGTCTGGTCCAGTTTAAAGGGCCCATTGCCCTTCTCTCAGGTGGAATCTTCAGACAGTTGGTCACTCAGTCCACACGACCCTCCTGTCCTCAGCCATGGCTCAGGCGGTGAGTGTGGGGACCCAGCCCCAAGGCTCTGGGTGGCGTAGAGGGTGACAGGCGAGTAGAGTGGGGGACAGATGCAGCTCTAGGTTCTACTCCTGGCGGTGTAGACTTGGGCAAGCATCTTCTCTCTCCTGGGCCTTAGTGACCACATCTCTAAGATGGGCGTAGGCACCGTGGTCCCCCAAGGCTTTCTCTGGGTTAAGAACTGTCTGGATTCCTCCAGGGTCTGCCAGCAGTTAGCTGTACCAAGGACTGACATTCTGCAGCTCTCTGAAAAGCTTGAGGGGGAAGGCTGTGCCCAGCTGGGGCGGGGCCATTCCGGTGACTCGGGCCACAGTCCCTTCCCCCTCTCCTCCACCCCAGGGAGCCTCCTGCCCCCTCCCCCATACTGCTGTCCCCAGTCACCGGGCCTGGCACTCACCCTGTGCTCTGGAGAGCTGTGGAACCTGCCAGGGCCTGAGACAGCCTGCCTGGGAGGGGTCTGCCTGGGTTAGTGCGTGGAGGGTGGTTCTGTCCAGGCTGGTCGGGTGGGGACGTGGCCTTTCTGCTGAGGGGGACAGAAGGAGGCAGGAATCTTCCTCAGGCCCCAAGGGAACGGGTTCAAGTTTCAGGCAGAAGGAAGGACTCACGTGCAGTTTACCTGTGCATTCAATCTTGTGGACCCAGGCAGCCACGCTGCCGATTCCGGCCGAGGCCACTCTCCCTTCTGTGGAGGGGCCTGGCCCTGCACGGGGTCCCCCGCCCCTCTCTGCAGAAGGGCTGGACGGGGATAGGCCCCTTCCTCTCCAGCAGAGGGGATGACACCTCCATTCACCTTTTCTTTGCCATCATCTCCCTCCCTCACAAAGAGTCTCCTTCTCTCCATCCATTACCTGGGGTAACAGGGCACTCTGAATCCCAGATCTCCAAGCCGAACCAAGAAAACTTCTAATCTTGGCTTCTGGAACCTCACTCATGTTACAGAGGGGAAACTGACAAGGTTGTGAGTAGGGACTTGACCGGGACCACACAGAGAAGGAAAGGCTAGAACTTTCCCCCGAGTTCCCCAGGGCTTGTCCAGGTCAGAGGGTCCAGGGTGGGGGCGACCCCACCCCACTCTCATGTCACTGCCTCCTGTAAACGTCCTGGGTGGGGTCTTCTCCATGCAGAGTATGATCATCAACAACATTAAACTCCATCCAGGGCAGAGCGTTCGAGTGCAGTTGGAGGTGGACCGCAACCCTAAACAGTAAGAGGACCAAGGCGGGATTAGCGGGGAAGGCGGGCTGCGTAGGTTGGGCTCGGGGCCCCAGGGTCCTTCCGGAGGTCCAGTAGCGGTCGCAGCCTGGCTGGCCAGGCCCCACTCCTCCCTGACTCTCAGGCGGTGGGTGGCAGGACTTATTCCGGCAGCCGCGAAAGCTACTTTTTCTGTAGGAGCCTCTTCCTCTGCGGAATCTGGATGCCCCTACACCATTATTATTCCCCTCTCCTCCCCTCCACGCTGGAGCCTCTGAAAGTAAACCAGCTGTGGCCCCATCACCTACCTCAGCTTGCGCCTGCCTCTCAGCTGAGGGTGGGACCCGAGGCTGCCAGGAGAGCTGGGAGAGGGAATGGGAGGGCTTGCCGTGCCTGAGGCTGTCTCTCCGAGGCCTCTTCTCTGAGGTTCCTCTTCTCTGGTTTCTTGACTCACTCAACCTTTCACTCCATGGGTCCTTCCTTCGCTCATCATTCAGCTCGCCGGTCTGTTTTCTCAGCAGCGCTGGGACTGACATTGGACTAGTCAACCAATGGCATTGAGCCTCGGTTACTCAGGAAACCAAAATATTGGGGAGGGGTCTTGTGTGGAGTGTGCGAGAGGCTGGCTCTGTGAGGAGGAGCTGGAGGGCTGGCATTTTCAAGGAGCCACACCCTCCATGCACTATTCATTTCACTCTTTACAAATCCTCAGGGGCAAGGATTGCTGTGACCTCCACTTAGCAAAGTGTTATGATTCGTTATTCCCGCCACAGTGTTGAGAACCTATGGCCTGTGCTGCATCACGCGGGGCACCGCAGCTACACGGATATACAAGGCAGACTGAACCCTTGCACTCACAGAAGTCACCATCTGGAGGTGACCTCCGACTCTGACCAAGGGGCCTGGGCAAACACTACTGTCTACAAGGGTATTGGCTGTGCAGTCGAGATCCTTCATGTGCAGTCCACAGTGTACACATGAGGAAACTGCGACCCAGAGAGGGGCAGGGACACAAAAAGGCAGCGGCAGGGCCAAGAACTAAAATCAGGTTTCTGTCTCCCAGCTCAGCGAGTTCTCCCAGACTGGGGCTGCACTGAACGGCACAGACCGGTTAGGGGGAGGGCCTGCTGCTGGCCAAGGAGGCCTCAGCCTCTCCGACCTGTTACCCCCTAGGTGGGCGGTGAACTTGGGCAAAGATATCAACAACCTGTGCCTGCACTTCAATCCTCGCTCCAAGGTAGTGGCGGGCGTCGACACCATTGTGTGCAACAGCCGGAGAGCAGGCAACTGGGAGCAGGAGCATCGGGAGCCTGTCTTTCCCTTCGAGCCCGGATGTGATCTAGAGGTGGGTGGGGAGAGGGGCAGGGCTCAGGGTGGGCTGAAGCACAGCTCGGCTTAGCATCTAGGTCTGACCATTCCCTTCGTTCCTGCCACATCCCATCGCTCCCTCACCTGCTGTGATATCCGTGGCCTTCCCAGCCTCATTGGCCTCACCGATGGAGAAGGGCTGTCGGGGCTACAGGAGGGAAGGGCTGAGAGGGCCCGTGGCTCTGGCTGCGCTGCGGCTCTCACGTGGGGGAACACTGCTCACCGCCCTTCTCCGTCCCCAAGGTGTGCTTCACGTTCGACAGAGCAGAGCTGACCATCATGCTGCCAAATGGACACATATTCAAGTTCCCCAACCGCCTCAACATGGATACCGTTGATTATGTGGGAGCAGGAGGTGACATCAAGATCAAGTCTGTGTCTTTTGAATGAAGCCAGTCAACAACCCATAAGCCCTAATAAAGGCAGCTGCCTCTGAACCAGCCTCATTTGTGTGTGTGTGTGTCTGTGAGAGGGACGGTGCCCCAACCCCCCAGCTCTGCCCCTTCCTTCACTTCTATTCACGTCCCTGAGGCACACCCACTGAGTGCCAGTGACATCTTCTTCCCCTGCATCTCCTGGGCCAGGAAGAGAGCTCAGTGCCCAGGAGGGCGCTTGGTCACCACTAAATGAGCCCTAGTCCCTGCCCTCAAACCGCTCCCAACCCGGAGGGCCCCAGCACACGGTAGCTGCTCCAAGGGTGCTGAAGAAACGTCACCCGGGGCAGAGGCAAGGACAGGCTGACTCATGCCATGGCGCCCGGGGCAGCACAGACACAAGAGTCACTGGGCCCCTCATTTGTTGTCATGAACCGGAAGGAGCTCGTCCCGACCCCCGACGGAGGCGCGGGGCTCCCGCGGTGTGGCCTCGTGAGCAGGAGCTGACCTGAGCCTCGGTTGTGCGTGCGCGTGAGGGGACTCGGGGCGCGTGGCCTGCCGGGAGGGTTAAGTGAGATGTGTGGAGGAGGCCACGTTTAGTTGGCGACCCGTGGGAAACACTAGACAGTGGTGTCTCCTTCCTGCCGCATTACCTCTGGAGACGTTGCTACCCCAGTGTGAAGAGGAGGACGCAGGTTCTGAGTGACGGCGTGATGCCCTGGCCTGTCCCGGACTCAGCCGAGCCTGGGGAGGGGGGCCTGGAAAATCTCACTCTGCACGACAGCCAGGCGGCGGCGGCCGGCGCACCCTGGGGAGGCCTCTCTGTCTCCAACCGTCATCTCTTCATCTGAAAATGAGGGTCATTATTCACACGTCGGCCATCTCGGGGGGAAGACTGCCACCCCAGTGGGGCCCCGAGGGAGCCCGTGTCTGGGAGAGAGCCACGGAGGGTGGGGCACGCTTGCCAGGGCTCCGGTGACCCTCGCCCAGTCACCAGGCTCTCCTAAGCCTCCGCAGCCACCAGCCAGAGGGAAAGAGCTTTGCGGTCTGGCTGCGAGGGGCGAGGGATGCCCTCTGCCGGGCTGTGGAAAAGGGTCCGCCCCCTGCCCTTCTCTGGCCCTCAGAGTTCACCCGCATTGATTCTCCCGACACCGGCCGGACACCCACAACACACCAGAAACGGACTGCACCCAGCCCGAGGAAGGCCCGGGAAATGCAAGAACAAGACCAATGTGCATGGAGGAAGGAAACACCTCAGATTAGACCCGTGTTTGACTCCCACTCTATCGCGGTTTGCCCTCAGACCAGTTACTCAACCTCTCTGACCCTCAGTTTCTTCACATATGAATTTGCATCAATGCTGGTATCGATCCTGTGGGGTTGTTGCAAGGCTCAACTGAAATAATGCAGAAGAACCCGTGGTGCGTGCCACACAGTAAGGGCTCTGTGAATGCTGGGGTCCTTAGCCCCTTATTTTTAAACTTGATTTTAGAGAGGGCGGGGCGGGGGAACGGAGAGAGAGAAACATTGATTTGTTGTTCCACCTATGTATGAATGCTTTGCTTGATTCTTATATGTGACCTCAAACCGACAAATTTGCAGTATTGGGACGATGCTGGAAGCAACTGAGCCTGCCCACCCAGGGCTCCTGCGCCTCTCTTAAGACTCACTATCCAGTGAACGAGCCCTGACTGGTGTGGCTCAGCTGGTAGGTGTCCTTCCCCCGAGCAAGTGGTTGCAGCTTGGTTCCTGGTCATGCTCCTGCCCGCATTGCAGGCTGAGAGGCAGCTGACGGATGTTTCTCTCCCTCTCATTTCCCCCTCTTCCCCTCTCTCTCAACAAAAAGAAATAGCCCTGACCTTCGTCGTTCAGTGTGATGGGTATCATCCCGAATAGTGAAAAGTTACTAGTTCCATTCCCAGTCGCGACACATGCCTGGGTTGCTGGCCCGGTCCCCTACGGAGGAGACTGCTTGCAACCATGCATTGATGTTTCTCTCCCTCTCTTTCTCTTTTCCTTCCGTTCTCTCTCAAAAGAAATAAATGAAATCTTTAAAAAAATAAAAACTGAAAAAAAGAGTCTCGTGTGTTAGCACAACTGGACCCACAGGGACCCCCCTCGGGCAGTCCACAGTGTGCAGATGAGGAAACAGAGACCCCGAGAGGGGCAGGGACACAGCAAGGCCGCGGCAGGGCCAAGCGCGAAAATCAGGTTTCTGTCTCCCAGCTCAGTGAGTTCTCCCAGGCAGAGGCTGCACTGAATGGCAAGACTGGGGAGGGGAGGGGCTGTAGCAGGCCCAGGAGGCCTCAGCCCCACCCACCTGGTACCCCCTAGGTGGGCAGTGAACTTGGGCAAAGGTATGGACAACCTGTGCCTGCACTTCAGTCCTCGCTTCAAGACGCTGGCTGGCGTCAAGACCACTGAGTGCAGCAGCAGGAGAGCAGGTGCCTGGGAGCGGGAGCCGGTGGAGTCTGGCTTCCCCTTCCAGCCCCGAAGCGTGGTAGAGGTGGGTGGGGAGAGGGGCAGGGCGCAGGGTGGGCTGGAGCAGAGCTGGGCTTAGCATCTAGAGACCAAGGTCCCACCTACCCCTTCCTTCCAGAGATATCCCCTCCCTCCCTCACCTGCTGTGTCTCCTCCTTCCCAGCCCCATTGGTCTCTCCCGTGGAGAAGGGCGGCCAGGAATATAGGAGGAAAGGGCTCCGGGAGGGCCCCTGGCTGTGGCTGGGCTGAAGCTTCCATGAGAGTTTTACTTCATCCCGCAGTGTCCTCCCAGCTGTTGCGGATGAAGAGATAAATTGTACCAGCCACTATTTGCCTGTCACGAAGAGGCGGTGGCGAACCCGTGTCGTGGAGATTGGCCCGAGCCCTTCTCTGCGATGGCTTTATTGAGAATGATATGTGCAGGGGTGCACAGCGTACTTGCAAAGTTCATCCATCCAGGTCAGAAGGCTATACAGGAAGACAAAAGGATCACGTAGAGCAGTCTTGGGTTGGGTTCTGTCAGATTTATTCTGCCAGATGGTCTCTAAGCCAAAGTTCAGGGCCTCAGGGATCTTTTCCCCTGCCTTCAAGTCAGGCACCTGATCTTTCCTTATCCGGGCAGTGCTAAGCAAAGCACGCTGCCGTAAAACTAATGCACTCTTAGGCTAGATATCCCCCTGGAACTCTTGGTTCTACTATCGGGTCATGCGCCTCCCAGCATTCCTGGCTTTCCCCTGGAGGCTTGCAGGCAGGGCGTGTCTCGTCCGGGGCTACAGTTCCTGATACCAGGCATAGCAGTCCCTAACATCTCCCCCGTTTTTGTTTGTTGAGGCAGACCTGTTAGGAAGTCCGATGAAGCTTGCTCCCTTCTTTTCATGTACTCGATCCCAGAGAACAATTTCCAAATGTTATCAAAGCACAAAAGACAACAACAATCAGCAGGTATCCTATGGCTCCCATGGCCTCACAGGTATGTTGACCTTAGAAATGAAATCAGCCTAGGAAAAGAAGCGAAGACCTTCTGAGACAAAAGGAAAAGAAAAAAGCTACTTAGCTGAGAACTCCGCCTGTACCGACCTGGAGCAGGAGAGCAGGGTTTCACCTCTCCGGTACGCGGATGCGGAGACTGAGGCAAGCCGAGAGACGGAACTTGCCAGGGTGCCTTTCGGAGGGCACGGCAGGGCTCACGCTGACACCCAGTCGGCCCGCTCCAAAGCGGCCCCTCCCGGCTCCTAGTCCCCCTGCCACACGCGTCTCGCTGAGACCTCGGCTGGCCAGAGGCTGACAAGGACTGAAGCAGCCCCTCGTCCAGCACAAACCCTCCCTGGTGCCGGCCATGCCTCCCCGGCGGGGGAAGGATGGAGGATGCAGAAGCAGCGCCCAGGCCCGGAGACCTAACCACGTGGCTGGAAGAGCCACCAGGCCCCCCGGGGGCAGGCAGGCCAGGACTGGGCCTGAAGCGCCTCTGTCCTGGGTTAGGGCTCCTGCTGGAGGGCCCTGGTTCCTTGACCAGGCACACAGGGTACCAGTGCCCTTGGAGGGGAAGCCCAGCAGAGAGGCGGCGCCTCTGGGCCCCCACCCCGCCCAGGTGGAGGTTCCGGAGGCCCTGCAGGAAACGGTGCAGCTGCTGTGGCCGGTGTCTGAGCCGCCCGCTTAGCCTGCCGCGAGGGGCACGGGGCTCTCCGTGGGCGTGGCCCGGCCTCCTCTCCGGGCCCTGCCACCCCGAGTATTCCCCGGTCCTCCTGTGCCAGCGTGGGCTTCAGTCATCTGGAGCCAGGTGACCTGTGCGGACTGGGGAGGCACCGGCGGGACAGCGGGCCAGGAGTGCTGGCCTGACCTGCCGACGGGGGGCGCTCCTGCTCCACATCTTTCCCCTTTGCTGCTGCCCATTTCAGGAGGAAGCCCGCGATGTGGACACGCAGGGCCATGGACAACTTCTTGCAGCCTCCACCCTTGTCAGTGCTCCCCACACCCTCCTCTCCTCCTGGTCTCGGTCTAAGGGAGCAGCCCTCCACCTCACTACCCCCTCCCCGCCCCCCGCCGCCCCGCTGCTACAGTGACCTCCCCTGAAGCCCAGTGCTGGCCTCATACTCACCTTCCGGGTCACCTTCTGTGGTCCCCAGCACCCGCAGATGAAACACGTCCAAGCCCCTCCACGAGGCCTTTCGTGGTCCCTGCCGGCCTCCGGCCTCACGCCCCGTTTCCCCGCAACACACCCCCCTACCCCGCCGTGCCCTGACGCTCGCTCTTCCCCGGGTCTGGGCTTCCTCACTCCAGACCTCCTGCTCAGGCTGGAAGGCCGGCCCTGCTTCTTCGCCCATCCTTCAAGACCCACCTTCAGCCCTGCCGGTGTGGCTCAGTCGACTGAGCACCGGCCTGCAAACCAAAGGCCGCCAGTTGGATTCCCATCGGGGCACATGCCTGGCTGTGGGCCAGGTCCCCAGTTGGGGGCGCTGTGAGAGGAAACCGATCACTGTATCTCGCACACATGGATGCTTCTCTCCCACTCTTTCTCCCTCCCTTCCTCGCTCTCTAGAAGTCAGGAAATTACATCTTTTCTAGAAAACTTAACAAGACTCACCATCACATTCCGGGCAGCGTCCGCCCCACCGTGGAGCTTGCCCGTGACTCCCCTGAGAGCCGGCGCCATGCTACTCCGCCCTGAGGTCATGGTCAGAGTCTGCCCGAACCGTGGGCTGCCTGGGAGCAGGGCCTGGGAAGCTTGCCTCATTGAATCCTCCAGACCAGCTCAGGGCCAGGCCCATTGTGGCTGTTCACTAAAATATCTGCTAAACAAATGGGGAAAGGCGAGGCTCTGCCTGGTCTCGGAGGGAGGAACGTGAAGAGAGCGCAGGAACCCTCACCCCTCAGGGCCTGGCTCAGCCTGGTCCCTCCCAGGCCTGCCCCTCCCAGACAGGCCAGAGGCTGTCCAGCAGGGAGTCTTGGAAGACCCCATCAGGCCCCCCACTGGGGCCGAGGCCTGAGCCCTGAACCCTGGCAGCAGCCTTAGACTTGGTGCCCGGCCCGACCTCTCTTTGGTGTTATTTGAGGCGGTACTCTGTTCCACAGGGTCCACCTTGCTCTATGCATGAAGAAATGAATTCTACCAGGAATGATTTGCCTGTCAGGAAAAGTGGGTGGTGATCCTCTTTAGTGGAGAATGCCCCGAGCTACTCTCTCAAAAGGATTTTATTGAAATTTGTGCAGGGGTATACAGCAAAGATACGTAGCTCATTAATCAATGTCAGAGGGCTACAGATAACAAATAAAGGAACACATAGATCAGCCTTTCATTAGGGTCTGTCAGTCATACTGATGACAGTTAGTCATTACAGCAGGGTCCATTGACTCAGGAATTGTTTCCTGCCTTGAAGCCTGCACCTGGCTTTTCCTTATCACAGCAGTGCTAAGCAGAGCAAACTTCAGTGAATACAACACACTCTTTAAGCCAGACTTCCCACGGGAACCATGGGTGTTGGAATAGGGTCATGTGCCTCCCGGCATTCCTGGCTTTCCACTAGAGGCTTGCAGGCAGGGCGTGTCTCGTCAGGGGCTACAGTTCCTGATACCGGACAAAGTAGTCCCTAACATCTCCCCCTTTTTTGTTTGTTAAGGCAGACCCGTTAGGAAGTCCGATGAAGCTTCCTCTCTGCTTTTCATGTACTCGATCCCTGGAGAACAATTTGCAAATGCTTCTCAAAGCACAAAAGACAACAGTCAGGAGGCATCCTGTGGCCCCCGTGATCCAAACACATAAATTCATTCCCTCTAACCGGTTTTTCTGATTGAGACATCGGAGGATGTCATGCAGGATCTGAAAGACCTTCTGTTCAATGAGCCATTTAATGTCCTGGAGCTGTTGGCACATTTCAAGCTGGAGCTGATCCATTTGTCCCTTAAGGTTAGCAGAAAAGGCCCCCTGAGGCTGGAGAACATTCCGTTCCAGGGGGTCACACACAGTTTAGACCAACCTGGGTCCCACATAAGCTGTTGACGAGTGACAAGAGCACCCTGCCGTTCTCCCAGCCATATTGCGGCCGATTCTATGGCTGAGAACCTGGAAAGGGTCTCCTGGTCAATACGGGTTTGCTGGATCATTCTGAGTGGCGTTGGTGAGAAGGACATCATCAGTTGGGCGGTTAGGGCAGACCCTGTTAGGGCAGTGGCAGCTGCTGCCGTGGAGGCAGCTGTGATGGTAGCAGGAACAATGCAGGCGATGAGGGTTCCTAGGAAGCCCCGCACCCTCTCCTGGGAGGGGGCACGGTAGAGGGCGGCCAGGCCTCCTGGGTCTTCCCATTCATGGGTGACATTAGCTGGGAGCCAGATTTCTGTTTGTCTGCGAGATTGAGTTGAGTAACATTAGCATGGGTGAGACAGCTAACCTGGATAGAGCCAGGGGGGGCCTAGAGAGTGTATATCAGAGAATCATCATCATAGGTCCGGTGCGGCACCCCCTTAATACTCAGGAGCCCACTAGTAGTTCACAGGGCGTCCGCCATCTCCCCGCAGCACCAGCAGGGAGTGAGCTGGGCCGTAGGCTGAGGTCACAGGCTCAGGCTTCAGGCGCAGCAGTTAGTGAGAAGCCTGTGCAGCTGCCACAGTCCTGGCTTCCGGAGCTAGGGGAGGGAGGCCTGGGAGGGGCTGGGGCTTTGTGGTTGGTGGCCCCGGGCCCTCTGCATAGGCCCCCAGAGGGACTCACTCCGGGGCCCTGTCAGGGTGCAGCTTCAGGAACCCAGCTCTAATTTCCTGAGGGGCCTTCGTCTCCTCTGCAGTCTTCCCTAGGCACGTCCTGAGCTCAGCCTTCTGGCCCTAAGCCACGTCCCATCAATCTGGGCTTAACTCATCCTCCAACTATTTTCCATTGGCTTTCTCCATCCCTGCCACAGCACAACAGCTTTTTCTTTTTAAGGCGGAATGAGAGGGATGGAGGAGAATGAGAGGAGGAGCCCGGACCCTGGGGGAGAGGCTTCGAAGCAATGGAGCAGAGTCAGTAATCTATTGGTCTGTTCCACTACAGAGCTGCCTTCAAAATTCAACTGACTCCGCCTCCAGTGGTCCCTAGCCCTGTCCTGCCTTACAATTGGTCAAGTTTCCAGGGGCGGGGCTCACCCGGGTCTGGTCCAGTTAAAAGGACCCATTGCACTTCTCTAGGTGGAGTCTGAGACTGCTGGTCCCTCAGTCCCCAGGACCCTCCTCCTGTCCTCAGTCATGGCTCAGGCGGTGAGTGTGGGGACTTGGCCCCAAGGGTGAGGGCGGTGTTGGGGAGACAGCCGAGGAGAGTTGGGGGCAGATGCAGCTCTAGGTTCTACTCCTGGCGGTGTGGACTTGGGCAAACACCTTTTCTTTCCTGCCTTAGTGACCACATCTCTAAGATGGGCGTAGGCACCGTGGTCCCCCAAGGCTTTCTCTGGGTTAAGAACTGTCTGGATTCCTCCAGGGTCTGCCAGCAGTTAGCTGTACCAAGGACTGACATTCTGCAGCTCTCTGAAAAGCTTGAGGGGGAAGGCTGTGCCCAGCTGGGGCGGGGCCATTCCGGTGACTCGGGCCACAGTCCCTTCCCCCTCTCCTCCACCCCAGGGAGCCTCCTGCCCCCTCCCCCATACCCCAGTTACCAGGTCAGAGCACTAACCCTGCGCTCTAGAGAAGTTGACAGGGCCTGCGACACGCTGCCTGGGAGGGGTCTGCCTGGGTTAGTGCGTGGAGGGTGGTTCTGTCCAGGCTGGTCGGGTGGGGACGTGGCCTTTCTGCTGAGGGGGACAGAAGGAGGCAGGAATCTTCCTCAGGCCCCGAAGGAACGGGTTCAAGTTTCAGGCAGAAGGAAGGACTCACGTGCAGTTTACCTGTGCATTCAATCTTGTGGACCCAGGCAGCCACGCTGCCGATTCCGGCCGAGCCACTCTCCCTTCTGTGGAGGGGCCTGGCCCTGCACGGGGTCCCCCGCCCCTCTCTGCAGAAGGGCTGGACGGGGATAGGCCCCTTCCTCTCCAGTGGAGGGGATGACGCCTCCAATCACCCTTTCTTTGCCATCATCTCCCGCACTCAGAAGAGTCTCACTCTCTCCATCTAAAGGGCACTGTGAATCCCAAATCTCCACACTAAACCGCAAAACCTTCTCATCTTGGCTTCCAGAACCTTAGTCATGTTACACAGAGAGGAAACTGACAGGGTTGTGAGTAGGGAGTTGACCGGGACCACACAGAGAAGGAAAGGCTAGAACTTTCCCCCGGCTTTCTCAGGGCTTGGCCAGGTCAGAGGGTTCAGGAAGGGGACGACCCCACCCCCATTTCCACAGACACTGGATCCCCTAAACCACCTGGATGTGCTTTCTCTGCACAGGGCATGTGCGCCAACAACCTGAATCTCAAACCCGGGGAGTGCCTTCGAGTGCGGGGCGAGCTGGCCCCCGACGCAAAAGAGTAAGGGGGCCAAGGCGGGGAAGCGGGGCTGCAGCAGCTGAGCTCGGGGCCCCAGGGTCCTGCGGGAGATGTGGTAGCGGTAGCAGCCATGGCTGGCCAGGCCCAACTCCTCCCTGACCCTCAGGGCAAGTGGGGGGGGGGGCGGGGGGAGGGAGGGGGGCGGCACTTATTCCTGAGCAGCTGAAGCTGCATTTTCTGTATGAGTCACTTCCTCTGCGGGATCTGGATGCCCCTACAGCAATGTCGCTCTCCTCCCCTCTGGGCTGGAGCCTCTTAAACGAAACCAGCTGTGGCCCCAGGCCTCCCTCTGCTAGCCTGGGCTTCCAGGCTCTGGGTGAGCCCTGAAGCGGCCAGGGGACGTGGTCAGAGGAAAAAGGAGGGGGTGCCACGCCCTGTGCTGTCTCTCTGTCTCTCTGACGTCCCTCTTGTCTGAGTTCCCTGGTCCCTGTCTGGTTTCTTTCCTTTTTTTTTAGATTTTATTTATTGAGGGGAAGAGAGTAAGTAAGAGAGGAAGAGAAACATAAATGTGTGAGCGCCTCTCACACCACCCCCTAGTCCCCTCCTTCACACAGGACCTGGCCTGCACGCCAGGCATGTGCCTTCAACTGGGAACTGAATCGGGGAAGCTTTGGTTAGGAGGCCAGCACTCAGTCCACTGAGACATCAGCCAGGACATGGTTTCTTCACTCGCTCAACCTTTCACTCTGTTGGTCCTTCCTTCACTCATCATTCAGCTGGCCGCTCTGATTTCTCAACAGCCATGTGACTGACCTGGGACTGGTCAACTAATGGCATTGAGCCTCAGTTTGCTACTCAGGAAAGCAAAACAAGGGAGACAGGTGGTTGTGTGGAGGGTGCGAGAGGCTGGCTCTGTGTGAGGAGGAGCTGGAGGGCTGGCATTTTCAAGGAGCCACACCCTCCATGCACTATTCATTTCATTCTTTACAAATCCTCAGGGGCAAGGATTGCTGTGACCTCCACTTAGCAAAGTGTTATGATTCGTTATTTGCCCCCACATTTTTTGAGTACCTATTGCGTGTCATGCCTCAGTCTGGGCACAAGGGCTACACAGATATACAAGGCAGACTGAACCCTTGCACTCGCAGAGGTCACCATCTGGAGGGAGCCTCTGACCTTGACCAAAGGGGCTGAGACACAAGCTACTGTCTACAAGGGTATTGGCTGTCCAGTAGAGATCCTTCATGTGCAGTCCACAGTGTGCCGATGAGGAAACTGAGACCCCGAGAGGGGCAGGGACTCAGCAAGGGGGTGGCAGGGCCAAGCGCTAAAATCAGGTTTCTGCCTCCCAGCTCAGTGAGTTCTCCCAGGCACAGGCTGCACAGAATGGCTCAGACTGGTTAGGGGAGGGGCTGCAGCTGACCGAGGAGGCCTCAGCCCCTCCCACCTTTTACCCCCTAGCTTCACGCTGAACCTGGGCAAAGATGGCGAAAACCTGTGCCTGCACTTCAACCCTCGCTTCCAGCAGCACGGGGACGTCAACACCATTGTGTGCAACAGCAGGAGAGCAGGCGCCTGGGAGCAGGAGCATCGGGAGTCTGCCTTCCCCTTCCAGCCCGGAAGCGTGGTAGAGGTGGGTGGGGAGAGGGGCAGGCCGCTGGGTGGGCTGAAGCACAGCTCGGCTTAGCATCTAGAGACCTAGGTCCCACCTTTCCCTTCGTCCCTTCCACCTCCCCTCCCTCCATCACCTGCTGTGTCGTCTGCTGCCTTCCCAGCCCCATTGGCCTCACCCATGGAGAAGGGCTGTCGGGGCTACAGGAGGGAAGGGCTCGGGGAGCGCCCGTGGCTGTGGCTGCGCTGTGGCACCCACGTGGGGGAACACTGCTCACCGCCCTTCTCCGTCCCCAAGGTGTGCATCACCTTTGACAAGGCAGAGATGACCATCAAGCTGCCAGATGGACACACATTCAAGTTCCCCAACCGCCTCAACATGGAGACCGTTGATTACCTGGGAGCAGAAGGTGACATCAAGATCAAGTGTGTGTCCTTTGAATGAAGCCAGTCAACAACCCATAAGCCCTAATAAAGGCAGCTGCCTCTGAACCGGCCTCATTTGTGTGTGTGTGTGTGTGTGTGTCTGTGAGAGGGACGGTACCCCAACCCCCCAGCTCTGCCCCTTCCTTCACTTCTATTGACGTCCCTGAGGCACACCCACTGAGTGCCAGTGACATCTTCTTCCCCTGCATCTCCTGGGCCAGGAAGAGAGCTCAGTGCCCAGAAGGGCGCTTGGTCACCACTAAATGAGCCCTAGTCCCTGCCCTCAAACCGCTCCCAACCCCGAGGGCCCCAGCACACGGTAGCTGCTCCAAGGGTGCTGAAGAAACGTCACCCGGGGCAGAGGCAAGGACAGGCTGACTCATGCCATGGCGCCCGGGGCAGCACAGACACAAGAGTCACTGGGCCCCTCATTTGTTGTCATGAACCGGAAGGAGCTCGTCCCGACCCCCGACGGAGGCGCGGGGCTCCCGCGGTGTGGCCTCGTGAGCAGTAGCTGACCTGAGCCTCGGTTGTGCGTGCGCGTGAGGGGACTCGGGGCGCGTGGCCTGCCGGGAGGGTTAAGTGAGATGTGTGGAGGAGGCCACGTTTAGTTGGCGACCCGTGGGAAACACTAGACAGTGGTGTCTCCTTCCTGCCGCACTACCTCTGGAGACGTTGCTACCCCAGTGTGAAGAGGAGGACGCAGGTTCTGAGTGACGGCGTGATGCCCTGGCCTGTCCCGGACTCAGCCGAGCCTGGGGAGGGGGGCCTGGAAAATCTCACTCTGCACGACAGCCAGGCGGCGGCGGCCGGCGCACCCTGGGGAGGCCTCTCTGTCTCCAACCGTCATCTCTTCATCTGAAAATGAGGGTCATTATTCACACGTCGGCCATCTCGGGGGGAAGACTGCCACCCCAGTGGGGCCCCGAGGGAGCCCGTGTCTGTGAGAGAGCCACGGAGGGTGGGGCACGCTTGCCAGGGCTCCGGTGACCCTCTCCCAGTCGCCCGGCTCTCCTAAGCCTCCGCAGTCGCCAGCCAGAGGGAAAGCACTTCGCGGTCTGGCTGCGAGGGGCGAGGGATGCCCTCTGCCGGGCTGTGGAAAAGGGTCCGCCCCCTGCCCTTCTCTGGCCCTCAGAGTTCACCCGCATTGATTCTCCCGACACCGGCCGGACACCCACAACACACCAGAAACGGACTGCACCCAGCCCGAGGAAGGCCCGGGAAATGCAAGAACAAGACCAATGTGCATGGAAGCAGGAAACAGCTCAGATTAGACCCGTGTTTGACTCCCACTCTATCGCAGTTTGCCCTCAGACCAGTTACTCAACTCTCTGTCCCTCAGAGTCTTCCTCTGTGAAATAGCATTGATACTAGTATTGAGCCTGTGGGGTTGTTGCAAGGCTTAATTGAGATAATGTAGAGGAACCCGTGGTGCGTGGCACACAGTAAAAGCTCTGTGAATGCTGGGGTCCTTTGCCTCTTTTTTAAAAATATTTTTTAGAGAGAGAGGGGGGAGGGAGAGAGAGAAACATCGATTTGTTGAATCACTCATTTTTGCATGCCTTGGTTGATTCTTCTATGTTCTCTCAAATCAACAAAATTGCAGTATGGACATGATGTTGTCACCCACTGAGCCAACCCTGTCCAGGCTCCAGTGCCTGTCCTGAGGCTCGCTGTGTGTCACAAGTGTATCAGCCCTGACGGGTGGCTCTGCTGCTTGGGTTTCATTCCCCAAAGCAAGCGGTTGCTATGTGATTCCTGGTCAGGGCACCGGCCCACATTGCAGGCTGAGAGGTGGCTGATGGAAGTTTCTCTCTTTCTCATTTCCCTCCATTGCCCTCTGTCTACAAATAATGAAATAAAACTCTTTAAACAGAAAACAAAACAAATAAAAAAGATCATTGTATGTCGTCCCAGTACACCAGGCCCACTGAGTTCTTTCCTTGACTCAGCAGAGAAACCGGCTCCCGTGTGACCCTGGTCAGGCTGCCAGCCTCGCTGGGTGGTGGCTCCATTGTCAAATGAGGGAGCGGCACCTGGCGTCCCTCCCCGCTCTGACTTCCACGACTCCTGGCTCTGGTCACCGCACCTCCTGCTCCCCCCGGGCCCAGCGGGTTGGCAGGGGGTGTGCACGGTGTCCCAGGGGCCCAGCAGCCACCTCCAGCTCTGCCAGCCGGAGGCGGCCCACCCTCACCAGGGCAGGGCAGGCTGGCGGGGGCCGCCCTGCTGGGCAGCTGTCTGGGCGAGCTGAGCCCCTCTCCCGCAGCCAGCAGGGCAGGCCCTCAGGGCGGAGGAAGTCCAGAGCAGGGAGGGGAGGCCGGGAAGAGGGGCTTGGCCTGGGCCGGAGCAGGAGAGAGAATGGCGTGGGCCCTCACGCACCCCTCCCGTCATCCCCCAGCCAGCCGGTGACTGGGTGACGTTCCCTTCGCAGGCCTGGAAGCGAGTTCCGAGGCATCGAGGACGGCTCCAGTCACAGCCAGGCAGCCCCACACCAGGCCGTGCCTCGCTTTCCCGGGTTCTAACATCAGCGTCAGGGCTCAGAGCAGCTTCCCTGTGCGGCTCAGCCCAGTCATTAGACAAGAAGAGGTGAGGGGAAGCTGGAACAAAATCACGTATGATGCGCGGCGCCGGGCAGAGGGCCTGGCAGATAAATGGGCGCTGCCACACAGTGCACCCTGACCCACACCGTCCTGTTAGAGGGGACACTGGCATCTGCAGAGACCCCCTGCCTCAGCCTCGGCAGGGTGGCACTGAGGGGGACGAGGAGGGCGTGGAGGGCCTCGTAGGCCTCTTGACCTCAGGAGGGGAAACAGCCTGGGAAAGGAAGCAAAGACCTTCTGAGACCTGAGGGGAACAAAAGCTACTGAGCTGAGAACTCCACCCAGTACCGACCTGGAGCAGGAGAGCAGGGTTTCCCCTCTCCGGTACGCGGATGCGGAGACCGAGGCAAGCCGAGAGAAGGGACTTGCCAGGGTGCCTTTCGGAGGGCACGGCAGGGCTCACGCTGACACCCAGTCGGCCCGCTCCAAAGCGGCCCCTCCCGGCTCCTAGTCCCCCTGCCACACGCGTCTCGCTGAGACCTCGGCTGGCCAGAGGCTGACAAGGGCTGAAGCAGCCCCTTGTCCAGCACAAACCCTCCCTGGTGCCGGCCATGCCTCCCCGGCGGGGGACGGATGGAGAGGCAGTGCCCAGGCCCCGAGACCTAACCACGCGGCTGGAAGAGCCACCAGGCCCCCCGGGGGCAGGCAGGCCAGGACTGGGCCTGAAGCGCCTCTGTCCTGGGTTAGGGCTCCTGCTGGAGGGCCCTGGTTCCTTGACCAGGCACACAGGGTACCAGTGCCCTTGGAGGGGAAGCCCAGCAGAGAGGCGGCGCCTCTGGGCCCCCACCCCGCCCAGGTGGAGGTTCCAGAAGGCCCTGCAGGAAACGGTGCAGCTGCTGTGGCCGGTGTCTGAGCCGCCCGCTTAGCCTGCCGCGAGGGGCACGGGGCTCTCCGTGGGCGTGGCCCGGCCTCCTCTCCGGGCCCTGCCACCCCGAGTATTCCCCGGTCCTCCTGTGCCAGCGTGGGCTTCAGTCATCTGGAGCCAGGTGACCTGTGCGGACTGGGGAGGCACCGGCCGGACAGTGGGCCTGGCGAGCTGGCCTGACCTGCTGACGGAGGACGCTCCTGCTCCACATCTTTCCCCTTTGCTGCTGCCCATTTCAGGAGGAAGCCCGCGATGTGGACACGCAGGGCCATGGACAACTTCTTGCAGCCTCCGCCCTTGCCAGTGCTCCCCACCCCCTCCTCTCCCCCTGGATCTCGGTCTAAGGGAGCAGCCCTCCACCTCACTCCCACCCTGCCCCCCGCCGCCCCGCTGCTACAGTGACCTCCCCTGAAGCCCAAAGCTGGCCTCATACTCACCTTCCGGGTCACCTTCTGTGGTCCCCAGCACCCGCAGATGAAACACGTCCAAGCCCCTCCACGAGGCCTTTCGTGGTCCCTGCCGGCCTCCGGCCTCACGCCCCGTTTCCCCGCAACACACCCCCTACCCCGCCGTGCCCTGACGCTCGCTCTTCCCCGGGTCTGGGCTTCCTCACTCCAGACCTCCTGCTCAGGCTGGAAGGCCGGCCCTGCTTCTTCGCCCATCCTTCAAGACCCACCTTCAGCCCTGCCGGTGTGGCTCAGTCGACTGAGCACCGGCCTGCAAACCAAAGGCCGCCAGTTGGATTCCCATCGGGGCACATGCCTGGCTGTGGGCCAGGTCCCCAGTTGGGGGCGCTGTGAGAGGAAACCGATCACTGTGTCTCGCACACATGGATGCTTCTCTCCCACTCTTTCTCCCTCCCTTCCTCGCTCTCTAGAAGTCAGGAAATTACATCTTTTCTAGAAAACTTAGCAAGACTCACCATCACATTCCGGGCAGCGTCCGCCCCACCGTGGAGCTTGCCCGTGACTCCCCTGAGAGCCGGCGCCATGCTACTCCGCCCTGAGGTCATGGTCAGAGTCTGCCCGAACCGTGGGCTGCCTGGGAGCAGGGCCTGGGAAGCTTGCCTCATTGAATCCTCCAGACCAGCTCAGGGCCAGGCCCATTGTGGCTGTTCACTAAAATATCTGCTAAACAAATGGGGAAAGGCGAGGCTCTGCCTGGCCTCGGAGGGAGGGATGCGAGGAGAGCAGACGGGGGTGCACAGAGCAGGAAACCTCACCCCTCAGGGCCTGGCTCAGCCTGGCCCCTCCCGTGCCTACCCTTCCCAGACAGGCCAGAGGCTGTCCAGCAGGGAGTCTTGGAAGACCCCATCAGGCCCCCCACTGGGGCCGAGGCCTGAGCCCTGAACCATGGCAGCAGCCTCAGACTTGGCGCCCGGCCCATCCTCTCTTTGCCCTTAGTGAGAAGCATGCGCAGCTGCCAGTTGTGCTTTCCGTTGAGGCCTTGGTGGGGCCGGGGCTTTGTGGTTGGTGGCCCCGGGCCCTCTGCATAGGCCCACAGAGGGACTCACTCCGGGGCCCTGTCAGGGCGCAGCTTCAGAACCCCAGCTCTAATTCCCAGGAGGGCCCTCACCCCCTCGACGGTCTTCCCTGGGCCCGTGCTGAGCTCAGCCTTCTGACCCTAAGTCCCTTCCTACCGACTCGTGGGCCTAGCTAACGTTCCAACTCTTTTCCATTGGTTTTACCAGTCCCAGCCACAGCTCAAGGGTTATTTTTTCTTTTTTCTTTTCTTTTTTTTTTTTATTTTAAGAGGGTGTAAGAGGGATGGAGGAGAATGAGAGAGGGAGCCAGGAACCTGGGGGAGAGGCTACGAAGCAATGGAACAGGGGTCACTAATCTATTGGTCAGTTCAACCCCAGAGCTGCCTCCAGAATTCCATTGACTCCGCCTCCAGCCCTGTCCTGACTTACAATTGGTCTAGCTTCCAGGGGCGGGTCTCTCCTTGGTCTGGTCCTGTTTAAAGGACCTATTGCTCTTCTCTCAGGTGGAATCTTCAGACAGTTGGTCACTCAGTCCACACGACCCTCCTGTCCTAAGCCATGGCTCAGGCGGTGAGTGTGGGGACCCAGCCCCAAGGCTCTGGGTGGCGTAGAGGGTGACAGGCGAGTAGAGTGGGGGACAGATGCAGCTCTAGGTTCTACTCCTGGCGGTGTAGACTTGGGCAAGCATCTTCTCTCTCCTGGGCCTTAGTGACCACATCTCTAAGATGGGCGTAGGCACCGTGGTCCCCCAAGGCTTTCTCTGGGTTAAGAACTGTCTGGATTCCTCCAGGGTCTGCCAGCAGTTAGCTGTACCAAGGACTGACATTCTGCAGCTTTCTGAAAAGCTTGAGGGGGGAAGGCTGTGCCCAGCTGGGGCGGGGCCATTCCGGTGACTCGGGCCACAGTCCCTTCCCTCTCTCCTCCACCCCAGGGAGCCTCCTGCCCCCTCCCCCATACTGCTGTCCCCAGTCACCGGGCCTGGCACTCACCCTGTGCTCTGGAGAGCTGTGGAACCTGCCAGGGCCTGAGACAGCCTGCCTGGGAGGGGTCTGCCTGGGTTAGTGCGTGGAGGGTGGTTCTGTCCAGGCTGGTCGGGTGGGGACGTGGCCTTTCTGCTGAGGGGGACAGAAGGAGGCAGGAATCTTCCTCAGGCCCCGAAGGAACGGGTTCAAGTTTCAGGCAGAAGGAAGGACTCACGTGCAGTTTACCTGTGCATTCAATCTTGTGGACCCAGGCAGCCACGCTGCCGATTCCGGCCGAGGCCACTCTCCCTTCTGTGGAGGGGCCTGGCCCTGCACGGGGTCCCCCGCCCCTCTCTGCAGAAGGGCTGGACGGGGATAGGCCCCTTCCTCTCCAGCAGAGGGGATGATGCCTCCATTCACCCTTTTTTTGCCACCATCTCCCTCACTCACAAGGAGTTTCTTTCTCTCCATCCATTACCTGGGGTAACAGGGCACTCTGAATCCCAGATCTCCAAGCCGAACCACGAAAACTTCTAATCTTGGCTTCTGGAACCTCAGTCATGTTACAGAGGGGAAACTGACAGGGTTGTGAGTAGGGACTTGACTGGGACCACACAGAGAAGGAAAGGCTAGAACTTTCCCCCGGGTTCCCCAGGGCTTGTCCAGGTCAGAGGTTCCAGGGTGGGGGCGACCACCCCCACTACCACGTCACTGCCTTCTCTAAACTGCCTCATTGTTCTTTGTCTGCACAGGGAATGTTCGTCAGCAACATGAATCTCAAACTCAGGGAGCTCCTTCGAGTGCAGGTCGAGGTGGCTCCCGATGCTAAAGGGTAAGGGTCCATAGCGGGTGGCAGGCTACAGCGGCTGGCTCAGGGCCCTAGGGTCCTGGCGGAGGTCCAGTAGTGGCATGGCTGGCCAGGCTCCATTCCTCCCTGACCTCCCTCCTGCAGGTGGCAGGGCTTATTCCAGGGGCCACCAAAGCTGTGTTTTCTGCAGGAGCCACTTCCTCCCAGGGACCTGGATGCCTCTACACCATTGTCACTCCCTTCTCCTCCCATCCCTGCTGGAGCCTCTGAAACTAAACCAGCTGTGGTCCCAAGCCTACCTCGGCAGTCCCTCACTTTCCCGCTCTGGGCAGTCCCTGAGGTGCCAGGGGAGTGGGGATGAGGAATGGGAGGGGACATCTCACCCTGTGATGTCTCTCTAAGGCCTCTTCTCTGAGATCCCTGTCTGGTTTCTTTCTTTTCTTTTAAGGTTTTATTTATTGACGAGAAGAGAGGGATTAAGAGAGGGAGAGAAACATCAATGTGTGGTTGCTTCTCCCATGCACCCCACTGGGGACCTGGCCTGCAACCCAGGCCTGTGCCCTCAACTGAATCGGGGAAGCTTTGGTTAGGAGGCCGGCACTCAGTCCACTGAGACACCAGCCAGGACATGGTTTCTTCACTCGCTCAACCTTTCACTCCGTTGGTCCTTCCTTCACTCATCATTCAGCTGGCCGCTCTGATTTCTCAACAGCCATGTGACTGACCTGGGACTGGTCAACCAATGGCATTGACCTCAGTTTGCTACTCAGGAAAGCAAAACAAGGGAGACAGGTGGTTGTGTGGAGGGTGCGAGAGGCTGGCTCTGTGTGAGGAGGAGCTGGAGGGCTGGCATTTTCAAGGAGCCACACCCTCCATGCACTATTCATTTCATTCTTTACAAATCCTCAGGGGCAAGGATTGCTGTGACCTCCACTTAGCAAAGTGTTATGATTCGTTATTTGCCCCCACATTTTTTGAGTACCTATTGCGTGTCATGCCTCAGTCTGGGCACAAGGGCTACACAGATATACAAGGCAGACTGAACCCTTGCACTCGCAGAGGTCACCATCTGGAGGAAGCCTCTGACCTTGACCAAAGGGGCTGAGACACAAGCTACTGTCTACAAGGGTATTGGCTGTCCAGTAGAGATCCTTCATGTGCAGTCCACAGTGTGCCGATGAGGAAACTGAGACCCCGAGAGGGGCAGGGACACAGCAAGGGGGTGGCAGGGCCAAGCGCTAAAATCAGGTTTCTGCCTCCCAGCTCAGTGAGTTCTCCCAGGCACAGGCTGCACAGAATGGCTCAGACCGGTTAGGGGAGGGGCTGCAGCTGACCGAGGAGGCCTCAGCCCCTCCCACCTGGTACCCCCCAGCTTCAGGTTGAACCTGGGCAAAGATGTCGACAACCTGTGCCTGCACTTCAACCCTCGCTTCCAGCAGCACGGGGACGTCAACACCATTGTGTGCAACTCGAAGAAAGCAGGGGTGTGGGACCGGGAACATCGGGAGTCTGCCTTCCCCTTCCAGCTTGGAAGTGTGGTAGAGGTGAGGGGGAAAACGTGAAGAGCGCTGGGTGGTCTGGAGCAGAGCTGGGCTTAGCATCTAGAGACCTAGGTCCCACCTTTCCCTTCGTCCCTTCCACCTCCCCTCCCTCCATCACCTGTTGTGTCTTCTCCTTCCCAGCCCCATTCGCCTCACCCATGAGGAAGGGCTGTCGGAGCTACAGGAGGGAAGGGCTCGGGAGGGCCCGTGGCTGTGGCTGCGCTGCGGCTCCCACGTGGGGGAACACTGCTCACCGCCCTTCTCCGTCCCCAAGGTGTGCATCGCCTTCGACAAGGCAGAGATGACCATCAAGCTGCCAGATGGACACACATTCAAGTTCCCCAACCGCCTCAACATGGAGACCATCGATTACATGGCAATAGATGGTGACATCAAGATCAAGTCTGTGTCCTTTGAATGAAGCCAGTCAACAACCCATAAGCCCTAATAAAGGCAGCTGCCTCTGAACCAGCCTCATTTGTGTGTGTGTGTGTGTCTGTGAGAGGGACGGTGCCCCAACCCCCCAGCTCTGCCCCTTCCTTCACTTCTATTGACGTCCCTGAGGCACACCCACTGAGTGCCAGTGACATCTTCTTCCCCTGCATCTCCTGGGCCAGGAAGAGAGCTCAGTGCCCAGGAGGGCGCTTGGTCACCACTAAATGAGCCCTAGTCCCTGCCCTCAAACCGCTCCCAACCCGGAGGGCCCCAGCACACGGTAGCTGCTCCAAGGGTGCTGAACAAACGTCACCCGGGGCAGAGGCAAGAACAGGCTGACTCATGCCATGGCGCCCGGGGCAGCACAGACACAAGAGTCACTGGGCCCCTCATTTGTTGTCATGAACCGGAAGGAGCTCGTCCCGACCCCCGACGGAGGCGCGGGGCTCCCGCGGTGTGGCCTCGTGAGCAGTAGCTGACCTGAGCCTCGGTTGTGCGTGCGCGTGAGGGGACTCGGGGCGCGTGGCCTGCCGTGAGGGTTAAGTGAGATGTGTGGAGGAGGCCACGTTTAGTTGGCGACCCGTGGGAAGCACTAGACAGTGGTGTCTCCTTCCTGCCGCACTACCTCTGGAGACGTTGCTACCCCAGTGTGAAGAGGAGGACGCAGGTTCTGAGTGACGGCGTGATGCCCTGGCCTGTCCCGGACTCAGCCGAGCCTGGGGAGGGGGGCCTGGAAAATCTCACTCTGCACGACAGCCAGGCGGCGGCGGCCGGCGCACCCTGGGGAGGCCTCTCTGTCTCCAACCGTCATCTCTTCATCTGAAAATGAGGGTCATTATTCACACGTCGGCCATCTCGGGGGGAAGACTGCCCCCCGAGGGAGCCCGTGTCTGTGAGAGAGCCACGGAGGGTGGGGCACGCTTGCCAGGGCTCCGGTGACCCTCTCCCAGTCGCCCGGCTCTCCTAAGCCTCCGCAGCCGCCAGCCAGAGGGAAAGAGCTTTGCGGTCTGGCTGCGAGGGGCGAGGGATGCCCTCTGCCGGGCTGTGGAAAAGGGTCCGCCCCCTGCCCTTCTCTGGCCCTCAGAGTTCGCCCGCATTGATTCTCCCGACACCGGCCGGACACCCACAACACACCAGAAACGGACTGCACCCAGCCCGAGGAAGGCCCGGGAAATGCAAGAACAAGACCAATGTGCATGGAGGCAGGAAACAGCTCAGATTAGACCCATGTTTGACTCCCACTCTATCGCGGTTTGCCCTCAGACCAGTTACTCAACCTCTCTGACCCTCAGTTTCTTCACATATGAATTTGCATCAATGCTGGTATCGATCCTGTGGGGTTGTTGCAAGGCTCAACTGAAATAATGCAGAAGAACCCGTGGTGCATGCCACACAGTAAGGGCTCTGTGAATGCTGGGGTCCTTTGCCCCTTATTTTTAAACTTGATTTTAGAGAGGGTGGGGGCGGGGAACAGAGAGAGAGAAACATTGATTTGTTGTTTACTTATGTATGAATGCTTTGCTTGATTCTTATATGTGACCTCAAACCGACAAATTTGCAGTATTGGGACGATGCTGGAAACAACGGAGCCTGCCCACCCAGGGCTCCTGCGCCTCTTTTAAGACTCACTGTGTATCAGGAGTGTATGAGCCCTGACTGGTGTGGCTCAGTTGGTTGTGATTCATTCCCTTAAACAAGTGGTCACAGTTTGCGTCCTGGTCAGGGCTTATGCCCACCTTGCAGGCTGTGAGAGCCAGCGCGTGGATGTTTTTCTCCCTCTCATTCTTCCTACCTTCCCCTCTCTCTAAACATAAAGGTCTAAACTTGACCTTCACGGTTCAGTATGTTGGAGATCACCCGAAAAAGTGAAAGATCACTGGTTCAATTCTGCATCAGGGCATATGCCTGGGTTATGGGCCACGTCACCAGTTGAGCGCTTTTGAGAAGCTACCGATTGATGTTTTTCTCCACCTCTTTCTCCCTCCCTTACCCTCTCTCTGAAAATAAATAAAATCTTTATAAAAAGATAAGTAAATTAAATCTTTTTTTAAAAGCCTATGAAATTACTGTCATTGACACACGCTGTTCTCATAAAAATAAATAAATAAAATAAAAGTCCTATAAAACTAAGTCCAGAGAATTTAAATAGCACCCTGCCCTTAGCTCCACCCTCAGCACTTGCTCTTCTTGCCTGTATGACCTCGGGCAAGTGACCACACCTCTCCAAGCCTCAGTAGAATAGGGCTCATACCTAAAAAAAAAATGATTGTGTAAAAAGCTAAATAAATAGGAAAATTCATTTTGCTCATCACCTTTATGAGTTTGATTAAGAGAATGTGTCATCTCTTGCTGTGTCTGGCACACAGTAGGTGCTCAAGACACATAAAAATTTCAAAAAAATGTCAGAAAGGGTATTTGGTGTTATAGACCTTGAGGTGTAGTAAAGGGCTCTCAGGCTTTTGAAGTCTCGGCGAGGTTGCCAGTTCCTTGTGTCCTTTCCTGGGGCAAGGGGACCTGAAACTCCCAAGGAAAAGTCTGGAACAAAAGCTCCTGCCAGAGGTGGCGGATTCAGTCTGCATGGGGAGCTTGGCAGGCGAGGCCTTTCCAAGCACCGCACGGGCTGGCAGCTAGAGCTGGGTTGGCTGCAAGAGCCAACTACACAGAGTTCCCCACACAAGGTCCCACACGAGCAGCTGTCTCCTTATGCGGTCCGTCTGCCTCTGCACCAGACCGGAAGCTCCAAAGGGCAGAACCACTCCACATCTGGGGCAGCAGTCGGGGAGTGGGTCTGTGCACCACTTACTAACTGGGTGCCTTTGGTCATGTCACTTTCCCTCTCTGAACCTCTGATTCCTCACCTGTATAAGGAGACGAAGCAGCACCAACCTCATAAAGAGACTGTGAGGACTGAGATAATCCACGAGTGACCCTGAGAACATCCTTCAGCACAGTGGGAGACTGAACGACCGAACCATGGAGAGGGAAGAAGCCTGCGAAGGTTTATATTTTATCAAGTCCAGCAGCAGACCCATCACTTTCCATCTACAGCCAGTCTGGGTCAGGGTGGAGCCTGGGAAACAGCAGGCAGCAGCCCTGAGGCCCGGTACCTGCGGCTCACAGGAGGCAGCCCAGCTGCAGAAGGCAGCTCTCTAGGCATCTCTGGGTCGAGGACATCATTGCAGTCAGGGCAATGCTTCTACACAGAGGGAGGATGGCAAGGGGGACAGCAGGGCACGACCGCCAGGCAACAGGGGGTCAAAGGGGCAATTGTTAATCACCCTGAAGCCCCACCATTCAGGTCAGCCCCGCTGTGTCCTGAATTTAAGGACAGCTTCCTCTCAGCACCGACATGGAATCCCCCAGGCAGAGGGCCCTTGCTGAACGGGTATAACATTCATGAACAGATGCACCTACTACGTGCCTAGCTCCTTTCAAAACTCAGGGTCTACATCTTGTTTATTTATTTTTTATTGATTTTTGAAGAGAGAGACATCAATTTTTTGTTCCACTTATTTATGCATCCATTGGTTGCTTTCTTGTACATGCCCTGACCAGAGGTCAAACCCACAATGTTGGCATATGGGGGTGATGCTCAAACCAACTGAGCTACCTGGCGAGGGCCTCGGGGTCTGCACCTTGCCCTCCAAAAGGGCCATGCTATATACTAGGGGAGTGATCCCTCTGGCCAGTGAACCAGGTTCAAGTCCTAGCTTTGCCACAGAGTAGCAGTGTAACCCCGGACAAGTCACTTCCCCTTTCTGAGATGATGTAGCTCTGTTCCCTTGTGTGCCTGGCACTCAACAGGCACTCAATGCATGTGTGCTTAATTGTTCTCTGGGATCCAGTCACTTATATAAGGAGAAGGTGGGATTCTAAGAGTCTTTTATTCCTCTGTTATTCCCCACCTCGGCCAGTTCTAGGGTCACCTCCTCTGGGAAGCGCTCCACACTGGAGCCAACCCTGAACTTCTGCAGTCTCCTGTGCTTCTTCTGCAGAGGTGTCATTCCCTGGAATGTAATGGTCATTGACCTGCAGGTCCACCCAGCACAAATAAGTTGAGAATAGAATACTAACCTAAGAATAAAAGGGCCTTTCAAAGTGAGAAGCAAACAAACATTTGAGACTATTAAGGACAGCTATTCAAGAATCATTAATTCAGGCAGAAGCCCAAATAACATTCTGCTCAGAGACAAAGACAAGGGATATTTATGAGAATGGAAAGGGGAACAATTACATCAGTAGAAGGAAGGCATTTCATTGGTGCAGGTAACATAACACAGAGATACTAAATGTTTGAAATTTTCTGTTCAGTGATCATCATTCCATTAGTCATGACAATTGCTTTCTTGTTACCTTTGCCAACAGTTCTTTGGGAAACAAGGTTGCTGAGGCCCTGTCCAAAGGTTATTTTGCCCTGTTTTAACATTCCAAAGATTTGAGGCATAAGGCAGTCCTTCTGGGATGGCAGCTCTGGTGCCATTTTAATGTGGCTCTGTATATATTGCTGTTTACAGGGCAATTCAGGCATGCAATCCGTTTCGAAAATTCCCCTTCAGGTGTTGTTTTACTGAGTGCCTTCACATTAGTGCCCTCATTTTCAGTAGAAGATGAGTTATTACACTCCCATTTCACACTTGGCTATCTCTGAGGGGAGATAGCTTATGCAGGAAACACGTTACACAACTTATTTATTCTTCACAATCATGTTCTCAAATTTTGGTCGGTGGATCAGCAATATCAGCATCACCTAAAAACGTGTTAGAAATGCAAATTCTGGGGCTCATTCCAGACCTGCTGAATCAGAAACTCTGGAGTGGTGCCAAGTGACCTGGGTTCCAGCAAGCTCTCCAGGGGATTCGGGTGCCCGACAAAGTTTGTAAACCACTGCCTTACAATAACGCTACAAAGTCAGCATAATTATCTCCATTTTACAGGGTAATTCAGGCACAGCAAAGGCAACTGGTCCAGCACTACACAGGTGTAATT